TATTTAATATCTTTAATAAATATATTATAATATATTTAAATAATATTTTAATTTATAATAATTTAAAAGTAAAGTATAAATAATATATTTATAAAATATTAAGTAAATTTATTAAAGCTAAGTTAACTATTAATATTATAAAGTATAAGTTTAATATTATTAAAATAAAATATTTAAGCTTTATTATTTTTATAAAAAGCATTATAATAAACCTTAATAAAATATAAATAATTTTAAATTAAAAGTTATTTAAAATATTAAAAGAATTATAATAATTTATAAGCTTTATAAATTATTATTAATACTTTATTTAAAGCTTTTTATAAATAATAAAATTATTTATAAGCTTTATATTTAAAAGTAAATAAATTACCCCTTTAAATAATAATATAATAAAAGTATTTTAAACTTTAAAAAAAGCCTTTATAATAATATTAATATTATTTTATTATAATCCTTTAAAAAAATAATAATAGAAATAAATACTTTAAATTAAATATTAAAAAGGGTACTTTTTTAAATTAATAAAGCAGGCTAATAATACTTAATTATCTTTTTTTAATAAAATACTTTTTAATTAAATATAATTATAAAATTTATAATAAAAAGTTATTAATAATAATAAAGGTATTTAAAAAATAATAATTAAAGTTATAAAAGTATAAAAATATAATTAAAGTTATTATAAATTATAAAAACCTTTAATACTTTATTATTATAAAGCTATTAAATTAATAATAAATTTATTAATTAAAATTTTTAAATAATTTTAAGTTTTAAATAATTTATAAATTAAAAAAGTATATTATAATTTTAAATATATTATTTTAAAAATAAAGTTATATATTAAAAGATAAATAAAATATAATAAATAAAAGGGTAATATATTAATATAAAGCTTTTTTCCTATTAAATAAATAAATAAAATAAAGGTATAATAATATTATTTTAATATAATTATTTTTCTTTAATAATAATAAACTAATAAATATTATTATAAATTAAGTATATTAGAATTTTTTATTAATAATAAAATTAATTAATATAATAAAAAACCTAAAAGTTTAATGCTTCTTTAATAGGATAAGGATAAAATTTAAAATATTTATAAATAATTATATAATAAAATAAAACTATATTTATATAAAGAAACGTTTATATATCCTTAAAAATATAATAATAAGGTTAAAAATTATATATAAAATATATAGCTTTATATTAATAAGATATTTAAATTAATATAAAAGTTAAAACCTTTTAAAATACTTTTACTTTTAATTAAGAATATTTTAAAATATAGTTACCTTTATTAAAAAATATTACCTATATTAATAAATTAAAAATTTTAAAGCAATATTAATTAAACTATTTAAACCCTTTTTAATATTATATAAATTATAAATAAATATATTAATAAATTAAATAAGCCCTTTATTATTATATATTTAAAACGATATAAAATATAAATTAATTTTAATTATAATAAATAAACTTATAAAAATAAAATACTTTATTTTAATAATAAATATAATAATAAATATATTAATAAAGGTCTTTATAATATAGGTATATTATTTATATAATATATTAAAAATAATTATATTAAATAAAGGTTTATAATTTATATTTTACTTTTAAAAGGAGTTAAATTATTATTTAAATATATAGTTATACGCTTTAATAATATATTACTTAAAAATTAATAAATAAATAAAGATTATTAATATTATAATAGAATAATATTTAAAAGCTTATTATAGTTATTATTAAAATAATTAAATAAATTAACTACCTTTAATTAAATTTATAATAAATATTTAAATATTTAAAACTATAAGGTTAACCCCCTTCTTTATAAATTATAATTAATACCTTATTATAAAAATTAAATTAATAAGGGATTTAATTAAAATTAAAATAAAAGTTTAATAAAATAAGTTTTTAATTATATTAAATATAGTTAATAGGATTTAAAGAATAATAAAAAAGGTTAAAATGTTAATAATTATATTTTAAAAATATTATAACGCATCTCCCACTTGACCTGGCCACCCAATTGAGCTGGCCACCCTAATTACCTATATAAAATCCCATTGTTTTAATCTGGAATAACTTTACCAATATTGGGGGTATGATGGAATAATTAGTACCTTTAAATCCGTTATTTAAAGGGGAATCCAGCGGTATTTTTTACTATTTTTTATAAAATTTATTAAGCGAGATATTAAGCAATACGCTAAAAGGGCGCTAGGTAAGGATTATTTTAATGCTTACTTTAGCGTATTGCTTAATAGCTCCACGGATATAAGTCGTATAAATAAATAAAGGGTACCGTTAAATAGCTCTCTTTATTACAAATCTAATGGTATATTTTATTTCTTTATACGACTAATATTCGTGAAGTTATTAAATTATCACGTGATTAGCGCACCGATGTTTCTTGTATAGGCTAGGGGGGTGGCCAGCTCAATTGGGTGGCCAGGTCAAGTGGGAGATGCGTTATTAAAAATATAAATATATATTAATTAAACGCTTTAAATTATATAATAGGAAATAAGGTTTAAATTAATATAAAAAATATTAAAATAAATTAACTTATATTAAAACTAAGAAATAAATAAATAAGCCTTTTTAAAATAATAAAAATATATTAATAAGCTATAATTATATAATTACTTTAATAATATAAAATATTCTTAATATTTTATATATTATTAATATATTTAATAAAAGAAAGCTTTTTAAAATAATTAACTTTAAATAAACTATATAATAATAAAGTAAAGAGGATAATTTTATAAAATAATAATAGGATTAAAAAAATAAAATAATTATTTAAAAAAATTTTAAATAATAAAAGAAAAAAAAGTATAGGACTTAAATATAAAATTAAATAGTTAGCCTTTTATTAATTAACTTAAGAATTAATAATAAACCTTAAAGGCTATAAGGATAAACTAATAATATTTTACTATTTTAACCCCTTTAAATTAAAACTATTATATTAATTAAAAATGCTTTAAATAAAATAATTATTAAAAACTATATATTTATTAAAGTAAAGGTATAAATAATAAAATATAAGCTATATATAAAAGGGGATATAAGAAAAAACTATAGATTTATATAAAGAAAAGAAAAATTATTTTAAAAATTTATTAAAAAAAAGATTAAAAATTCACTACTATAATAAAAGCAGATTAAAAAGCTATAAATAGTAAAAATAAAGCAGTTAAATATTAAAGCGCTATTTAAATTAAAACTAAATTAAACTAAATAAAAAAAACTAAAGTAAGATTAAATAAGTATAAAAGAGTTAAAAAAAGAATAATAAAGGTTAATAGGATTAAAACCCATATTATTAAATTAAACTTATACTTTTTTTAATTATAACTATATTAATTTAAAACTAAATTACTTAAAGGGTAAAAGGGAAAAAATTAAAAATCTTAATAACCTTATTATTATTAAGCCCTATAGTTATAAAGTTAAGCAATAAAGAATTTTAAATTAAAATATTAACATTATTATAATAAAAAGATAATAAAAATAAAAAATAAAAGAATAAAGGTAAAGATTTATTAAAAAAGAATTGTAAAAATTCTCTTTAATAAAATATTAAGCTATAATAACTATATTTTTAAGTTAAAGATAGAATAATTAAAAGTCCTCTTAAATATAAACTTCTTCTTTATTATTAAAGTAAGAATATAACTATAAGGTAAGGGTAAATTAATAATAATAATTAAAATAAGCATTATAAATAATATAATCCTTTTAAAAAATAAAAAAAAAATATTAATAAATGTTAAAAAAATAACTATATAAAGGTAATATATACCGTTTTTATTTTTTTAATACTTATAAATATATATACTTTATAAACTTCCTTTTTTATATTTTTAAATATAAAGGTAAAATTAATAATTAAAATAATAACTTTATAATATAATATTAATAAATATATATATTAATATAATATAGTTAAATTAATAATAATAATAATAATATTAATAATATATTAAAAACTAATATATTAAAATAGAAGTAAATTTAAATTATAAACGTTTTTAATTATTAAAAGTATTATTTATTTAAAAAAATATAATTAAAAATTAAAAATAATAAAAGAAATTATAAAATAAGAATAAAACATTAATAAAATATAATTAATATATTAACTTATATAAGTTATAACGCTTATTATATTAAGTATAATAGGTTAAGGAAATATTACCTTTAAATATATATGTAAAGTAAAATAGCACTACCTTTTAAATAGTACTACCCTCCTTATAATATATATTAAAGTTAATTTAAAAATAATAAAGGTAAAACTTCTTACCTATAAAGATAGGTATATATACCGGTATAATAATAGTAGTAATAAATAAAAGAAAACGAAAAAAGATATAAATAAGGTACTTAAAAAAACCTTTTTTAAAAAATTAAAAATAAAGCTAAACATTATAATTATAAAAAGGTAATAAAATAAATATAAAAAAGGAAGGAGGAAAAATAAAGAAATATATAAGGTAAACAATTAATTATTATAATAAAAAATTCTACTATAGGGCTATAGGGCACTACTATATTGCTTTAAAAAAAAGTATAGCTTAAAATAAATAATATAATATATATACTATATAACTATATTATAAACAGATTTAGACTTATATAATTAAAGTTAATTATATTTAAAAGAAGGAAGTACTATTATAGAATTAAAGAAGCTTAATTTTTAATATATAATATAAATTAAGGAATATTATATATAACGCTAAAAAAGGGAATAAGGGGTAAAAATTAGAACTTCCCTCCTTATATAATAATAGAACAAATATATAAAACCATAGTTGGGCAGTACTATAATATAAATACGTTAGCCGATCTTATTAGTTCAACCGCAACTAAAGAAGATCGTTTTTCGTAGCATTCATATAACCTAGTTCAAACCCATAGAACAAGGCTAGAATCCACAGCGGACATAATAATTGGAGGAAATTGAAGTAAAAATCTCCTACGTTTACTCTTTTTCAGCGTAATCTTCCAAACAAACAAATGAGCGAAAGCTCTTCCGAGAAGGGAAAGGGAAAGGGAGTTCACCAGGGTTCGACGGACAACAAGGGAGCTCATCATAATAATGTAGTAACAGGTAACGTTTCCGGGTATAATGTTATTACTGGTAGGTGGCCACGGTCTATTTGAATTGTCAAGTTATGCTGAATGTTTCAGGGGTACTCAATGTCACTATTGAGTCTGCAACTACCCTCACCGATGCCATCAGAGATTTTACTACGCGAGTGGCTACTACTAGTTTGAGACTCAAATTAGTTGGAGATAAGGTCAGCACCACCTCTACCGTCTTGACTCGCATTAGCGACTTGGTGATGAAGCAAGCAAAAGGGGAGAATATTACAACACCGAAAGATGAGCAAAACACTGCAAGTACGGACCAGGGAGGTAAAGTTGGCAGCGCGTCCGGTGATCTAGATGGAGGCTCCGACGCTCTGAAATGGCAGTGTTTCAAAGATATGAGAGAGGCGAGCCAAGGCGCGCACAGTCTTTTCCAGCACATCACCCAGAAAATCAATGATGCCAGTAAAACTCTCCCTCAGCTGAATGGCCAGAATTCAGGGCAACTAAGCAGGTCAAAAGTCGAGCTATCTGACGATGAACGAGCGAAGGTCTTTCTGAGGGAGCGTGATATCGATATAATGGAAAATGAAATCGAGTCACACAAAATAGAACTACAATTGACATTTACTGTGTTTCAGGCCGTGCTGTAAGTACGATTATCTTATAAATGACAACATGAATTGCTGATAATGATACCTAAGAAATGATGACAGAATCGAGGGCATGAAGCGAATCATGTTGGATATGTACAAGACAATGAAGGGCCTAGTAGATGATATCACACAGACATCTCAAAATCGCACAAATCCAGGTATACCAGGGAATAAAGTTGGCCAGTCTACTGATCGGTCAGATCCCTCGACCGCGCGCCCTAACTTACAACCTCTAAATTCTCTCGACAGCTACCGACTAGTACATATATACATGGGTTGGATATTCACCAAAGCTCGGCCTCCTAGAAACTACCACGATTCAATCCCGACATCTAGAGGGCCATCTTGGGAGTTTTCCGTTCCCGTTGAACTGCCTGTCTCAACTGAAGAGCTCTACTTAATGGTTTTGCGTCAAATCTCCCAACGTTCGAAACTAGATACGACACTCTGGGATGACTATGAAACACTACGAAAATCTAGACGAAAGCGAGTACTTCTTGACAATCTACTGAGAGATCAAAACATTATATTGCAGAGAGAATACCCTCAGCTGGAATGGAAACTAGCAGGCTTGGCGGTCACAGCTCGAAGGTCGGCTGAGGAGCTGGGGACAATTCAAGTCATTCTGAAAACGCATCATGTTCCTGAATCTCAACATGGTACTCCCAAAATAAGTGATAGAGGTCAAAAATCAGTTGGTACAGCTGCCGGTAGCGTTTTTGCTGGTGAGGTTAGAGTCTCCCCAGGCAGTGGCCGTGGTGAAGCCACCAGAAGTGGTTCAACGAACCACGCTAGGCAAGATCAAAATGGCGTGAATGGAATCACTGACGAGCCGGTATATGTACAGCCCTATGCCCCTTATCGACCACAACACGGCTTCACGAAAGGTAGACAGGGTGCAGAGTTACATCAGCCACAGCTTGTTTTCGTCAAAGAAAGAAAAGAGGGTAGTCAGTATAAACATGTGAAGGAGAAAAGCATACATTGGTGGTGGCCGTGGTCTAATCGGAGAGGCGCACAAGTCTATGTCGAGCTTCGTGGTCAGGGAAGTAGAATAAAGAGCCGAAGGCATGGAAATGATTCCAGATCCACTACCCGGGTTCAGCTTTCGTCGCAAGTAGCGTTGGATCCGAGTTCACCTTCAACACTACAGCATACTTCGGCTTGGAACGGTCAGGTCAACATGCCTTCTGGATCAGGACAAGGGCATGAGCGCATAAATAACACACGAAGGAATACTTATGAGATGACACCCAGAGAGGAGGAAGCGATAGTTGAAGAATTATTCGATGAATGGGACGCAGTGGTGGGCAGAACGAAGAAGGGGAAACGGACCCGGTGGTATTACGGTAACGATGATGTGCGAGGTGACGATTCAAGTGTAGGAGCCAGTCGAAGATTGATGAGAAGAGTTGAAAGGGAAAGCGGAGTCAGGATAAGGGAAGAAATAAGGCAGAAAGAGCAGATGAGGATGGTTCAGATACCGCCGGTAGTGAGAGTGAACGGAACGACGCCACGAGCAAACGAGAGGCTAAGGACGGTAAGGAGGGTGGAACCAGAGCCGCCTGTTATACACATTACAGAGAGACATTTTGGGAGATATTTAACAATGTGACATAAAGCCAAATATATTTCCAATATCGATATAATTCATTCCTGATGAGCTTAACGTTGCCAGCTTTGTCCTCATTGTTACACGTGTAACCTCTGTACCAGCTGAAATATGCAGTTCACCTTGCACTTCGGCCATACGAAGGACCATTGCAGGCTATTCATGATCTTTCAAGACATGCAGGCAACATTGGGCAATATTGGAAAGTGAGGTTATACAGACTTTGCTTTTTGAAACAGACCCCAGAGGCCTAGGCGGTCTGGGCTAGCAGACCAGTTGTATATAGAGTCAAGTCAAGCCACCAACAGCCAAGAAGGAGTTGGTTGGTCAAGAACTTATGCAGCCCTAGTTGATCATAGTAATCTGAATTGCCTAGATTCCAAGCTCAGTATTACTGCCCTTGTTATACTAGCCTTCGCAAAGAACAGCCGTTGTGATAGATTATTGAAGGAAGGGGAGGACTTAGCTAGCTTTCGAGTAGTGGTCTGCAAAGCCTGGCTTCCTAAGGGTGTCCCGATGGTTATTTTAGCTGCTGCTATTGTTAGAAAAGTCAGCGCCGCCCACCGACTAAGTATTATTTTGTTTGATTGCCAGATAACTTGACTAATTAAAACAAGATAAGACCTTTTAGATTATTTTATAAACCAAAACATATTTTTGTACTTGACTCCTTTAATTGCAATTAATTGTAAGTAATCTTTTGATTTTTGATTTTTTTTTTTTTGATTTTTTTACAGGGTTTAGGCATTAGAAAGTTATTGTTGAAGGCTTCGAAGATCGGAAGGTTGTAGGTGACTGACCTAACCTGACCTAACCCCTGTCCTGTCCTGTCCTGTCCTGACCTAACCTAACCTACCACATTAAGTGTAGTACGCGGTGTGTAAGGGGGCATCAACGCGTAAGAGGGACGTCAACGTCTGAGACATTTGGGTAAGCTATTTCCGTACTCTCTAAACTACTCCGTGCGGGCTAATGACGACCTATAAGGCTACTTCGGTTTATTTGGATTACTTGGTGACCAGTTACAGTCAAGCCAAATATAGATTCTAGCCAAGTAGGTCAAATAAGGCCAAAAATGGGCTCAAATCAGAGAAAACAAGGTAAAGACAAATTGCTTGACTTGTTTTGACTGTGTGCGGCGCTGATCTGAAAAGTGGGTGTAACAGGTCGTCCTTCAACTGTAAGTGCTGGTACAGTTGTTCTTGCCAAACCCTTCTTCTCAAGGACCACATACTCCGAAGATAACGGGGCCTAGCGATCCCTTGGCCATATTCCAGCGGTTTGCCATACCTTTCTGGTGATTCTAGGCTTCAGAACATCATCGCGGTTCGCTTTATACGCTACTATCATATCTTTCTTCGAAGGCTTCACACCAAGGCGGCCGGCGGGCATAAACTGAAGCTCTTTTTGCAACTTTTTCTTCAACAAACCGAAGACTCCGACGTCCAACGGCTATACAACATGGCTGCAATAAGGTCCATAAAACAAAAGCCATATCTTATTTGACAGGCAGGTCCAGAGGAACTCGTTGTTTGTATAAGAGTCATGGCTATCATAGACCAACACACACCATATATTACCGAAGCGGCTACGGATATGGGGGATAAATAGTCACTTGATTGCGATAAGATTACTGGCCCACCCATTTGAAGAGCAGTCAAATCGCCAGTCTTCGAACAAACTACGGTTTTTATCTGGAAACCACTGCGCTTGAACTGTAAATCCCTTCCAAATCAGCAACGACGGTAAGGCTTCACCTCCAACGCTAACACACTCAAGGGCCATGGTCCATTCGCCTTTTTCGATTGCTTTCTTAAAAGTATGGCGCATCAAGGCATCGGAGATCACCCAATGGTCCTCGCCAACGCCTTGGCCCATACCCATCTCGTCTACATTGAAGAAGCGTTCTAGCGGGGTATTTGCGATCTCCGGGACCTCGAGGGGGTCGAAAAAGAGGTTAATATTGACCGCTGTCGCACCATTAACGCGTTTATAGTTAATAGGACCGTTTTTTTCATCCAGTCGGGGATACCGTGGCCAGTAACTGACTTTGTCCGGTCCGTCAACTCGATGTTGCATAGTCGGTAGCCACTCTAGCCTCTCTTTCAGGTCGGCTACCCGCTTCATTGCCGCATCGTAACTGCCTCTATTCGACTTCGAACTAATTATTCTCACACTGTCGTTATCATTCCTACTACCTTATAGAGCCTATTGAGTGGTGGCCCCGACGGCCACTCTGAGCTAGATACGGCCAGTATGGCGGCAGCTCACGAGATAGTTGCGCTGGCAGGACTCTAAGGGGCAAGGCTTGTTAGTAAATGGTTAAGCCTGGTGGAATATGAAGCCAGGATGACTACTGTGTAAGAGAATTGTCGTGCGAGCGAATAATGCACCGAGCTTGTGTAACGAGGGGATAGTCAACCAATCTGGTAGTACGACTGGTCAACTGCAAGCACACCGCAATTGCTTTCAAATGAGGCATTGACTAATGCGTGGCTAGAGGGGGCATCGTCGTTATGAGTAGTCGATACATGCATGTTGTAACATAGGGTCAGCTCCTCTATGCCACTTATGCTACGGAAGATAGGCATCCTGCACTTATTTTATAACTATATCCTCCGATCGGAAGGGAATATTCCAAGGTACGTGGTATATTTAACCCGCACCAATCCATCCAAATGAACCCATCAATTCTAACAATACTATGTAGCAACTATGCCGAAGAGCCCGCCCTAGTGCTCAATACCCAAGGTTGGCATAAATTCAAAGCGAAGGCATAATCAAAGCTGATATTGTTATAACCAACGACAAATTGGTTAAAGATGTCCGATTCCGTGTGATAGTAGAATTTCCATGCTGGATGTACTTGGTTGTATATTCCCCTTCGGATACGACCCCTCCTACCCCTAACTAAGCTGTTTCTCGCCTGCAGGAGCTGAAGTCGGCGCTGCGCTCATGAGGACGAAATCGGACCCTGGTAGTACGCCACAATCAGAACCCACCGCTCACTCTGTCGGGGTACATACTCTGACGACATGGCATTGTCAGACGAGGCAACGTTTGGTAATAGTGTGCGGTGTGTTGGGGCTTTCTGCACAGTAACCTTAATCTCCTCCGGATTGGGCGCAAAAATACTCTAACCAACCCGGAAATAATTGATATGTAGTAAGTATTGATGCTATTACCTACCGTATCCTATCGTGTCGTCTTTCAGCGAACCATATGAACTGTCATTTTGGGGTCAGACTGATCACTGCATCTTGAACATGCAACGGGCGGTCATCCTACCACACCTATATAGACGGGTGACATGTAATTGGGCAATTCAACTGCACGGCGAACCGCTTAGCGCCTTAGAAGACAGGATGCTACCCTCTGTGCTACAGTGTTCGATGCGCGTTGTAAATGTGACGTGTAGCGTATTACCTACTGTATGATATAGAATAGTAACGAGCTGCCGCGCACTGCTACCTTGTGGCTGTAATAAAACATACGTAGTCCTTCTATCGCATGAAAGAGGAGAAACTTGTAATAAGTCTATCTTGTTGCTGTCTTACGATGTCGTTATTGCAGGTCATCGTGTTGGGTTCACTTTTACCCTTATGGGCATTCTGTTACTGGATACTTCCATACTTTACGACATACAAACATCTAAGACACCTTCCTGGGCCATTTGTCGGCAAGTTTAGTAATCTGTGGCTTGCACTTGGTGCTCGGAATGGCCGGAAGTATGCTTGGGGCAAGTAAAATCTCGTTCACGTTTCGAAAACAGTTTCTGTCAGGGGCATTTGGCACAAGGTTACTTCATAGAATGAAGTCGTTCTACATTTTGGAATCGTCCAAGATTAAGGCCCATAGCGATAATTGCTAACTCCAGGCGTTACAGTACACGAAGCTCACCAAAAGTATGGCCGAGTCATCCGCGTAGGCTTCAATCACGTGTCAATAGCCACGCCTGAGGGCTTGCGCGTTGTCTATGCACATGGCAATGGTTTCTTGAAAGAGTATGTGAACCTTGAAGCCTAAGAGCCTTGTTCAAATGTTGAGAGATATTGTCTATAACGTAGTATCTTTTATAATGCTTTCATCTCCGGTGTCCCTGGCCTATTCAACGTCCAGGACAGGGCGGAACACACAAGGAAGCGCAAGATCGTTGCTCATGCGTTCTCTCCTGGCGCAGTACACGACTTCGAGCCTTATATGTCTGCAAACCTCCAGCGATGGGTTGATCAATTGGACCGAATAGCAGCAACCCCGGACAAGGATGGGTACGCGCGTCTCAACATCATGCCTTGGTGTACCTTCATTGCCTTTGATATTATAGGCGATTTAGCTTTTGGAGCACCTTTTGGTATGGTCACACGAGGACGAGATGAGTGCGAGTCTGCTCGACCGGGCGAGCCCGCTACGTATGTCCCGGGTGCTGAAACACTTAACCGAAGAGGAGAGATAAGTTCTACTCTTGGACTACTGCCTGCGTTACGCCCTTGGGCCAAATACTTACCCGACCCCTTTTTCTCAAAAGGCCTGCAGTCGGTAAACAACCTCCACGGCATTGCAGCTGCGGCGGTTACGAAACGGCTTGAAAATACGGAGGGCACGCAGTCAAGCATCCCAAAACGTCGAGATATACTGGAGATGCTTTGTTGCAGCAAAGATGCTGAAGGAAATGCAATGCAACGAGATGAACTAGTGTCAGAAACGCTCACACAGCTGATTGCTGGCAGTGATACTGTATCGAATACTGTATGCGCCATTATATACTGGATTCTTCATGGTGAGCGGCAGAGGCCAGGTACGGTAGTGCCCCGATTGCAAGCCGAGCTTGATGAAGCAATAGCTGCAGATTCATCAATTGCCGCTCACGCAGAGGTCAAGAACTTGCATTTCCTTCGGCTCTGTATAGACGAAGCTATGAGGCTTCATTCAACCTCAGCTATCGGTCTGCCTCGGATCGTGACAACAAAGGATGGCGTGTTCTGTGAGAACGAGCACTTCCCCGAAGGGACGGTTCTGTCAGTGCCAAGCTACACGCTCCATCATACCTCGGATATATGGGGACCTGATGTTGAAGAGTTTAGACCTGAACGTTGGCTTGATGCGACACCACGACAGAAGATGTCGTTCAATCCGTTCTCCTTCGGCCCAAGAGCCTGTGTTGGTCAGAATGTTGCGCATATGGAACTAGCGCTCATCATCGGCACTGCTTTTCATCGCTATGACTTCAGACTGTATCAACAGAAACTTGAATCTCACGAAGGTTTCTCAAAGAAGCCCGAAGAATGCTGGGTAGGAATTAAGCTGAGGAATGTCGAAGCATAGTCCCCGACAATATACGAGGCTGTTATCACAACTCCAAGATCTGTTAATAATGGCCTGTGCGAATAGGGAATAGTTTGAGAGGCAGTGTTGGTAATAATAAGAGTTAACACTAGAGTGATATAGCTACACGTGTACGACAAAGCGCATGTATCTTCGTGCTGAAGATACCTTAGGGCAGAATGTTACCATCTTACACAGCATCTAATGTACGCAGCCGAATCACAGAGGGATAAACTACCTAGGTAGGTACCTATGGCTATATAACTGCCTCCCATAAACCGCTCGGCGCTATATGATATCTAAATGAAGGCGGTGCCGCATTGATACGAGAGGTTACATTGAAAATTACTTGCACAAATATGTGTTTGTATTACTCCAAGTTAGCCAAACGTCTCCGGTCATGGCCAAATGATGTATCATGTAATATATTTCGGTCCCAAGTCCACTATCAGCCTCCTGAGAATTCTTCAGACAATCGCAGTGAGTCGGGCGCCTTAGTTCGCAAGTATTCGCGGACTATACGCCAGAGTCCCCCTGACCATGTCATCTACACGAATATACCGAGTCACATCTGGTAGCAAAGGTTCGACTGTCACGCATCACAAGGGTCTTGAAGTATGAAGAATAATGAATTTATCGCAGATTACATTGACAGGATAACCGAAGTCTTAGCCCAAGCCTTCCAGGATGATCCCCTCTATGCATGGCTGTTCCACCACTTGCCCCTCGCTGAACATGAAGATCTGCTTCCTAAACTGTTCCGCGGCTACTTCAAGCAGAGCTCACTAAACAACAGCATGTTCCTCGAGGTCGACGGCTTCGGTTGTTGTGGTGTTCTCATGCCGCCGGGCGCGAACATCAAGAACCCGCGAACACTGCTACGAGCAGGACTTGTTCCGGGCTTATTCACCATAGGGCCGAGAACGTTCAAGGTACGTGTCTATGTTGGGCACACATATCGGCAATTGCTAAAATTGGGTAGCGAGCGTTTTTCGATTACGGAAGCGGGGTCGAGCCTATGTTACACAAGGCTTTTACTAAAGAAGAACAGAAAAGTCACTGGTATGTCTTCATGATGGGGACAGCGGTGGGCAGGCGCCGCCAGGGCCTCGCATCGGCGATGCTCAGAGATATAATAGATCGAGCCGGGAGGGACAAGCGACCAGTCTGGCTCGAGGCCACAACTAGAGATTCTCTGCGGCTTTACACACGCCACGGGTTCCAAACTATCGGTGAAGTGGTGTTGGGGAAAGGCGTCGTCGACGCAGCGGGCTTACCAAGGAAAGGCGGACCTGGTGTGACGATCTGGTGCATGTGTTGGCGACTGTGAATATGGAATCATCGTCGTTCTACTTCGCCTATGATCAGTCACGCTTGATTATTTCCTTATTGGTGGTCTGATACAAAAGCGATCAACGACGAGAGTACCGTAAGAAACGCTGTACATATGCTATCTCTAGAGATAGATCCTAGTACCTCACCAACATTTCTCCCCCTTAACATCCGATCGCATCTTACTTTTCTCAATACCTTGATTTTATTGACCTCGCCACTGCTACATCAAGACCCTATTCCATCCTCTGGTCAATGCTTTCACCAGGAATAGGGCGCTTGTATTGACGTTATCCGAACAACTCCAGCCGTCCATTCCATTGCATTCGCCCAGTTCTAAGCCTTGTGATGACTCAAACCATTCTCTGCCATTCATAGTAGCGAGCAGAAAGCTCTCTTTCAGCTAGTGCGAGTTTGAATGACGCTTTCCCATTGTCGAGAGGCGGTCCATCTGACTCACGACTAGACTCCTCATCGTTGATTCGGAACGGCCACGGAGTAGTAATCACATTCTCTTGAATCTCCATTCCAAGAGGGGCCCCTAGTTTATTCACGCGACGCGCCCGGCTCTGCTCCCAAGCTCGACGTACCTTCTCCTGCTCAGCGTTCATGGACTCTGATATCATGAACGCGGTAAGATAGTTGCCCTTGCTCCAGGATTTGGGCTGTTCCGGGGCCCCGCTTTCCTCCATATCACGTTCCCATAACGCACTATCGAGCTTGAAAATTGAATCGTGAGCAGCCTTCAAGTCTGGAATCCCCTCGTCGTTTTCGTAGCGAAGTGATATAAGGCGTGCACTGGAATTGGCTGACTTCGGCTTCAAGAGCGGAGAAAGATGTGTCAGCATCGATTTCATCCCCATTTTGCAGTCGTCGCCCAGGTTGGAAGCCTTGTGCAGTGGAGTGTTAGCATCGCCGCCACTGTCTATGGGATATAATGGACTACGCACATGAATGCGATCAAACTGCTGCCCGGCGAGTCTGGACTGTAGAACCTCAGGCTCGCAGCAATGGACCTCTATATCTATCTTGATGGACTTCAAGCGAATTATGAACTTTTCGAGCATGTCGCGGACGTAGTAGAATAGTTTTCCGTAGATATCATTCTTCGGCGCAAGCTCGTTCTTCGAGACATCCTCAAGGCCCCAGCATCTCAATGGGTCCGAGGTGCCATTGATCGGAGGTCGAAGCGCCATATCGCCAAGATAGAACCTAGGCATTAATTGTCAGCTATGAGAACCTGAATACAGGAACCTGATGACTTACGGGTTCTCGATCCAATGGCCAGTACTCTCCGGACCTTCTCTTCTCTCCCTTACACCATAACGTCAGTATCGAACAGATTTTGACCACTTTATGTAGACTAATGACATACTTGAGCGGTTTTGCCCAATCTCCATTGCGCTCGTGGCCGAATGGCAGAAGCACCCGCTCCTCGAAGAATGCTTTGCGGGAAACCTGCCATCCTGTCGGTGTCGGCAAGATCGTCTCAAACCATGCGTCAGGAAACTCATCCCATGGCTTCAAAATGGTTCGAGAGTATTGGTTGAGACGCAATGGATAATGCACGTTGGGGGCAAGGGAGAAAGGGGGTCTTAGAAAAACAAAGGCATCAGATCCTGCAGGTGGATGCTCGTATCGCAGAGAGCAGCTACCGATGTTCCACCTATTCGTGTTGACTGACTGTGTGGCATTGGTGTCGTGCAGAGGGCGAAGAAGAGCAGCCTTCAACTCGGAAGAAAGGAAAAGCACATGTCCCAAAAGCCATGGGTTGTGAATACGCAGCGGGTCGTCAAGCAAAACTCGCCTATATAATCCCTAGTGTCAGAAATACTTGAGCAATGATGTGAACCATCCTGTTTCCCCTTGGATTTTTGAGAATGACTGCGGGAAGATGTGCTAGAATGAGAAGAGGGAAGCTCAGGGGTACCTGCATTTGTGGACTCAACTGATGGAGTGTGTGATCATACACATCATGCGGCGAATTCTCCATGTACGGTTCTAGCTGTGCTAGAATCCTGTCAAAGTAGCCAATTGGGAGAAAGGCCGAATACCAAAGCTGGACAAGCAGCTCTGCAGCAATTTTAGGATCCTCCGAGCCCATAGAAATTAGCAAGATTGCGATATTTCGCAAGCACAGGCAATGGTTCTTCTCTTGGAGCACCACACGCAACGGAGGTGTGCGGTCACCCAATGACACCACAGTCTTTATGAAATCTTGCATCTCTCCACAGCCTGAGATAGGTACGATTAGTAGAGCACACATAATTGTCGAGAGGTACTCGCCAGCGAAAAGTATGTTTAGAACATGGCTGTGGTCGTCTCCTTCATTGCTGCCTAGCCGGAGTACGTCTATAGCAGGCATGTCTATAGCAGTTGTATCTTCCGAGACCCATCGAATACGAGCGTCATCATGGCTCCTCAACGCACGCATCTGATCAAGATTGTACCACTCCGAAACGAGGTTCGGAGGTGTTTCGATAGGACGAATAGGAACCTCGCTGTACGAAATTCTGTGTCGTGTTAACTGGCAAGTAGTTTGGTGTTGCGGCCAGTCTCGTGTCTGGCATGCCTTACTGCAATACTAATAGTTCATGTTAGTGTCATGGCATACATACACGAAGGAAGTAATATTCCGACCTCGATGAGAAAGCATCCGGTGCATGCTTTCAAGTTCTGCCCATCAGATTTGCAACCAGCATTGGCACAAACAGGCCTAGTGATGTGAAGGGCTTGCTGAGCTTCGGTAGGCATTGTGAAGGATAGTACCTGATTCACGTTGAAGATGAAGATGAAGAAGAGGTTCTAGAGAAGAATATGGCATAGATAAGTAATTCGGAGGAGAAGAAACCCAAGCATGGTGAAACCTCAGGTGTCAAACGGACAGAGACCCAAACACAACTTGTTGTTGCCTGTCATGTCATACACCCAGCAACACCGACCCAGTCAAAGAACAAATACATCTCAATTGTGGTTCACGTCACATAGTTCAGGAGCTGCTATCCGAAACACGCGGAGTATATGTCTGCCAACTTACATAGAATCCAGTAAAGCAACAGGAATTTCCCATCCTTTCTCTTCAGATAGACATTAACCCAGGGGTGTCTCATATGTGACTGCTGACGTGGCTTACTTAGAAATGATCTGTATTCACTATGGCGAAATCTCATCAGTTCCCGCCTGCCATAACACTCTTGAGTTTCAGTGGAATAAAGAACAAAGAAAGTCATGCATATATATATACCTAGAGCCTAGCCCATAGCAGAGTCAAGCGTCTTCGCGAGACAGCAAGATATTTAGAATACAACGCTCTCACAGCACATGCTACCAAACCGAAATATATGACTCATGCGAAGTGACATGCACTGACGTGTCGTCATTTGTGTCATACGAGCCAAAAGACACTGCGTAGCACTAGGCAAGGTGCTTACCCGTTGACTTTCAAACGGGCACTCGTTTGAATCTACCAAGGATCTCTCCAGATGTGTCATTCAGTTCATGGATAGCATTTCAGTAATTAATCTTTCTGGCAGCTCAACGACATGCTGACACTGAATGTGCTTCCCTCTAATCAGACTAGAAAACCGCCATGTGAAAAGGATTATGTCTTGGACCGGACACAGGAAGGCGCCCTTTATGCCCCCGCTGGCGAAGTCAGTGTTGACTAATTCAGCACTACTGCTACCCCTGATACTTGATACTACACTCCTTCGAAGTTGGGTAATTTTACTGCCATTTATTTGTGACTGACCTCGCCGGAACGTAGCCAAGAGCAGATTAAAGCTGTCAGATCGAGCTAGCAATATATGATCAATCCTTGCAACCTGAACCATAACTACCACCATGATAACCCGCCAACTTAAGTATACAGGATAATATGGAGTTAGGAGGTATATAACTATTTATCACTCACCCAAATGTCATGGTTAAAGTGATTTGGAGACAATATTCACCGTCGATCTGTTGGATCTCATTCCAACTAGTAGTCGTCGCCACGACTGATGACTTCCTTCACTGTAGGTCGCAACAGAATGGTCTACCTCGTATGTTAGTTGGAGATTGCCGAAAACTCCTAAGAAATAACTTACATGTTCAAACTGTGCAGTGTATGAGCCCTTTTTATCAACGAGGGGTGGGTAATCCTCCACGATTCCAGATTGAACAAGGTTATTCAGCTATGAGCATGTCAGCAACAGTGTAGGTCAACTCAATAGATGCGAAGGATGACTTACACCAAGAAGATACTTCTCCTGGCCCAATCTATCTAAATATCGCCTGCAGAATGGGATTGTGCCAAAGTTCTTCTTGATCACGTTCAGGAGCGACTTGGCGGAAGACAGACGCAGATCGACCTTGGGGGCATCACTACGAAGAGCGTAGTGCGACACTTCGCCCTGGTCGTGAACGTAACCATTTCCAGTGCTTCCGAATGTCTCGATGGCGAAAACATCGCCTTCCTCCATCTTCGTCGTGTCGGCCGACTTGACAATCGGGACGCTCTTGGTTCCGTGGATGCTATATGGGAGAATCGTGTGGCCGGTGAGGTTGCGGATCGCCTTGACAGGATAGGTTGTGCCATTGATCTCGCACTCGTAGCTCTCCATGGCTTCTTGTATCTTCTCTCCTAGCTCTCCGAGGCGCACGTCGATACCGGCCTCCTTCACGCCGGTGTTGGTGGCGTCCTTGACAGCCTCAAGTAAGTTATCGTACATGGGGTCGAATGCCATGGTGAAGGCACTATCGACGATGCGTCCGTTGACATGGACGCCGATGTCGACTTTCATAACATTGCTCTGCTGTAAGACCGTTTTGTTGCCCGCATTCGGGCTATAGTGTGCAGCAATGTGATCAAGATTGAGTCCAGTAGGGAACCCCATACCGGCCTTGATGGCATCACCTTCAGCAAGACCGTCGTGGCCGACCAATCGACGAACACTATCCTCGATGCCGTTTGCGATCTCGGTTAATGTCTGCCCCGGCTTGATGTTTCGCTGCGCCCATTGGCGGACCTGTCTATGCGTCTCAGCAGCATAACGGTAGTCGTTAAGGAAATCGGGGTCAAGGTTGTCGAGGTGTCGCTTTTCCTCATTTGTGGTTCGGTATCGGTTCTCGTCGACGTATTCGACTTCTTCACCCTTGGGATAGATCTTGCTCGGGAAGAGGTCGGATAGCAGAACGCTCGGGGGATCAGTCTGGGCGGTGGGGGCCTTCTTCTTCTTCTTGGGCTTTTTTTTCTTGTTCTTCTTCTTTTTGGCGGCTTCGGGAGCAGCATCAGCTGCTTGTCCATCAGGGTCATCGTCGGATTCGTCAGCGGAATGCCCCGCCGCGTCGCCGTTAGCCGCCTTAGGACCAGCGTCGCCAACTGTATAAGAGGTTTCTACGTTAGATCATCACCTGAAAATGAAGATATGGTTGATATTGACACACCTGTGAGCTTCTCAAGTCCTTCGGAAGGTACTGTAGCAGCCATAGTTGGAACAATATGGAGTCCTTAGGTATCTTGGAAATTACACGGGCTTCACAGTCGCCGCATAAGTAGTAAATCTAAGTAGGATAATCTACTGCAGGGAACCCCGCCAAGCAAGCATGTCAATTGGAGGGCGCTACGGTGCAACAAAAATTACTTTCGAGGTACCTTGGACTAGCTCGAAACTGCGGGGCAAACCTGCTTCCTAGACTTACACCTAGGTACCTACCTAGTCTCACTTGATTTAGGCGTACCTAAGTTTTGACTCGGAGTTTAACAGTAGACCCTGATTGCAACTGTTAAGACATGACCATTGGGATTATATTCCAAGTTTGTAGATGGGAAGATTGGCCTAAAGCCCTAGCACTGTTGACTACCTATACCTAGGTATATATAAAGGTATGCAGATGGGAGGAGAAACTCAGTAGGGGCCCCTGCCCAATTCAATACATGTTGGCGCGACCATTCGTTCAAGTACTTGTTCCTTCTAAACATCTACAACTTTTCAAAGTAAGAAACAACGATCAATTATATCTATTAATAAACAATTATTCGACTGTTTATCGGCAGTTATACAGCAGTTAAACGTTTGAACATCTCAATCGTATGAACGCACTTTAGCATCCAGAATTCTATTCTTTATCGCTGATTAAGTGGGTACTAATTTGCTACCTAAACTCCTTGACATTGAAGGAGCTCATCCCAGGACCGCTAACAAGTCATGCTGCAATTAATACACTAGTTATTCTGTGGTGGTTAGGAAAGTTTGACGTTCTTTCCCTTGCTTTTTGAGGGCTTCGCCTGTTTCGCTGCTTGAGGGTCCTAGCGCTTCTTGACGCTGGGTCGAGGTTTGCACTCCTCTCCTTGAATTGGGTGTAGCATTATTTTGTTGGGGTAGGTCGGATTGTTTCCCATGAACCCCTTGCTCCAGTCGTAGCCAACAGCATATGCGAAGATAGTGCCGGAGCTGTTGAACGTGGTAGCTGTGATGCTACCACCAACGGTCGGATAGCCTTTGAGTCGGTGCTTGGCATCCTTGTCCCAGAAGTGGAATGTGCCGTCGCTACCGGCAGTACTGAACGTTCCGTGTTGGGGATGGAATGAGATATCGTTGACTGAGTAGACTGGTGTGATGTTGTTCGAGGGAGTATCCCGGTGGCATTTGAACGAGAAGTTGGAGCTTGATTATTGAACGTCAGCATGTATGACCAGGTTAAGAGCTGCAAGAACGACTAACCTTGAGTCCTTATCTTCCACGTATTGTATGGCACACCGTCCCTCGATGCTGCCAATTGCAAACCCAGAGGCGTCTGTAAAGCAGCTCACGACTTTGGTCTGCCACTTGAGAGGACTTTGAAGGGTCTTGTAGAATTTGAGAGGGTCTTGTAGGTTGATCACGTTGATATACCTGTCCGCGGTGCCAACGACAAGGAGGCTGTTGCGTACATCCATGGTGTATACACGCTCTTGACAGGTCACAGTACCAACAGGTGTCTGTGATCTCAGATCCCAGTATTTAATGGTCTTGTCCCATGAACCAGTAACAAGCATGGGGCCGTTGGAATTTGGGAGTTCGAAAAATCGGGCGGCTCTGACGGCATTATCATGCGCCGCGACCTGTACGGTCTGAAGGCTTTGGAGATCGCAGACCTTGGCCTGTTTATCAGCGCCACATGATACGAGCTTGTTTCCGTCCTATGGCAAAGCATTAGCAAGGGCCGTCAGCCGGGTGGCATGAAACTAGGATAAAAGAGAAAAATCGAATTCGAACCTTTGAAAAATCAACATTGAATACGGGCGCGTCGTGCTCGATTATATGCTTTCCCTCACTAGAACCATTGGCTGCTATCTGGTAAATTCGGACCTTCTTATCCCAGCTCGATGCGGCGAGGATGTCGGCGGTAGGAGAAAAGGCAATGTCGGAAACAGTGTCCTCTGGGGGGTTGGTAATGGCAACGTCATTCTTCAAGTCGCCGATAGTGTTGCCTCCAGACGAGCTAGAGGCGGCGCTGAACAGACCCGACATTTTGTCTAGTCGTCGATGTAATGAGTGCGGATACTTGCTTTGAAAATGTACACAAAGCAGGGCGGGAGGTGATTCTGTAGTAGCGTTGAATATTGGGTGAATGATTGGAGAGGACTCTGCGTCGAAGGACGGGCGCAGGGCGTAGGACAATTTATGAGGGTTTGAGCATGTTCTTGCCCTAAGCAACTTCTGTTCTGGAAGTCAAAAGGAATCTCGTCACGGAAGGTTGGTGGCGCAACGAAAAGGCTGCGTTTCGATTTGAAAAAGTCAATGGCTGAAGCTACTGCTGAATGAAGTCGTTACCTACAAAAATGGTTGGTCGCGTACTTGCAGCACTACAGCGTCGCGACAAGGTGTCTGGAGGAAGGTACTTACCAACGTACATACACAAGTACCCTCACAGCGGCTACTACGTACAACGGCTACTTATTGAGAGAAGCCAGCTTATAGGGTACATGCTGGATAGGCAGGGCAAGTACCTACCAGCTGCCATCGAGCTTACCTACAGTAGGTACCTAGGTAGGCCAATGAGCTGAGAAGGGCGTTACAGGGCTTCTAATTAGCCCGAAGAGAAAGCCATGATCCCCACATATGTCCCCACTGTAACAGAGCCCCACAGCCGCCAAAAAAATCATACAAAACCGTCCAAGGTCAAGCCGAGAATTTACTTTTCTTTTATTTTCTTCTACAACCCCCTCGCCCAACAAATCGCTATCGAAGCTACACACAGAGACAGCGGTTTCGGTCGTCGTCTCACCATTCAAGCTTTGGGAGAAAGTCCCCGGACACCTCTTGCGCTTTTCTCTCGGGATCAGCTACGAAGAAGACCGCGGAAACGCGCCGCCATAGAAGCACAGCGGCTCACGTTCGCCTTGCATTCGTTTTCCTGTAAGTCCAGCATGCTTTCGCATCCGCCCCTCCTGCCCGGCTTGGCCTCGGTCTTGCTGTAAGAAAATCTGTTCTGCCCACCCATGCGTTGCCCGACACTGCGGGTTCGGTTCCGTCTCTCGCCGGCCTTGAAGTCCCCCAATGGACGAAGATATGAGTCCGCGGCTTCTTGGCTTGGGAGTTCGGCCGTTCTCTGGTGTCACCGTGCTCGTATGGCGGCAGTCTAGGTGGTAGGCTTGGCTGTGGATCGGATGCTCTGGTTGGGAGGACATCATGGATGCAGGTTGAACATACTTTTGTCGAGATCGATAGTTATGCGATTGCCTGGCTTTGTTCGCTTGTCGGGCAGGCTTGGTTACTCGATGGGGCTTATTCTTGGTGCAAGGGGGTTCGTCCACAAAACGTGAGTTTTGTGCGCAGTGGGCGTTGTTAGTGGCGTCAGGTCGGCATCTTCCACGGCTAGCAGCTAGATGCCGTTTTCTACACTCTAGGCTTCGTGGGAAGTCCCCTTGGTATCCATGATGCTCTGCCTGGTTGACTCGGCCTATAAGTACTGTGTTCAGGTGATGATATCCATTAATAGAGTCAAGCACTGAGGCGATCCACATGTGGTGAACCCCTTGAAGACTTACAAATGCGTTATGGTATCTGATGAGCATTTTTATTTTTATTTTGTTACAGCTGTAAACTGAACCACTTGGGAAGAGAAATTGTTATTCCCTTTGATAGTCAATATTGAATTAGGAAGTATATAATATCCCGTGAGGGACAATGTCTACATATTAGTTCAAACATACGCCTCATACCCATCCCTGGCCATGCAATGACTGATAACGTAGTAGTAAGACAGTAACGCCGTGGTCGCTTAGGCCTTTTCCTAGCTTATGCATGACAAAGCAAACATCGAAATACTCTCACATCAGTCCACCTAGAACCACTTTACCAACATTCGCGACTTCTTGCTTCAGGCCGGTTCTGCTAGAATCTTCGAACTCTTTCACAACTCCCTGGATGATGATTTTGCGTACGCGCGAATCTGCTTTCGTGAATAGCTCAAGGATTAGAGGTGTGCAATCCTTTGGACCCGTCAAGAGACTCATAAGCCGAGAGTAGCAGTCGATGAGGACATCGCATAGCGTTGCAAACGTCTCAAAGAAATCAGGATCAAAGGGTAGGTTGGGGGTGAGTAAGTGTGTATACTCCTCCCCTGCTACCAAATCGTTGCCCTCCCCACCGAGACCAAAGTTGATTACCGAAGCAGGCGCCGCATTAACTGCTGACCCATCCTTGTTGAAGCTGGCGGCGTTAGGATCTGCGTAATCAATGCTTGCTGCTCCTGATTGTCGGCGCCCCTTGCCACCTGGTCGACGAAACATATGCGGCAGGCGGGCACGCGATAATGAGCTTGAGCTCACCCCATTCTCGGTATGAATCTGTTGATAGGAGTCGAACTCATTGAGTAAAGTATTGAGTGAACGCAAAAACTCGAGTGGCGTGGATGAATTCAAATCGATGACAACGGGTATTGAAAGCCCCAGCAAAAGGTAGTTTGTCGCACGGCGCGCCAGCTTTCGACTATCAAAGTAGGGCATGCGAGCTAAGTCAGGCTTATCGAAGAGGAGCGTATTAAACCAGTAAATACGTCCTTCATGGCTATAGTAGGCAGTATTTATGTTAGCTTCAGTTCCACACGGGTAGGAGCCCCGAAGCAGTATTGGGGAAACTTACGCTTTGCGGAGGTAATCTAGCGTTGATATCCTCTTATTCGCAAGGTCTTGAATATGACTATAAAGCGATGGAGATTCTGTCGGTATCATAGGAATGCTAGACTGGGGCGACAGATTTGCCCCTGATGCTCCAGACATTGTTTGTTGGATACCGCCTGAGGGCGCAGACATCGTGCGGCTGATCATCTTAGAAAACGAGTCGACTGATGTCGGCGACAGCACGGCGTCAGGATCTCTCGCGACCTTGGCGGCGGCGGCGAGGGCGTAATCAGGAAGGGCCGGCGGTGCGGTTGCGTCGGTGATGATTTGCCCTCCGCTTCCTCCCCCGTTCGAGGCAGACGAGCTCGCGCGCCGCTTTCCCTTGGACGGGGAGGAAATGGAGGACTTGCGACCGAAGGAAGGCCGCCGGCTGTGATCTTTCGACTGGTCGCCGGAGCTTGTTCCAGGACGTGATTTACTGTTACTGCTGTTCGCGCTGGCGCCGGGAGCTGAGCCTTGCGTATTCGAGTCGGATTTAGATGAGGTGCCCCAAATATTAGTAGAGAAAAAGGGAATAGTCCCTTGGACTGCTGGTGCAGAGCTAGCAGAACGCTGCATGGCGCGCGTTGTGCTCTGGAAACGCCCTGTCAGCGGCACTCGGGGATGTGGCAGGTAGGTATTAGTGTATAATTGTTTCCCAAGAGTTTAGCGCGATCCTTTGACAGGCTGACAAGGCCTTGTCCCGTCGGCCTGAAGTACCGGTACTCTGGGCCCAGCGCCCTGGACCACTGTGATTGGGTACCGAGGCGGGACTGCGCAATCTTTTCTTTTTGACCTTTCTCGCCGGTTCCTCCTTCTCTCTTTCTCAATGTTCGGGCAATTCGCTGAGGAAAACCACAGAATAGCAGTTAATAGTGGTCAAAGCAAGTGTGTATGTGACAAGACAAGAGAGTCTAAACAGAAGGCCGCAGAGCGCAAACGAATATTGTGGATAGGTCAGGGATGGGATGAGCGGAAGTGTATCAGTTTGTCGGCAAAATCCAATGCGATTGGACTGACGTTTAACCAGATGGTGTCGTGAGGAACCAATGAGCACACCAAACACGGCTCAAACCGAGGGCCAAGACAGTAACGATTGTGGTGGTAGGAGAACCATACAAAGACACCTCGGTGAAACAGAGACGAATGTGAAATAAATATGGAAGAAGGGAAGAACCTGAAGTTGCTGACAATTACAAGATAATAATATCATGACTCGCATACCAAAGACGGAAAAGAAGCAGAATAAAAAAGAAAAAAGAAAACCCACACATCGACTAATTTAACTCGTTTAATGAGCCTATTCGACAGACAGCGAGGGATGTGTAGGTGATGCTTTTTAGGGATGGATTCTCGTCCTCCGTCAGCAGCGTCTTACGCGATGCAACCGTAGTGTTGGCCGGCTAGGCTAGATTGAGCCCAGTGAAACAGTGTTGACAACTCACGTTCAGCCCGTCGGCAGCTCCAAAGAACCGGGCAGCAACTGGAGAACCCTAGCAGAACATGGAGACGGCAGCGCCGATTGTGATTGGCAGCGCCAGATAAGGCCGAAATAATATGGCGTGAACACATACCGAGAGGTGAGGTGACGACATAGGTAAGTATTCAGGGTCTTTTCAGACGATAGCTAGTGAAGCTGAGATCCATCAGGTACGCTACTCATACTTGTACTTTGGATTAACTACCTAGGTAGGTACCTATAAATAGGATAGGACTCATTCATGGAAATAAGGACCTACTTACACGTGTAATCCAGGGCAGTGGACAACAACTAGCTATACGGTAGGTATTGTCTGTAATTGTCCTATGGACTCGTGTAGGAATTAAAATTATGAGCTGGACAAATGTCAATGCGCTTACAGGCAGCTGAGAACCACAGAGAGCAGGTGGCTTGGTGCTGAACCTACCTAACCTACCTAGCATTTCGATTTTCAGATACACGACAGGAAATACTTGCTGCAGTGCCGGATTCTTAAGGCTTTATTGCAGGCAGATGTGCAGGATATAAGAACAATACCTACCTAGTTGGACATGGAGCCGTCAGATCATGCATCTCCGGAAAATATTGATTAGGAGATTGGGATGTGCGAGATCCTGGATGTGGTCAGAAGCTGCACCTCCAGTCCCGCAGACAGGGCTGGCCATACTTACATAGGGGTGCCTTGTAACTCGATATGTATTTATCGGGGTTGAAAGTTACAACCTCAACCCCGCAAAACGCGCGACGCGTGTAGGTAATACTTTAAGGCATTAATTGGTACTGCTTTAGACGTGATCTTCCGCTGTGTAGGTACAATCTCGCAATCTTAGCGATCTTCGCATTCTGTGCCAAATGCTGCGATAATGCCCAGGTAGGTAGGCCACCATGTTGTCTGATTGCCTGTTAACAAGCCAACAAGGGAGATCATTACTATCCAAGCGGGCCAATGTGGCAATAGCAGTATGTTGAACCACGACTAGATGTACCTGCTTTCTGCCATTCGCGAAGCATCATATGCTAACTCTGCTCAGTCGGCAGTCAATTCTGGCAGCAGCTATGCCAAGAGCATGGAATCAACCAAGATGGAAACTTGGAGGATTTTGCAACCGAAGGTGGCGACCGCAAGGACGTCTTCTACTACCAGAGTGATGATACGAGATACATACCCCGAGCAATTCTCATAGATCTAGAGCCCCGTGTCATAAACGGTATACAGTCGGGACCATACAAGAATATCTATAATCCAGAAAACTTCTACATTGGCAAGAGCGGCATAGGTGCTGGTAACAATTGGGGTGATGGATACCAGTCGGGAGAGGCCGTCCACGAGGAAATCATGGAGATGATAGACCGAGAAGCCGACGGTAGTGACTCTCTTGAGGTATCTTCGAGACTATCTCCGCTATAATCATTTGGCACTAACGGCGCTTACAGGGCTTCATGCTACTTCACTCCATTGCCGGTGGGACAGGATCCGGTTTGGGATCTTTTCTCCTTGAGCGGATGAACGACAGGTTCCCCAAAAAGATCATACAGACCTACTCCGTGTTCCCGGATACCACAAACGCTGATAACGTCGTTGTTCACCCTTACAACAGTCTCCTCTCGATGAGACGGTTAACGCAAAATGCCGATTCTGTTGTTGTATTGGACAACGGGGCATTGTCTCACATAGCTGCGGATAGACTCCATATACAAGAGCCTTCATTCCAGCAAACAAATCAGCTCGTGTCAACTGTAATGTCGGCCAGTACTACGACGCTTCGTTATCCCGGCTATATGCACAACGACCTGGTCGGAATTCTAGCCTCACTGATCCCTACTCCACGCTGTCATTTCCTCATGACTGCGTACACACCCTTTACTGCAGACCAGGTCGAACAAGCTAAAACCGTACGCAAAACGACTGTCCTGGATGTGATGCGGCGTCTTTTACAGCCTAAAAATCGCATGGTGTCAACCATACCAGGCAAAAGGAGCTGTTATATCTCGATTCTCAACGTAATACAGGGTGAGGTCGACCCAACAGATGTACATAAGAGTCTGCTGCGTATTAGAGAACGCAAACTAGCAACCTTCATTCCGTGGGGTCCGGCGAGTATCCAGGTCGCCCTGACCAAACGCAGTCCTTACGTTCCAATGAGCCATCGTGTCAGTGGTTTGATGTTAGCAAACCATACGAGCATCGCTACAGTAAGTCTTCCAATCAAAACTACTCATGTTACTAGGTTTCATAACTAATCCTCTACTAGTTGTTCAAACGTATTGTAAAGCAGTATGACGGCATGCGAAAACGGAATGCCTTTATGGAAGGATACAAAAAGACAGCCCCCTTCTCGGAAAATCTACATGAGTTCGATGAGGCCAGAGAAGTTGTGACAGACTTAATAGCTGAGTACGAGGCCGCAGAGAGTGCCAACTACCTAAATCCAGATGAGGGTGAAAAGGCAACGTCTGCCGAAACCGACAAAAGAATGGGCTAGTATATGCACACGACATCTCCTCTAGGCCGAAATACAGGAAGACGTAATGTTTTTTTCTGAAGGCCAAAGTATTTATAGTAGACGAGTCAGCAGCTCTACGGTTTGGCGTTTCGGTTAAAGTGCATCCGCGTAGTAGTGGATCACCATGGCTAGGTAGATACCACTCAGCGACAATGAAATCTAATATGACTAAATTCTGCCTCTCTGTGTCGAGCAAGACGCCAGATGTTAATAGAAACAACAGGAGCTGCGTAGAATGAACGGGAATGTGAGTTCCAGAGGCCATCGCGCTACATTACATGTAGTAGCCTTAGTGGCCTCAACTGTCCCTCAGTGAAGCCTCAGCCAACTACTAGTACATATTCACGTACATTTTCGAGCTGCACAACCTGTTCACTATTAGCAATAATTATCATTGCGTAAGTCAATTTCCTTGCGTTCGTCACATATGGGTCGTTAGCCAATTGTTCTGCCTATTCTGGACCTTTCTGGGGCCGATATGATCCCACATAGAACGGCTCTTGACGTCAGATAGCGGTACCCCTCGAGACGTGACGTCACGGTTCTATAGTCCGACAAGGCATTCTAAGTCTCAGCACTACGAGAAACGAATATTAAAAGCCGAAGGTCCAGTGAAGAAATGAACAATTCAATCTTCATCCTCAACATCAATCACAAAACAGCTAGCATCAATTGCTCCTAAGACTATTCTATCTGATCTTTGATCTTCATTCCACCAAACCACACTCAGTACGTTCGCCTTCCTTTAAACTATGCCCCTCGCTTTCCTGTTGAGCAATTTGAACAGTTTAGCTGACTTCCAATAGAAATGACTCACGCATCCATGGACCAGAAGACCAAGAAGATCGAGGAGGTTCGCTCCAACCTTCCTCTCCCTGAGCAACCCCCCGTCGCTTCCGACTGGCAATCAGCAGATGCTCGCAACGTCAACGTCGGCACTGGCGGTGTATCAAGTGATGTCTCTACTGGCGCCGGCTCAACATCTGGCCTTCGTGAGCCTGCCTCAAAGGCTGATGCCGACCTGAGCAAGGTCGGTCGCCAAGGCAAGGACAACCTCGAGGGTCCTCCCAAGGATGCCTCTTATTAAACAGCATCCACATAAACAACAAAAAACGAAAATATACCCGAAACAAACATTGAATCGAATTGGTGGCATGGCATTGACTTTGACTTAATCGGCAAATGTCATCTCGGCGCATTTGGGTGGATCTTATGGGCCTTTGTATGAATATTACGGAATCTTAGCGCATGAATCATATGGTGCATCATGGTGGTTGACATCGGGGGGCTCACAAGATTTTGCTACCCTAGAATAGTCTACCAATGAAATTCGTACAAGACGAAACAATTCAACAGTTCAGACGATACCTGTGAGACTTAAGATAGATTATCCGGTTGCATATTATTGATACGACATACCCAAACTAGAGCAGTATCTTGATACGAAGCCTCTCACTGAGGTAGCTTTGTGCCTCAGGTTCAATTAGTCACCTAATAATTATGCGTTTCGCAGGTAAGCTAGACAAAAACACGTTAATCCATCCGCGGGTGATCGGCCGCCACGGGTGATAGTCCCATTCTTGACACGTTGTAGGACGGAAATCCGTCGGCGGTCCTCGTTTGACATACACTAATGTAACTAATCCGACTCTTTCGTATACATCTACACTGCCCTCCATTGATTGTACCACGATTCCTACCACCAAGTGATGTCCTCCGTGTTGTATCATTAGCGGAAGGATGAACTTCGCGCCTGATGTTCGCCCGTATATTGGGCCATTCAGATCGAAGATATAGTCGGGTGTGAATTGGTGCACGGCCATTACTTCATTGATCCGAAAGCCTCGGTTTTCCTTGCCCACATCTTTCATGAAGATCGAGACTTCTAGATCCTCGGATGTCGTGGCTATTAGTGGTCCACTATGATGGGCCATGTCAGATAAGGCGACTATTTCGAACGAAATGATGTCTAAGGTTAGATACTTACCTGAATACCAGCTCAGACCGCGAGCACCGACCTAGGTACGGCGACCCAATGGACTCAACTTGAACCGCTTCCAGCTTGGTGCAGTCCAACGGGTAATGCGGAGACATATAGTTCTTGAACAAGAACCATTTTACCCGGGAGTTCACAGAAGCCCATGACCATGAAGGTGCGTGAGTGTTTGCAGGCTTCGCGGTGGGCCCATTTGCCGAGTTCTGAGGATACGTCTCCCACAGCATGTCGAGGAGGACCGAACTAGTCCATAGCCCTGCAAGAAACGCATCGTCTACCGCTCTATCCTTGGCAAATCCTTGTGAAATAGCAGCTAGGGCGGGCAATTTGTCTTTCTCGAAACTCAGCTCGAGACCCGAGTAATCGCTAACTGCGTCGTACCACGGGTGGTCATTCGGTGACCCATCGTCCCATGAGTCATTGTGTTTCTCGATCGGCGGCGCGTGGCCGTCGTGGAAGGTAATCGTCGCGTAGTCAGAATCGTTGCTTCCGCTCTCGCTGCGCCGGTGTGTGCGGCATTGCCATATCACTTCCTGGCTGCCGAAGTGTAGGACGCGCCTCGACAGCGACATCTCCTGATAAACCCAGCCGCGGAGAAGTAGTGGCCAGCCCTCTGCTGTCTTACTTCCTGCCGGACCACCGAGTCGGGGCATTTTGCCCCGAATGAACACTGACCCGTCTATCACTGTACCGCAGTCTACGTAGCAGGGGTCTCTGTCGCTGTAGCAGCCTCCCGTCCCGTCTTTAGACTTGGTCGCGGCGATGGTGAGGAAAGCGTTGGCGTAGATGTCGGCCATCTTGACGGATTCGTTTGCCCAGTCCTCATCGCTATCTTGTATGATGCAGAGCGAGTCAATCCAGAGATATCGGATGTCTAGTCTCCTGCAAATATCGACCGCATCTTGAAAGGTTCTACTCAAGCTTTGCCAAGGAATGTCTTCTTTGAAGGTGTCTATTGTTGTTGAGAGAGTCTTGATAGGACTCTGGGATGGACCCCAGCAATGGCTCAGGCAAGCGTAAGCATGCGGTTTGATGTCTTCTACAAGGACAATCTTATGGTGCCTTAGATCTAGGACCCGCTTTGGCATGTAATCTTGATCAAACCGGGCAGCGTGACATAGCCTGTGACTCGTCGTCTCACACTCTTTGATCCATCCCCGAATTCTCACCATGGTTCCTTCCGATGCTGTGCTACGTGAAAGCGGATAGCCCGTTTGGATCGTCGGCAACGTAGTAGAGTCACCATCTATACCCCACAATCTCTATCAGGGCACACAGCACGTTAGATTTCATTAGTGTTACATACTAGGTAATTTGAAGATCTCATAAAATTGCCGCCGGTCAAAAGTCAGCCTCTTCGGATCAGCTTGAAAAATAACCCTCTGATTAGTATTGGTGTGGTAATTACGAACAGCGCGGTATCGAAGATCACATGTCTGGCAGCCGAGCTCCGCTCCAGAATGCAAGCGTCCGAGGTCCAGGATCTGAAACTCCCAGGGATCGATGTCGTCTTTTGGCCGGGAGCAGTAGAAGCAGACTGGGTCTGTTGGCTTAATAGCTGGGACAGGCGGGTCAGTCGCCGCCATTACTGAGAGATTGGGTAATCCTTGTGACTAGAAAATAAGCCCGAGGAGGATAATGGAGTTGAATTGGAATCTATCAGGCTGGGGAGCTCGTTCGTTTCGGCCCCCAAATCTAACTAGCGCCTGCGTTTGAGCCCAATCAGTTTCTTGCCCTTCAGCCCTTGACTATCTCCAATAGTGACATCCTCGGAGAAAAAGGATTGTTAGCTGAGTTGGACTACTTTATGTCACCTTTTGATTATGTATTAACACGTATTCTTATTCAAAACATTATTGAATTCTGTTATTTGACATGATCAAACAACACCTGCTTATTCTGATAGTCCAAACGCTGCATTCATTGCCTGTGACTCAACCCCCTGGGAGCAGCTTACGAATTGATCAACAGATTCACAACATTATTTCAATTCTTAACTCAATACCTACCAATAGAGATAGAGATACAAACCATGTTTCTTCGGTCTTGTATTCCTCTAATTATAAGAAGCTACATGAGGGCACAAATTCTTTTTCTTGCGCTTTCCCCATTTTGCCCACCCCATACAGAGGTTCATACACATACTAGGGTATTGTGAGCCCTTACTCTTTAATACTCTTTACTTACGACTCGAAAGCAAATAATAGATTTGTCGTGGGGATTTGGCACTCTGTTTGCACATTTCCTTTGTCAGTTTGTTTTGCCGGGCAACTGCTCATAGATAGGCAGGGAAGTACCCAATGTGCTCAGCATAACTACACAAAGCTTCTGTGACGGCAGTTGACCCTGGATAACATGAGAAGGAGTGTTTTCACTACACTTTTCTTATTCATTGCTGAGATGGATTTAAAGGCATCCTGAGAGCTTTGGGTGCTTAACACATGGTGACCCCTAAACCTTTCACTGAGCCAGAATAATTTCCATAAATGCCTAACAACCAATATCAGGAGGCATCACTAATGTGCTCTTGGTCATTCAAGTATTTTTAGGTCCGTGAACTCTGAAACGCCTCTATCATCCAGGCACCTTGGCCTAGATAATGAACATACCTGTATTCTTTTTGAATCCATACTGCAATATGCCCTGTCAACATGGAGGAATAACAACACATTGGCTTGTCAGAAGAGGAGAGTGTCTAGGTCTCTATAGGTACAGATGTTGTTGTCCCTTACAACAGTGACATGGCTGCCACGGTAGGTAATGCCCATGCCTGTCTCAGGGTCTCTGGGTGCTAAGTAGGGTCATTGCCTAAAGAATGATATATATACCAAGATACCTGATGGCTCATCTCCTATGATGTCGTCGTTGTGGTGGGGTGTGTAGCACAGGTCACCTCGACGATAGCTTCCTTCCTACATTGTTACAAGGCAGGTACCAGCCCTAATCTGCATGCCCCCTACCTCCTTCCCGTCTGCAGATTGCTCCTCTACAAACAGACCTTCTTCTTCTCTCTCTGCTCTTCCGTTTCCTCCTCCTTCTACACCTGTCTCTCATCCCTCCCTTCTCCCACACACCTTCACTTTTCCCAGTCAGACCCAGCAGCCTTAGTCAACACTATACTCTTGCTCTCAATCTCAATCCTACATCAACAGAGTGTGGGATTTTCCCTGCTTCTATCTGTCTCTTCCAGCTCTAGCCATCAGAGCAATACATGCAATTTCTTCAATCACCTTTCAGCCTTGGAGAAGGGCACGCTTCGGGTATCTACTCCACTCCCACCAGCGCAATGGTTTCCAGTGGAGGATCCTAGCACAACCTAGAGCCATCTTCCTACAGCCTAAGTCTCTTGCATTCCTTCGTCTCTCATCACAAGCCTCTGCTGCTCACCAGTCATCTGTTTCCTCCCAGACCTAAGAAGGTAGCTATAGAAACTCAAGACCCAGTTGGACAACGACAGCAAACATGGCTGGTAACGGTTCCACTGAGCCTTCCATAGAGTCGGTGAGGGCGGCTATGATGGTAGGTTCTCTCTCTCATGGCTAGTCAGCATTCATCTTTTGCACATCTTGTTATCATCAATGTTTGTCCCATGAGCCTGGGCTTTCTAACCTTACAACTCTTTCCTAGGACGATTTAGGTCCTCATCGACTAGAAGAACTTGCACGAGACGACAGCCGAATATCTCGTCAAAGGCAGGCTCGTGTGATCCCTCCAATTCCGCCTAGAGTGGCTCACTTGCAAACCCGTGGCTCGTCTAGCAAAGGTCTCGCCGAGAAATGGTGTGGTAAGTATTATCAGAATCTGCTTGTACATATGATATAGCTGATGCATTGAAACAGCCGCAATTCGAGAAGGGGAATTCGACGATGACGATGCTGCTGCTGTTAAGGGTTTAGACCCTTTAGATAGTGGCAATGCGCATCGTATAAATCGTCTCGGTGGGCAGTCAGATAGGCGCCAGCACAACCCGACCCAAGCTGAAAATTTCATGGGACCTGTCAAACGAGCCCGGTATGACCCTAGGTACGAAGGTCATCTTATCTGGATCGATGACATGACTAATCTGTAAGCAGTGAACCAACATATTCACGAAAATTCAAATTGGCAAGCAAAGACCCAAACGTGAGCCATCGTCAGGATATGTTCAATGCTACACCTGGTGGGCCTGTCTTAGGAGGGTTATGCCCTGAAGGAGGTGAGGTTAAAAGATGGAACTCGGGAAAACAGGTGGAGGGATTCAAGAACATCACCAACTTGCCGAACCTTCCTACTAGTCGAGGACAAACTCCCAATCGCTCCAGAGGTTCCCCCGAAAAGTCAATTCAGACCCCTGGCCACGTTCGTGGTCGTGGCCGTGGCGGCGGAGGAGCTCAGCCTCCATCCAGACCTTCCCCAAGACATGAAAGCATGACTTTTCAACCACAAGAGCACATCAATGAGAACTCTGGCAGACTCCCTCAACCACCACAGTCTCCCCGTGACACTTCATGGGTCCCACCACATCTACGGAAATCAAGTGGGAGTCGGTCTCCTGCCTCGCCAAGCGCCGCCGTTTCTCGGCAGACTTCACCTCGACCTAGTCAATTAACGATAGGAGACTCCACCCCCAGTCCGCTCGAGAAACTTCACGAGACTACGAACCTGAATGCACGGGAGGTTTTCTTCCAGGACAACGTGACCGTGGTACAATATGGTGAGCCTAATCTGCCAACAAGAGGCCAAATAACCATTTACGAACTTCTCGATGCGCCAGTATGTATCTGGGAGCTGGCGATTGAAGGCAAGGAGACCAAAAGGGGTGATATACGTGAGCTATTAGAAGTGCTTGAGAATGGGAGTACGAGCTACCTTCGCCGGCATCGTGCTGGTGGTCCAGTCCGCTCCAATCCCCTCCAGTTTTCAGACATTAACAAGGCGAAAAAGTTCGTACAAGAGGCAAATCTTCGTCGGATTCAATATATCGGTTCTTCTGAGACAATCTACGACGAAATTACTTTGCCTCTTTCGTTAGCTCAGAATGCGGCAGTTTGCAAAGCAGCAGTTGAGCCAGTAGATGAGAAGACTCAACAGATAGTTAAGCCTCGACCACAGACGCCGCCTAAGGCAGCCGCTGTCAACCATCAACGGATGGAGTCTGGATGGAGTGACAAAGATTTGATCTCTTTCAGCCCAGGTCCAACTATCCAGTCCCAGCAGAATAATGGCGGAACACGGTTTGAACGCGAACAGTCTGTAATTGTCAAGATGGAAACTTCAAGTGGATTATCTGCTCAGAACCAAGCAGATCACGAAGAACTGGTCTCGAAACCAATGATAAACGAAGGACATCAGGTGAGACAGGAAGTCAAGCCACGCAATCGAGCAGAGGAGGCTACAAAGGCGCTTCGAAATGTTGAAGTCGATATTGTTCGTCATCTATCCCACGCTAGTCTTGAGCTTGTCGCCGAAATCTCCGACGAGTATGACCAGTTAACCCACAGATCCACGTTACTAAGCATTGCACTTGATACGCCTCATCGGGATCCTGCCTTTCTAACTACACTGACACACCTGGCCCAGAAGCCAAAGTTTCTGGATTTGTCGCGCGACGATCAGAAGGATTGCCTCTCGGTTATTTGTAGTATAGTCCGTCATGGAGATGCACGCATTGTGCGCTCGCAGGAGGAAATTCGGGCACTTCGTAGCGAGGAAGCTTGTCCAGAAGCGATCAAGGAGTTGAACGCTCTCATCCAGAGGCAGCGAGGGGGGGTACCTATATCTCAACCCACTCATGTGAGGTCATCAACTGCCGACACAATGACAATGTTGGTTGGCCAATTGGAGATGTTGAGTATGAAATGAATGATAATGGTTCATAGGTACCTAGTCGTAATATACTGCTGCCTACAATACCTACTATTCTAAGTATATAGTGGTGATCCCCCTGACATATACCAAGTACATAAGTGAAGTATTGCACCTATTCCTCATGATGATTGAATGACTAGTCGATAAGGTGGGTAGGGGTAGGATCATGGGTTAAACAACTTACACGTACATACTATTATATTATATTATATTCTATGTAGGTATAAACAGTTACATAACTTTCCAAGGCCCTCCCTGTCGCCCGCTCTTTGTCAGCTGCTCGCAGCGTTGCTGTTAGGCTCAAGTTAGCTGCTGCTGCGACAACAGGGCAGCGAACAGGGGACAGGGGATGGCGGGGTACTGATACCTGGCCGGTGGCGGTGGTTTCGGCCCAACGAGCTTGTAGCGGTCTGTACCCGCCAGTGGGCAGACCCACTCACATCGGGACAACGAACCCCATCCTACCCATCCAACCCATCCACTCTTTTCCCTCTCATCAAATCACCACTACCGCCGCCTCCATACCTGCCTCCATACCTCTGCCTCCTAACCCCCAGGTACAGCTGTAGTGCCGCCGCTCGTCTCGATCCGGGCGACCAGTGCTGTCATTTGTGTGGGTGTGGATGCATGAGCAGTGGCTCTTCAGCCTTTAGCTTCCTGTCTTGCCAGTCGGTTGAGCGAGCCACCAGACCTTTTCTTCCCTTCTCCAACCCCAAACGCAGAACCAAGCCCGGCCGGCCGATCCTAAGACCAAACCCCCCGTCTACTTCTCCCACAACTCGACCGTCTTTTTGAGCAAACCCACCTCTTCCTGCCATCCATCCGCTTGTCGTGTGGCGAGGCAGACGACCGCCGAACTTGTCTTCACCACCTTGCCCACATCTTCATCGAAAACAAGAGCAGCATCATGAACGTTCTATTGTCGCCAAAACCCTCTTTTTTCCACCACCCTCACGATACCAACCGACGATCTCCCACCCGCTCCAGTACGTCACTCATTATTTTATCTCCCATTCTCCATATTCTCTACATCCGATTCATATCTGTAGCCCTCTCCGTACTTCAAAGGGTGCTCACTCACCAAATTTTCAATAGTGTCACCCTTCCATAATGCCATATCGGGCCATCGGAAACGCAAAGCCGACGATGATGCCGATGAAATGTCGGTCTCACCATCAAGCTCTCCCGCCGTACAGTCTCGCCAACTCGCTCGCCCATCGAAAAAGATCCGATCCAGCGATCCAACTGGTCGACCCCTATCTCTTCCTCGCCTTCTAGAAACCCTCGATATCGCACAGCTCCGAACAGTCCTTCAGACAATATGCGAACGACAGCCTGAGATAGCCGAAGAAGTGGTGAAAGGTGCCCCACGACCGTCCGTCGAGTCAGCATTGCAGGTCTTGGATGAGTATCAGACTAGGCTGCAAGCCGCTATTCCATATGGTGGCTCTGGTTCTGATTACACCTATTTCCGTGTCAAACAACCTCTCTATGCGCTCATTGATGCCGTTGCCGATTTTACACCTCAGTATCTACCACCAAATGAACCACAGGCAACAGTATCTCTGCAATTTCTAGATGGAGCAACGAAACTGGTCCACAACCTTCCGGAATGGGAGAGTCAAAGCTATCGTTACCACAAAGAGAATGCATATGATGAAATCTCAAAAGCTTGGGCGCTCGTCATCACAGAAGCTTCAAAGAAAGGCGCCGGTTTTGCACTACATTCAGATGGGTGGGACCAAATTTTGATGAAGCATAACCAACAGTCTGGCGGCCGATTACATACAGCTATGTCGGCCATGGCTCTTCATGTCGGCTGGGCTGGTGGCGTCTCTGATGCCGGAACATCGACTGGTTCATCAAACTCGGCCTCCATCCTTGATCAACTAATGGCTGGAAACTATAATTCTCCTGTACGGGTTGGTCCTTGGTAGAGGTATGACGGGCAGAACGAGAATGATACATGGATCTCGCATGGTCCGTGCTACGACAAACTAGAAGAAAAAAAAAAGCATTACCTTACTACATCGGGGAGCGTACGGCATTGCTGGTTTATGCATGCATTACAACAGAGGCAGTTGCATTCGCACTGCTTTCTCTGCTATGACAATGATTCACGGCGGCATCTCTTTTCATAAGGCATAGATTAGTGTGCGGCGTCATGGGTGGTACACTTTGGCGTTCTTAGTTTTGTGTCGGCGCATTAGGCCGTTTTTTTTTTCGATTTGATATCCCTGTTACCGTGCGAATTTGCGTGCATTAACATTGTGGCGATTGGATGTAAATTCAATCGAAGCTTTGGCTGTCATGTATAAGCCTGGCCAGGCTCTGCCTGAGTCGAGGCTCACCGGTTCTGTACATAGAGAAACATTTAGGCTTGCTAAGGATCAGAACAATCCCTAGTGTGGAGGCGGAAGTCTCTGAGGAGAATCCTCGCAACCAAACCAGAAACTTAACGACAATGATTCGAAACCATGTAATCCCGTTATTCATGCCATTCCTGATGATCAGTAACTCGATCTGATAAGCTGTTCATGTCATGCGCAAGGTGACTCTTATGAGATTATCCGATCCAGATTTCATACAAACAAATTCCAACAGCGCCACACGTAATATGTACTGAGATATACAATGTGTCCCTTTGCCAAAGCTAAGATAGGTATACATTGCCTACAATCAATAGAATTCTTCTTGCAAATCTAATGCTGGACTTTCATCAATATCGAATTTTCCATTCTAGCTAACTGTGAAAGTTAACACCAGGCTGTGGAATAAAACTATGCGTCTATACTGATTACCAAAACTTTCATCACATGTTTTATTCTTAATGCACGAATATTAACTTGCAGTTCTAGTAGAAGGCATTGGAACCTTAAATGCGACAAGGTGCTTCAGCAGACGAGCGCACATTGGTGTTCCCATGCAGTGGGGATGGTCCCGTGACTTGGTGTACATTATGTAATAAGAGTGGGGATTATTGACGTACCTGAGGGTAGACAGCTGTTGGATGAGCATCTTGACGCGTCTGGTGCCTCATTGGTAATTAAAGACCCGGCCTAATTAGTAAATCGCCACTCCCGCTCTCAAGTGCACACTCATACATTAGCCGTCACTGTACATTCCCTTGCTCGGTCAACTCCAATGCGGCAAGGCCGTCCACTGGAAGCGTAAACCTCTCGCGATGCCCGCGTATGTTCTCGTCTACCCGATCGACGCGTCTTGAACTAATGTGCATTCACAGTCCCGGCGACCAGCACAGTAGCATTGCCAACCCTTTTGAAGAAGCCAAGCCGCGCATCTCTGAATTTACTGCTGCCGAGATCGCCACCCTCCAAGTACGACTGGAGAAGCAACTCGGGCCCGAGTATCTGTCTGCCCGCAGCGGCCCATCTGGTCAGAAGGTCCACTACATCGCCGCCGAAAAATGCATCGCCCTTGCCAACGAAGTCTTTGGTTTCAATGGCTGGTCATCTAGCATACAGAACATACAAGTCGACTTTGTAGACGAGAACCCACAGACGCTGAAGATATCCCTCGGACTGTCCGTTATCGTGCGGGTCACGTTGCGGGACGGCACGTATCATGAAGATATTGGCTATGGACATATAGAGAACTGCAAGGGCAAGGCTGCTGCCTTCGAGAAGGCCAAGAAAGAGGGAACGACGGACGCGTTGAAGCGGACATTACGGAATTTTGGTAATGTATTGGGCAACTGCATCTACGACAAGGACTACTTGTCAAAGGTGACCAAGATCAAAGTCGGACCAACCAAGTTCGATGAAGGGAATCTCTATCGACATTCCGATTTCAGCAAAAAAGAGCAGGACATTGTCAAAGTGGAACCGAAGGTAGTCGCCAATGGGAACAATGACCAAGCCAATACAAGTGGTGTGTTTGACTCCGATGACATTGACTGGGCGGATACTGATTTGCTGGACGTGTAGTGTTATCAGATGGCCTAGCCAGAGCTTTGGAAGAAGATTTCGGCGATTTTGACATGGCTGACTTTGGTGTTGCCGATGATGGTCACCCTGACGAGGTGATATTGCCTGGGTCGCATGATCACGTTGGCCAATCGAGTGATAAGTCTCAGACAGCAGTCGCTGGTAATACCAGCAACAACAATAGAATCCCTCCGGTTGTAAATTCTACAAAAACAATGCCGCCGCCTCCCAGACAGGCTGCTCAACCGCCTAGAGCACCTCAAACGCCCAACCAACAACATCACAGGCCAGCTGGCCAATATCAAGGTCGGCCTAACCCACAGCAACAGCCACCGAGGCATATGAATCATACAAATATAGCGGCACAGCAAGCAGTGGCGAACAGGAGAACAATGACACCCCCCCCTAACGCCGCCTCGCGACCACCGAGCGGTATGAGTGCCCCGAATGGTGCGCCTAATGAAGCTCCTACTTTCTTTTCAGCGCGATCAGTGAAGGATGTGCCAGAGACAGCAGATCCAGGCATGGCGGCTAGTGTCGAACGAGGAGCTAAAGTGTTTGATCCCCGTGCCGAGAGCCCGTCGATCCGAAAGACACCCGGCATCGACCATAAATCTTCAAAACCTTTGTCCAAAGGCGGAATGCATGTGCCGCCCGTCAAAAGAGAGGCCGACCAGCCACAAGCCTCTTTCACTTCTCATGGACCTCCCAATGTCGTCAATCCATCACTTAGCCAGATGAGACAAATAGGCGCACCTGGAGCAGTGGGAAGTCCCCTAGGGAATAGAGGGCAGTACCGCCCACCTACTATGAAGAGGCCTGCGCCTACGGGTCCCGATGGGGGCGGTAGTAAGACGCCGCTTGCCGAGGTCTCGGCAAATGGACCGCCTCCGGGTGCTAGGAATGTAGTAACAGACGCTAAAAGGCAGAAGATGACGTGATAGTCAAAGAACAAACTTCTTCCCTCGAGGCAGGTGGAAATTACTAGGGCATGGGATGCATTGCTTGTAACGTCGAAGCTCACCTATGGATATCTATTGGCTTACGTTGATTGTAGCAGGACCACAGTTTGGCGTCAGGAGTGAACAATGCTTTCTACGACAATGCTTCACATAACAGATTCCGTCTGGCGCTTGGTTGGTATAATTGTGGATTAGATAAGGCGTCTAGGTATCTACCTATTATACAGCTTGAAAGCTTACGTTAGGAAGCCAAGCGAACGCAGAAGAAACTGGAGGACATAATGAGTTCATTTCAGCGAGTAGTTTCAGTTTTTGGACCACCTTCCCCCATGGAGGTATAGATCAACGACGATAAGGGATAATGCAATGTGTGCGGGTAACTCTATTGTTCCTATTTATGGCGATCCTAGTGTATTGTGCTCTGCGTGATATGATACTACTACGCTAGCAGGCAAGATTTCCTTGAAAACCAAGCGCCGCAAGGGGAAACCCAAAGATCAGCATTCGCTCAAGGTCCAGATATTATGAGCTAATGCGTATAATCCTGCATATTGTTCCGACCTTTGTCATCCCACCAAAGCGTATTTCACGAACCGAGTATTGATGCGAAATCACAAAAGCTTATCGACGCCATAACTAGCCACGCAAGAGAGACGACGACGAAGAAAAGAGGAGGAGCTATCAACTTCCAGGGCGTCTTCCATCCATCTACGAGAAAAACAAAATGTTTATCCTCCATATCCTCTGGTTTTTCTTGGGCCTGCTGCCCTGGGGGCTTCCGCTCACCATCCCGATAAACACGACCATCCCGCACAACTTTACATTGAACCTCATCCCTATGGACGAGATGGGGTGTTGGAAACCGCCACTGGACGCCCACGATCTCTACATGGCGGTCCAGAGGCTCAAGAAATGGGGCGAAAAGAGTAAGGTCGGCGCCGGGAACTACCACGGCGAAGCCTACGGTGAGTCACATCGTCCCCACTCGCTATGCTATGTTTCTCCCTCGCTCTTATGTTCTACCTTGGTATTAAGTTTGCTCGTCGATGCTGATTAACTCCCCTTCGTGAAATTATACAGGCGAGGCAGGCGCATGGGTCTGCAACTGCAAACACTTCATGATGGACCACTTGCCCGCCGCCGAAATCGACGAGGCGTACGAAATGGTCAATAGATCGTGTCGTGGCTGGGGCGGATGGGTCTGGAGCGGAAGCTGGCAGAAGGCCTGGAACTGTGAGTCTCGATCCCCCACCGGGCTATGCTGTCATCTTCGGCGGTTGTGCTGAGAACCCCAATCCCCTTCGACATTTCCCCCCGTCCCTTCTCCTCGTTGATTGACAAGATTCACTGATGAAATCGCGACTACACAGTTGGCAGTAATGAGAAGATGCACCACACGTTGCCTGGTAGCAGTAAATGTCCCAAAGGGTGCCTATGGGCTGTAGTCTAATATGTTGTCACTTGTGTTTGAAGTTGGGTTGTGAAGTATGGGGATTTGACAGCAGGGACGTGTTGCTAGGAGAAAAGAACAAGAGAAAGTCAGGAGACTCAGGAGTGAGGGTATTCAGTGATTACATACAACCAATTTATTTGTTATTAGCTCCTGATTCCTAACAGTATGAATTGCTATTCCTTTAGTACGAAGAAGGAATTACCCCAAGCCTACCACCATCGATAACAAGTATATTTCCGTTGACATAGGCGCCGGCTTTGCTGGCTAGGAAGAGGACAGCACCGGCGATGTCCTCCGCGTCTCCAGGGCGCTGTTCCGGCACCGTACTCTTCGGCCATTTGTCTGCGTCGATTTTGGATAGTAGGTCCACCGTCATCTCGCTGGGAAAGACTGCATTGTCGATGTCAGCAAGTCAATGCTATGGATCTAGTAGAACTCCCTTCTAAACCGCGATAACATGCAATATTGGTTTGGATCTAGAGAACATATACGCGAAGGGAGAATTAAGGGGAAATAATAAGTGGAGTTAGAACTCACATCCCGGTGCAAGCACATTACTCCGTATACCGTACGGCACAAGATTCGTAGCAAACTGCTTCATCATGTGGTGGACAGCAGCCTTCGAGCTACCGTACGCATAGCCCGCGATCGGGACGCGGTTATAAGCCCCGACGCTTCCCGTCGCGATGATCTGGCTGCGCTGCTTAGGTCGTCCCTCGCGCTTGTTCGCGGCATCGAGCAGCGGCAGGAAAGCAACGACGGTGTTGAACACGCCCGTGACATTCGTCGCAAGCGTTTGGTTGAACTCGTCGCTGTCCCAGGAGGCGAGGTATTTCTGCAAAGTGGCGATGTCTGCGTCTTTCTCGAGATTCCCTAACGTTGGGCCGGAAACGCCCGAGTTGGCGATTACTAGGTCCACGTAGCCGCCTACTTCACTGCCGATGGTGGAAGCGGCGGCTGCGAGGGATTCCTTGGATGTCACGTCTCCGACTATTGGACGGATGTTGTTGTGTTTCTGTGATGTGTCGTGAGTTATTGGCAGAGTATACTCAGGGCATGAGCGACTAGATTGAGAACGTAGCATCATAAAGTGGCTCTCTTAGAGAATGATGCACGCAATTATATGTCTTAAGATCAAATGCAGAGCGAACAGGTCTTGCAATACGTTGCACCTAGAACAGTGACTTAGAAATCCACACATACAGCTGTACCAGCGACCTTGTCGAGACTCTCCTTGCGGCGACCGATAATGTACACGATAGCACCGTTTGCTTCCAGTGCTTGAGCCGCCATGAGTCCAATGCCTGCGCCGTTTGTTAACGATACCCGCAAAGTACTAGGAATATTCTCGGAGAAAAGCTCACCGCTTCCACCACCGGTCACAACCACCACAAGCCCCTTCACATCGAAGATGGACTGAGTATCGAGAGATGCCATATTCGTGTATTTGTTGATAGTACTAGATCTCCTGAAAAAAGCCCTTGTTTAATCTGAGAGGATTGGAACCCTAGATATGTCTCGAGGATGATGATGTGATTTATGTAGTGTAGCCCGTTCAGTACATATGCAATGGTGTGATATTGGCTGACTGTAGACGCATCAGCTTCTCAACACCATCGGATATAAGTAAGCCGAAAAACGTTATCTCCTATGATGCTTGTGCCAGATCTGCGCAGTGACTTGAACCTCGGGGTCGTCACAAGACATGTCCATCCGATGTGGTTCTTCCAATTAGTAAGCGTGCAGATACGCTCTGTACACATCCCCTCCTCAGTGAGCGGGGTTGCGTCAATGACGATATTCTTACATCTCGGGGTTTCACCTTCCTTTGTTGCAGTTCTATGGAGCTTCATTCGGAACCACGCCGATTCTGGTCAGGTCCCAGCTTAAGAATGATATTTATATACACTCTCTCATGAAGATGCTGAAACAAGCGGCACTGGTGGTACCCCCCTCATGTGATAACAGTCTCCAGCATATGGAAATATATATATATTACTATGTGATGTTTTATGTGACTGAGCTACACAATTACTCGTTGTTCATACCGTTGGAAGGACGGCCATTTAATGTAATGAAATCATCGTGCGTCCAGCAAAGCAACATCAGTAAGTAGTAACCCCGTCAAGCGTTGATGTCACGAACAACTGCGCAACCTATAACACTGACGAGTAGCGCGTTCTCCTAATCAGTTCCACAGCTATCGTGACGTCCTAGTATATTGTCAAAAGGCTATACTCAATCTAGGGGCTCGAAACCCCATTATTCAACACGTAAATTTCTACGAAACATCTATCCAGTCTACCGAATTGCAAAAATTTCTAATCGTAAGGGAAGATTGTGTTTTTCAAGATGATTGAATACTGCTAACACAAGACTTAAGAAGTTACAGTGATTAGTAAAGTCATTATATATATGACATTAATTAATTAACAACTCAATCGGCAAGACCATGGAGGTCCTACAGGGGCACATGGTCTAGTGGTATGATATTCGCTTTGCATCTTCAACGGTCCCGGCCGTTTAGTGCAATATCTGCGAAGGGTCCGGGGTTCAATTCCCTGTGTGTCCATTTTTCTACCTTTGTTTTTTGGTTCTTCACCACTTACTTACTTACTCACTTACCCCTTTTCCCCAGTTCACATATCAACCTCAACTCTTCTACTAGCTTCATCTGTCCTAATATCTAATTAGTCGCTCAAAAGCTTAAAGGGAGCATAGCGTTGGGTAAGGAATATCCGACTTTCGCAAGTCATAGGACACCCCCTCCTGGCTACTACTTTGACCATACACGCATGAAATCTTTTACGGCGCTTTACAAGAAAGCACCCTAGAGCACCACACACACAAGACTCTATCTCCCAAGCTTACCTACTAGACTAGCTACAACCATCACTCGCAAGACAAGTCTGGAATCAGAAGCAGAACCGTTCTACGTCTTCACCATCAGCCTCTTCTCTCTTTCCATAACTCCCATCTTTATCCACACCAGAGAGAAGCTATACAAAACATACTTAGCAAACAGTCACCTTCAACTCATCAATGACTTCTTATTCATCAGTAGAACCTCACTCACTATCTATAGTCCACTAACGCTAACACGTGCCGTTATAGACGCATTACGCAACGCGCACCGCCAGCCTCAAGACTTCCATCTCGTACTACCACATCAGTTCCATGTCGCGTTGAACATACAAGAGACAAGCACATTCAAAGTCGTGAAGCAAATGCGAATTTCCCACTTCATGAAGTTCATGTATATTAAAAATAGATAGACGCCGTTTAAGCCATGCAATGTGCTGGGATATGTGGAACTCGCTTCCTATGCTTTTAGGGGATAATATCGTGAAATCACAGACCGCCTACCGCTCAGCGAAGCCCTGTTAACCTCACTCAGATCAAGAAGCGCCACTACGCACTCCATTTACTCTTCCCCTCACTTGGTGCTCGGCTGCGTCTCTGCTTTGCGGGTAAGGACGGCGGGTCACTCCCGGTACTACCTACGGCCGTCGGGGGAGAATATCTAGCAGAATACCGAGCGCTACGCCCGCTGGCGCCTGTAACATTTTCCTTATTAGAAGATTCACTCTCGCTGCGAGAGGTAGCCAAGGAACTCAGGCTAGGCCGTGGGTAAATTCCCGATGTTCGGGATACCCTGTTGTTCTTGCTTCTGACGGGGGTGCCCATGCCGGAGTGTATGTCACCACTAACTCGGCGGGGAATGGAGCTGACAGGAATACTCGAGTTTTCGTCTCTACTTCTGGGTCGTTGAAGTGCAGCGTCCCGCTCATGAGTCAATGATACTGCTGAACGCTTTGGGCTGGAAGCGACTTCGATGTAGGCGGAAGGTGGGGGGTGCCGGGATGCGTGAGTGGGTGTTTGAGGAATGGATGAGGTCGAATGAAGAGAGGGTGGGGTATATATCCGTCTCGGGCCCGGACGGGAGTAGCTAGGTGCTGATGCAGATGTCGATGTGGCCGAGACTGACGGGTCTGCACTACCATCGATATGGGAGATGATAAGATCGGATGCAAGGTTACGGACAAGTACCGCAGAGTCCTTCTCTGCTAGGACTCGAACGGCGTCCAAAAGAGATTTGAGGTGCCTTTCGCGAGGATTCACAGCAATTTCGTATTCTCCTGCTTCGAGCACGTTCCGTACGAGACGAAGTAGATTGAGCCGTACTACAGCTTTCTTATGTGAAAGCCTCTGGGCTATGCCCGAGTACATCTCAGGCTTCGCTAACGACGCGGCTACCGAGGGTGAAAGTCGGAGAAGCTTCAGAAGTGGTTCCAATAGATTAGGGTCAAATGCATTGACCTTCCGACTATGAAAGCACGACACAATAGCGTCCGTGAACTTGCCACTCAATAAGTGATCTTCCACCTTGGCTGTTTCCTCTTGCATCCTAAGCCATGTATGTTAGCATGCTTTCCGTCTAGTAGAGGGGGGACAAGATTACCAGACAAATATGGCGTCGAGCGCAGTGACCTGCCAGTATTGGTCTGCAAGAAGAGAAACATAAAAGTCTAGACCCTTGTTCTGCCACAAGAACCTGCGACCTTTGCTGCCTGAATGAGCCATATCGCACAAGATAGGTAAAGCGAATTCTTTGGGGGGCCGGTCGGTCTTCATTATTTTGAGGAGGATGGGAATGATACCGTTTACGGCTGCGTACTCTTGGCGATCTTTACTCAGGCGGCAGAGATTGAACATGGTGTTGAGAACTTGGTTTGATATCTCACGAAAATGGGGATGACCAGTCTTCATGCTACTGGTGAGGAGTTCAATCAGTAGCTCGATTGCGTCAGCTGAATGGAGAGTATCGAGCGTAGTTGATAGCATGGAAAGATTTTTTATGAACTTCAGCATAGTGATCTGATGCGAAGGGGTCATGCGTCGAAGATCTTTCAAGACAGCTGTCGGGGATTAGCTGTATGTTGTATACAGTTGGGTGTAAAAAACTCACTTTTCAAGACTTGTCGGTCAGCCACCATCTCTTTGACGTAATTCTCGGCCTGGGAGAAAAGGTAGAATATGTTTACGATTCTTCCTTCTATTAGCTCAGTAAGGTCGGTCTCAACATCTTCATCGAGGACCCTATGCAACACCAAGGCTAAAGGATCAAGGATTTTACTCCTCGAAAAGATACGACAGAAGTCATTTTTGGGGGTCGGTCCCTGCCAAATGGATTAGCTGACATTGCATGGAGTCGGAGATGGAGCTATTACCTGGAGCTCAAAGACATTCCAGATGCCATTCACGCCGATCAAGACTAAGTCACGGGCGCTATCGTAATCCTCATCCAGGAACTCGACGAGCACATTGAGACCGCCTGCGCTAACAAACATCTGAAGCGTTAACGTGGACGTTTGATACATTTGTCTGACGAAAGCAGCTGCTTCCAGCCGTATCTCGTTCGAGTATTGCCGGGCGGCAAATTTAGTGATGATCGGAATGCCACCAACAAAGCAGAGGTTTTCCTGAAGTTCAACGTCATCTAATATAATCTGCAGTACAATTAATAAATAACAACTGAGATGACTTGGTAAGTAGCAACACGAACCGTATTGACGACTTTAAGCAACTGTAAGATCATATGCTGTCGGCTTTTGACTGTGCATGGTTCTAGAATTTCTAGAATAGGAAGTAAACCATGCGCACCGATAATTAGATCTTTGGCTTCTCGACTCTCCCACAGAATTTCGAGCTGGAATAAAATTAGTGCCTATCGTTTGAGATGAAAGGGAGACACTTACGAGGCTACCGGATAACTCTAGCAGATTCTCCTCATTTTCTGTTGATTTCAGGGAGCGGACCAACTCCTCAACTCTCTCTGCTAACCGGGCATGGCGGTCTCGTGCAATATTCGCCTCAAGATCCATTTCGTCCCAGCCTGGGTCCATGGAAGCAAAGGGATCATCCTCATCTTCATCATCCCCTAGCCAGGAGCTGTTCGATAAGCGCGACACGACCATGAGATTGCCATCTTCAGAACCTCGTTCGCTTTCCGCCCTTTCCGTAAATTTCTCGCTCGGACCAAATATATCCGAAAAATCCTCTTCGTCGTTTTCGGCGAACTTTTGGATCTCAATTGATGATTTAGATCTATGAAATGGTCGATCGGGAAGAATTGAGGGTCGCGATGTTGGTTTCCGTCGCGAACTACCACCCTCGGGCGACTGTGTTGAGCGTGGCAGGCTAGTGAGATCTGAAGGATGGAATAATTGGGGGGCATCGGACTGCAATTCAAGGTGAGTCATATTGCACAATCAGCCGAACGGACCCGTAAAAAACACACCTTTTTCAAATTTAACCTCTGATTAAGCGCTCCATCATTATCAGCAAAGAGGTCAGAATAGTCCTCGACCGACTGCTCTCTGTATGCCATGCCAGGGTGGGGTGGCAGTTGAAACTTGTTGCTCACACTACTCTTTGCTCGAGAATGTTTGTGATGGCTGCTAGCCGATCGTTTCCGAGGTGATGCTCTAGATGTGCGTGGTTTTGGCGGCTCATCGCTCTTTTCTGGCTTTGCTACAGGCTTCCAGTTTGGTCTAATGGTCTTTTCCATAGGGTCTTCATCCTGAACTGGTTGTACTTTCTTCATCGTCATCAATTCACCACTCTGATGGTCCAGGTCCCAGTTATTAGAAATATCGCGTGAACTATCGATCGATGCAAAAGCCTTCAAACGGTCTGCGGACAATAAACCGCCAAAATGGTCGTGTGGTTTGATGTGAGGCAGCTGCAAGGCAGCAGGGGATATGGCTGTGGCAAAGTCATTGTCCCAATTATCGTCATCTGAGGGTTGTGTTAGTCCTTAGTTTAAACCAACAGCATGGCTTGCACAGCACATGCTCAAACTTACCGGCAAGTTCAGGTGATCGAAAGTCTTCTGCTGTAGGCCTTGGCTTCGCCAGTGTGAACGGACCCTTAGCCAGAATTGGCATGTTTGGCTTGGTTGATTCATGAGGTACCAACCGTAAGTTTTGTTGGCCATGGTGCAGAGGTCCACTTGAGTCTGAACCAGTGGATGCCCGAAGATTACTGTCGGATGAGGTGAGTGCTTTGTTCCACTGCTTGACTTCTTCAACAGCTTGGCTAAAATTGCCTGGGGCTTTGGACACAGGCGCGTCGCTTCTTCTACAGCCTACTATCCAGTTATGTTTTAATAATTTCCGTGCCGATACCCGAAGATTAGGATCTTTTTGAAAGCACTGCATCAAGAAATCACGAGCGGCCTGTATGGGGCATCAGTGTAGTTCGCGGAATTAAATCAGGAGCAAGAGGTGACTGACCGAGGACACACCCTCGGGTAGCGGAGGATGGTCATCGTTGACAATGGCAAATAGAGCAGGCATGGCCTGCAGGTGATGATAGGGAGGCCTTCCGGAGAGCAACTCAATGACGGTACAGCCCAAACTCCAAATATCTGAAGCTGGAGTGGCACCCGAAAGCTCTATAATCTCCGGGGCCATCCAATAGGGGGTACCAACAACTTGGGCCTCTTTGTCGGGTCCAGACAGAGTGCTTGTCGATACACCGAAGTCAGCAAGTTTGACCTTCCCATCTTTCGTGGTAAGTATGTTAGCTCCTTTGATGTCCCGATGTATAACACCTTGGTCATGCAGATACTGGAGGCCCTGGAGCACTTGAGTCATGTAAACACCGACGAGGTTCTCTGGGAATTTGCCGTAGGCTTTGCATATTGAGTGAAGAGATCCATTCTCGCAGTATCTAGAAGGAATAAGCGTTGATCATGGGGCCTCTACCAGCGTACGTAACCTACTCGAGAATAATATTTAGACAATCGGCCGACTTCACAAACCCGATATACTTGACGATGTTGTCATGCTATAGATGGTCAATATTGAGAGACCTTTTCAGGTAGAACCGGAGTTAGTCGCTCTACGCACGTGAAGATTCTTGAGAAGATCAATCTCAGCCTAGTCATTGTCAGTGAGAGAGCTCGACTTGGGTCCATCACGTCCCTACCTCGATCATGCGCAACTCGCTCTTGGGGAGATTGACTAGCTTGATCTGCTTGACAGCAACGGCTTCCCCGGTGCCCCAGTTGAAGGCTTTGTACACAGCACCAAATGCCCCCTTGCCTATGCATTCCCCCAATCGCTGTGTACCACGTCCAGTCAGCCTCGGTGCCGGACAGCCAATGACTTGGGATGGGCGGTATGGCATGCATATACACGTACGTAATCTTTCAGGCCGGGGTCTTGTAGGGCCCTTTCACGGCCATTGCTCTCCTTCCTCGGGGTATTGGGGGTTCGGTCGTGTCTCGCGGCGACTATGCTGGGTCTCCCATTCGCTGGTGCATGGTATGGACGTTCGGCGGAGGAGGTGGCACCATCGGAAGGCGGTGGCTTGTGCGGCGAACTTGGCGCCATTGCCACCGCTTACCGGCGTTGGGTCGAGGGCTCTCGGAGCGGCCTCAGCTTGTCTGGAGGAGAAACGGTTGGTCAGCTGAGGGGGGTCCCAAGGTCGGGTCAGTGGTCGGGTCAGGGGCCGAGCCAGAGAGATCAAGTACGGACGATTGAGGCGGGTTGTAATTCTAGGATAAGTGCTTGGTTGTTCATCGGATGTTATACGCACTTGACGATGTGTGGGACGACGCATTGAGGCTCATGAAGGTGGCAGAAGCAAGGACCGTAGGTAGGTATGCAGACCTCAACTCGAATAGAGAGAGTGTGTAAAAAAAGAAAGAAAAAAAAAAAAAAAAAAAGAGCAGACAATGGAATAGATGCAACAAGCACCTGGCAGGCAGACGATGTACCTAGCAGGTCAGGCCAGGTCAGGTATCTACCTATCCGCCAGTGCTGCAGCGGTAAGGTAGGTAACTAACTGCAGTGGTAACGGCAGTGGTAATAGCAGAGGTAATAGCAGAGGTAGTAGCAGTGGTAGTGGGTTGCTTGCTTGCTGTATGTCCCTGCAGGAAAGTGCTTTGGGTTAAGGCAGCATCGAGACGCTTGAGACGGTGCAGAGGACGGTTAGTTTTAGGTGGTTTGAAGTGTAGATACGTACCACATGCAGATCGCCGCGGGGTCGTCGCAGTCAACGTCGTACTTCGTAGTCCAATCGTCGTCCAATCGTAGTCAGGTCGCAGCCAAGTTGGAGATGCACTGGACAGATTCCTTTTCCTGGAAGGACTTCCAGGGGGCTCCCCCTCGTGATTGGCCAGGCTGTACAGTGATGCCGGCGTGGGGATCTCGGGAGCTAGGTAGGGTCGTGCGTGCAGCGTGCCTAGATCACCTCCTATCTGCCCTATCCGCCCTACACAAATCCAGATCGCAAAGACGCTATCTTTCAGTCGATGACACTTGTGCTCAGTTCTGCATACCTACTCAGGTACTTAACTTATGTACAATGCTTTATCCTATTTCATTTGACGTGATTTGTTTAGGCGCCACTCGGCCAATAATACAGAGGCTATCTAAATCCTGCAGGGAGCGCCCGATTAGCTTTATGCTTAGTTGACGCCTCAGGTGACGCATGACTTGGCAAGTGCCAAAATGCCCGTCAGAAAAACTCGACAAGGCTTAGCAGGAGCTGGAAATAATCGTAAAAAACATGTTACCTGCCTGCATGTAACACTTTTAACAGGTGGCGGTAAATCCCAATTAAATACCTACTGAGTGCTAGGTAGATTTACACATTGTCTGGGCTTCTTAAGATTAACCTCAGTCGGGACTACCCGTTCGGTCTCACTAGAGTAACCCTTGCTTACATAAAGCATAAAGCAACCAACAACTATATGATTTTATAATTATTTCCTATAATCTCACATCTTCGACCACCCTTTTCTTCTTTTGGGAACGAAAAACAATGGGTGATAATTGCACTCTGCGCGCATTCAAGTATACATTTCTATAAGTAGTTGAGTTAGAAGATTTCCCAGGGTTTGCAGTATACCTTTATACTAACTAAACACATGTGCTAATCTCACATACCTCAAAAATATACACCTACTAGCCGAGCATTTTCAACGTACAATGTATATAGGTACATGAGTCGCAAAGCATGGTAACGAGCCATCTGTTAGATAATAACCTAGCCTTAAAGGCGAACGCTCAATGAGGTATACCGTCCCCAGCTTACGCTCATCTATCAGTTAATGGCTGTGGCGTATGTGATTCGCCAGCGTTGTGAGATAGAGGTTGCTGCCTTGATACTACCTCGATCAGTCATAGCCAACACTGCGTATACCGTTATGAAATACTTCAGCCTTCGCGAACACGTCTGTAAATCCCGTATGTGAAGAAAGAAAAACTAAACAGGTTCAGATCACGCTATAACTTAATACTCTGTGTAGTAATAGTCGGTACCGATTTTACTCGAATCTTGCTCACGTAAAACCTCGTTGTCAAGCGCTCTTTCAAACGAGTTGCTCCGGGCGCGCTTATGTTGCAGTCAACAGTCTCAGCCGCATTATAACAGTGACGAGTTCCCCGCACCGAATTCTTTTCCCATTCACCTCTCTGGAGACCTGGAGAAATACAGATATACATGAGAGATTGTCTTCATGATCATCAATTCTCGTGGTAGATGCATTTCAATTACTTGCGTCTCCTCTACAGCTCTATTAGCCACATCTAGTCGAAGCACCCTCTTTACAAATCAAGCACAACTCACAAAAGTGTGTCTTGTCGGTTTTCTGCGGCGATCTCCTCAAAGCGAGAGGTGTGGCGCGAGTCTACTCCGAGAGCATCTACAGCATAATTATATGCACGGTTGAGCTACCCAACATGTCAGGCTTTAATATGCAACACCTAGAGTGTAATTTCCCGGCTTCTTAGCTTTCATATCTGAAAATTCAATTCCTATAACATGAAATCATTCGGCTGATCAGCGCCACTCTCGCGGACTTCTTTTGTCGTTCAACCTCTTGAAACAGTGGTGCTAACCTGTCCAAGCACTCTGCCGACGAAGAGGATGGCAAGATCCCGCATACGAGTGCTCCCGTGATCCGAGTGGCTACACCTGTACAGTCTTGGTGAATGGTCAAGAATACCAGACAGATATTGCATATGAATCGAATAGTTTGGCTCAGGATAATGCAGCTATGAGAGCGTTCATGGTGTGCCGAAATTTTTCTAGTAATGGGGGCATGTTAACCCGTCACGTCGTTTCCGTCCGCGGATCTTCGCCCAGTGTTTCCCATATGGTGAAGAGGCAAACACGCGGACACGAGTCGAGAAGTACCTCAACTGAGTATAGTGAGGAAAGCAGCGAGTATGTTGCCGCCGATAGCCTTTTTTCTAGGCGTTCCATCATCTCCACATCCTCGTCTAGACCCCAGAGTCTACTGAGTAAGGATTACTTGGAACCGAGGTCTTCGTTCCCCACCCCTATACAGTTCAAGAATGCACTTGCTACAGCAAATAGTCGTTTGGTACATGATCTTTTGCAAAATTCCTTTCACGAAATTGCCACTGATGAATACGAGTGGCTTCTTGAGTTACAAATTCTGGGATACTCAGCCCAGGAGATTGCAGACATACTGCTAGAAAAGTCGTGCTATGGGCCGTGTGTGTTTGCGGAATTACAAATTCCTGATGTTGAAGGATTTGTGGATGGCCTCCATCAAGAAGGGTGTGTGCACTATGGCGCGGCCAACTCTGAAGCTGAGTTCCTTGTCAGATCATTGAGAGAGACTGCATTTCAGACCGAAGATGGAGAAGAAAGTAATAAGACATTGCTAACCCCTCTCGAAAGTATCCAATATTTCTGTGGTGTGGGTGGCGTCAAACCAACGCATACTGGACAAGCCGAACTGCTTTTCGGTTTTCTCTCCTTTGAGGACTATAATACGACTGCAATATCATCACTAAATGGGGATCACGCGACAGAAAATGTACTAAGCAGTCTAGGGAAAGCAACTGGCATACTGCAGCTGCTGCATGGTTGCTGTGATTCCTTCACATTTCTTTTGTTACAATCCTCTTGTGCAGAGCTAGTACGGATGAATTTGGGATCCAATCAAAGTTCAAATGATATTCCCGTGGACAAAATATTTCCTAAAATATCCAACAGGTTACTACAGCCACGCACTCTCGCAGCTCAATTTCTCTCTCTAGCCTTTCTTTCATACTCTCAGGCACACTGTGGAGATATCAGGCCATTCTTCTTGGATACACCGCTCAAGCGTGTCATATTGATGGGCGATCAGAGATGGTCGGCAGATTTCGATGGCCCATGCATTGTGGGCTCACTGGTTGAACTTAGTTGCTTCGGTGATATGCTGCGACAGCCCGTCTTTGCCTTTCAATGTCTGGATCAATACAGACCCGAAGCCATCTCGGAAAAGAGACTCAAGGTGGATTTGGTAGCTAGCCCCGAGGATATTTTGGATACCTGGGGCCCTGGCGGGTTCATGGCACCTATTAACGACAAGGAGAACCTTTACGCCATTTCTATAGGAGGCGGGCTGATAACACCGGTATCTACGAATCCAGTTTTGTTGCACTGGGACCTGACGAAGCAGCTCGATCCTCACCCTACGATGACGTTTCATCGCACAAAGAAGGTGCGCATCGGAGCGAAGGTCTCTAGAAATGATAACTGTCAAGCAAAGCCACAAGAGCAATTGACTTTAGCCTTCTCGATGTTGGAAGAGCTAGGGACGTACCCAAGTTACTGGGAAGTATCGGAGAGACAGTTAGGATTTGGCTTGCAAGCCGGGCAAAGCACTATCGCATTCATACAGTTCAATCAAACATGGGTTAAACGCTGCGGTATGACCAAGAAGTCGAGAATGCTGGCTCAAAAGGCAATGTATATAGCTGATCTCGAAGGCTACTTCGGTATACAAGTCAGCGTGTGTACCGGTATTGCCCGTAGGGTTCGACTTCGAGATCTGCTAGCCGATGTCCTTCCGGCCTACGTTGGCGCTCTCGTCGCCAAACCTCCAGGCTGGAAATCCCTGATGGAGGACTTCAACATATTGCAAGCGCTCAAAGAGAGCAACTTAAGTACGTGGCTGGAGAGTCTGGACAGCAACCTACAGAAAACCTTCGAAAGCTTAGTACTTGCCATCCTCTTCCTCTTACAAGACACAGGCGTGGATCGCAAGGGCGAGAACTTCACCGTCGGATGCATCCAACCTGATATACCGTTCCAATGCTTCAACATTCCCTGCAGAAGCCAAAATTACTGGGCTCGCATGGTTGCAGATTCTGAAGACATTGCCACTTTTGCATATGTTACGACCCAGTGCCTTGAAACAGACGTGGTTAAGTGCCAGGGGTCTGATGCGCACTGGGCGAATTCAACAGCCCTCTTGTGGACAGCCGTCTCTTGCTACGAGGAAGAGCGACAGGCTGCGACCGCGAATACATCGTCCTCTTCAGCAGCCTGGACGCTAAAGCATATGGAGGCGTACCTCATAGGTAAACCAGAAGCCCCGTTACTAGTCCAAGTAGACCGTCGTAACGACCACGAAGAGCCGTGCTTGCTGGTGTCCGTGAGTTCGATCCGCTCAGATATCCTGAGAAGGCTCTACCGGAAAGCAAGTTCCAGCAAACTTAAAAGGTTAAGGGAAAGAGGAGCTTTCAACCAGATAGCAGAAGATGTAGTAGTGTTGGCCAGCACTAGTGGACGAAGATTATCAGCATCATTACCTCCATGAAGTCAAAGCAGAACACAATACTGGTCGCTATATGAGGAGAAGGATGATGAATTGCCTCAATATATCAATAGACTATCATGAGCAAGATTATCTATGTACAAATCCCGAAGGTTGTAGCTATATGTGAATAAGAGGTACACTTTATTTGAGCGCTCTACGCTTCCACGGATATCCGAGTAATGCGAGTCTGGAAGCGCTGTGCTTACTCCAATCCTCCTTCGTTTTCTCATGTGTACTCCTTTTTAGCGATCACCCGTTATCCCCGTGAGAGAACCCCTCGAACACATTATGTGACTTTAAATGCCCTTTACTAGCGTATTTCTATATCTATTATTTCGTTTAACGCCTCTCTTGGCTTTACCCTTATGCCACTCTCGGCTCCCCAATAAGCCTTTTCCTGATGGTGAGTAATAATCTTGGAGTAGTAAGGTGTTGACCTGGTTTTTGTTATGAGGGGTAACTTGACTCCAACTCCAACAATGGCCCGATACCCATTCTGCCAATTTGTACCGTCTTGACGTCTTATCTATTAGAGTATTAGGTCCCGCTTATACAAGACAAACGAAGCCGAGGCCAAGCGAAAGCCAGTATCTCAAACACCACCACCATTCTTGGTTCGTCTACAGCTCTCATATCTTCGGTCTGTGTCAAGATGAAGCTTATTACCACGGCGATAGTAGTCGCCACCTGTGTTCTGGTCCCATTTCAGGTGTTCGCCCAGGCCATCGGAACAATCACAAATGCACCCCAAGATGGCGATCTCAATGGCTCCAATTTCACATACCCATGGCCTGTGAAGCTGTTTCAATTCTCCTCGCAGCTACAGAAAGTTGAGATGGCGTTCATGGATGTCGACCCGACCGGCGAACCTAATGGAAGAGTGGCCGTATGCTTACACGGCAAGAACTTCTGTGCACCGACATGGGAGTCCACCGCGCGTGTCCTCGCCGAGCAGGGATACCGAATTATTTTGATTGATCAGATTGGCTTCTGCAAGTCTGCAAAACCCAACTCTTACCAATATACACTACAACAGCTGTCATACAATACGAACAGTCTACTGCACGCGCTGGGAATCGGGAACATTACGTTGATCGGGCATTCTCTGGGTGGCATGACGAGTATCCGGTACGGCCTGATGTACCCCGAGACCATCAACGAACTCGTGCTCGTCAATCCAATCGGACTGGAAGACTGGAAAGCCCTCGGTGTGCCGTACCGGGACATCGAGACGCTGTATGCCTCCGAGGTCGTGAGTAATTACACGACGATCCGAGCGTACCAGCAAGCGACCTACTACGTAAATACTTGGGACGCATCTTACGACGTGTGGGTTAACATGCTCGCCAATATCTATGCCGGGACCGAGGCTCCCGCCTTTGCGTTCGATCAGGCCCTCACTACGGATATGGCGCTCAGCGCTCCCGTCGTGTACGAGTTCGGGTCGCTCAAACCGCGCACGCTGCTGATGATCGGGGACAAGGATAATACTGCGTTGGGGAAGCAATGGAGCCCGCCCGAGGTGCAGGAAAAGCTGGGCCACTATGATGTGTTAGGGAAGCAGGCGGCAGCGGCGATACCAAACGCGGATCTCGTTGAATTTCCAGACCTGGGACATGCCCCGCAGATACAAGATCCTGATAGATTCCACGCAAAGTTGCTGGGGTGGTTATCGATGTGAGCCTGGGCGCATGGCTTCGCACGGCGTGGAACGGTAATATTTGTTCTTCTAGAGACCTTAGACCGAGGAGCTATGGATCTAGATGGATATAACAAGGGCAGGATAACTGGGCTTGGAACTGGGGATTCTGATTACAATGATCAACTAGGGCTGCATAAGTCCTTGACCAACCAACTCCTTCTCGGCTGTTGGTAGCTTGGCTTGACTCTATATACAATTGGTCTGCCAGCCCAGACCGCCTGGGTCTCTAGGGTCTGTTTCAAGAAGCGAAGTCTGTATAACCTCATTTTCCAATATTGCCTGCATGTCTTGAAAGGTCATGAACAGCCTGTATAGGTCCTTCGTACGGCCGAAGGCAAGGCGAACTGCATATTTCAGCCGGCACAGAGGTTGCACGTGTAACAATGGATGGTGTCTCCTGCCCCTGAAAACAGGCGGCTTTGAATGTAGCACTGTGAAAAATATTACCAAAAATTAAGAATTATACCGAAGCTCGAGGGGCATTCATGGAAACCATTGCCCACGTGTTACATGAACCAGAAAACTTCATCAATGTGAGGGATCATGCTATTGAGACTGCACACTTAAGCTATCATGCCCTTGTGATCAACCATCTTTGCGAATCAGCCCCTGTCCAATCATTCTGCGCTACAAGGGCCCCATTATTCGTCATCCGGCTTCCATCCAGCGCCTTCTGGCTCTGCTTGTTCCAGATTTTGTAGCTACCATCGGCCTGTTGGTCGATCCACCATCTCTGGTTGTTCGCCCGCGAAGAGCGATACTGTATCATGTTCTCTCCATTCTGTGTAGATTCTCTAGGGTTGTCGATGACTAACCACGTGCGAAGACTCGTCAGTGTCCAGGAGAAGTCCGGGCTTTGTGTGATGAGCCATTTCTGAGCCATTGCAGGGTTGGCTCCCCATTGAACGATATTCGAGCTAGAATCGCGGCTACTGCCGCTGTCGATTCGTAGTCCTGTGGCCTTGTTCGTGATGTACATGATTCCGCTGACATTAGTTGGCTTTACTGCCGGCGTATATTGCAACCACGCTACGGCACTAGCATACGTATTCGTTATCAGATCGGTGTTGGGGGTCTTCTGGTCCCAAGCGTTCCACGTAATCCCTTTGTCCGTTCGTCGATTGGCTAAGATCGAGTTTGCGTTCTGGTTCATCCAATCGAAGTACTTGTCCCAGAGACCAGCGGCGTTCACGAAATTGCCCACCCCGCGAGCCATCTCATCAGCCCATGTATTCAAGCCGGTGTTGCTATTGCTGAATATGCCGTTATTAGTAAGACTGTTCTTTCCAAACTCAAGGGCTAGCAAAGCGTCGTCGCGATACATCGGATTGAACGTGATCTTCCATAGAAGCGTGGCAAAGTCGAGAAATGTGCCCTGGTTGTATGCAGCCGTGTTGGTTATCGCCTTGCCGTTCCAGTCAATCCCGGTGATTAACTTTCCAGTCTGCGTGTCGAAGAGGTTCTTGCGCACCCACGCGTAGATCTTCTCGGCATTTTGCAGATAGGCCTCGTTACCGGTACTCTGGTAGAGAAGACAGGCAACTTTCCCGAGGCTGTCGTTAGACAAGGCCTCTTTCGCTGGCGTACGTCCATCTCCCTGGGCATCGTCAGGCTGTTGTTCCCAGATACCGCCTCCGATGTATGTTTCATCCCAGCCACGACCAAAAGCATAGTTGAAGCCATACTCGGCTTGGGTCAGGAAGTTTTGGGTTCCGGTAATTTGATATCCCCGCGCGAGGGCAAGTGTAAACCAGCCGATATCGTCATTCCACCCGTCCCAGCTCCACTGTTATATCTGGTGTCAGTAATCACTTGTCTCGTTAGTTGAACGACTGGAAGGCCCATCGTCCATGATATTCAGGAAGCGCATACTGGCGGTGGCGTTGCTGCAAGCCACGAATTCAAAAGATTGTTGACAAGAGTCATCCTTGCAGAATCACCCGTTCGGTCGAAGGCGTCTTCAGCAACAAGTATGTCTAAGGACGCAGACCAGGTCGTGTCAGGTGCTGGGTCATTAATAGACCTCCGATACTGAGATCCGGAGAGGAATGCATTATTCCAATCATTGAACATAGCATCGGCATCGTTGTTTGAAATGGCTGCCACGCCGTTGAGGACAACGAGAACAAAACCTAAAGACTTTCTTGATCGCATGATGCCAAATAGGCCCCAAGCCGATGGGATAGCAACCAGAAGTCTGGGGAGAGCGCAAGTAGGGGTTCGGTCCCAATTCTGTTGACGTTCAGTCGTGAATAGTGGGATGAGATACCCTTGCCCTTACATACTTATATAGCGGGTGCGGTCTCCAACTAACACTCTTTGTCATCTTGCGAGGTTGCGAGGTGCATCCACATTGCTTGGATTAGTGTGAGCCCGAAGAGATTGGAGACTGGATAGTTCCACGATGGCATGGCCGGGAACATGATGCAGACGATATAAACATTCCATATGAAGCCAACAGCTTCTTTATTTAGACAATACCAAGATCTAGGACTAAGCCCTATCAATCACCCGCACCCCTGTTGCTATTAATAATAATTCGTGCCGAATCTAATTAAAAGAAAGCATAGAAGTAGAAATTGCTGGACTATACGGCGTATTTAGAACCTGCATTGCTGTATGAGACTCACACCACACGCGATGGCGCTTTGTTTCATGCCATCCCTAGCGCTTATATCGCAGAATAGGTAGTTCTATGTAGGACTCGCGCAACAACACGAGCTATTTATACCCCCTACTTAATTAAGTATACACTCGAGATCGTGGCAGCTGATTTGGGTGAACCAGCTTCATTCGGTAGGTGGTCACAACAATGGGTCCGATTGGCGGCCAACTGCCAAACTACTCTGTACATTGAAGAAAGCTTGCTGTCGTATAGGTATTCCGTTGCTATAATAGCCTCATTGCTGTCACGAACTGGTAGTCAGTCGTATGATCCCTCGATGCAAGCCACGCGCATCGTATGGTTGTGCCCGAACAATAACCAGCAAGCCTAGAACAACAGAGTCCGATGTTCCGAGCCGTATTGAGCCGTATTGAAGAAACTTTTACCAGCTAGGTTAGTAACTATCAACCGATTTTGCCTCAGCTCGGCCACATTTGCTCATAGGGATTAAAAAGCTAATCACCCGCCGAACGAACGAGGCACATAAATAGAGCGCCACCATCTTAAGATCTATTTTCAAGCTGTTATGGAAGTCCCATGCCGCGACGCATATGATTTTTTGACACCCATAGGACCCTGATGTGCAACGACGAATTCAGATTTCCAACTTGAGCTATTGCGTCCGTGTATAACAACATAGCTTATCACTGTACTTGTGAGCTTATTTGCGAGGTAAAGGTTTTATCAGGTACTACTAACTAAGTACTCTACCTAACAATACTAGCAAAGCTCTGTTTTCCATAGCCATTCCTTCCATTACAAGTTCAGAAGCGCAGCCAAGGCCATCACGGAGACAGCCAACGACCCCAACGCGTTCAGCGACGACGCAGCGCCTTTACCAGGCGTCGAGCCATCGCTAGTGTCATTGTCCGACGACGAGGCATACGTCGCGGGTCCGGTGCCGTTGCCGAGGGTGTCGGCCGCGGGCTGGGTGACGTTGCTCTCGATGGAGAAGGCCTTGGTAGAGCTCAGGCTGTCGACGCGGCCGAGCAGGAACTCGAGGTGGCGGAAGGCTGCGCTCGGGGCATATTGGGGCACCATGTGTCCCGAGAGGTCGATGCCGACGTAAGTCAAGCCGCGCTCGGTGTGGGCAGCCCCCATGATGCCGGCGCCAGTAATGCTTCCAAGGACAGTGGCGTCGGTCTCGGCGTAGATATCGCTGGGCGTGGAATCCTTGTGGTACGGCACGAAGAAGGGCTCGATAGGGGGGCTCTGGAACCCGAGCTTGCCGCCCCATGTCATGTTCTGGATACTGAGCAGGGTACCGTTGGGGAGGAGGATCATATCCAAGGTGCCATGAGCGATAATGACGTTCTTGGTGGTGTCAATGACGTGCGGTAGGACGCGCCAGGTGGAGGGGTCAGAATTGTCTTTGCCGTCGACGAATACGTCGTCCGAGGAACAAGCTTCCCACGTGTAATTGGTGTCGGCGTGGATTGCGCGCTTGACGTCCTCGCGGTCGAAGTAAATCGGACCAGATCCGGCAGGACTGTAAGGAAAAGAACCCGGGAAGCCTAACACATCCCACAGGAGAGGACACGTTGTGGCGACTTGGTATACATCGAAGCACGGGTTGATGCTGAGCGCGTTGTCGATGACAAGCTCCCAGAGACCAGTGCACTCCTCGTTCACGGTCTCGGTGTAGTTGGTTGGCTGCGGGCCCGGTGGTGGGTAGGTGAGATACTTGTCCTGGTACGCCGCGAAACCGCAAGACTCGTGGAGCCCGTGGATGTACTCGCTGAAGCTGTTGTTGAAGGGCATCAAGTTGTGGTGGTAATCAACGAACGGCACAGTGGTCACGGAGTCCTGGACCCTGTCGTTGCCGATGACAGGGTCGTAGATTAAAAGACCCGAAAGGTCATAGTACGTTGTGTCGTTCGCATCAAGCATGGCCGAGGCGATATACGGGCAGTATAATCCAGCGTAACTCTCGCCGGCTATGTAGACCTTGTACCCTTGCAAGGAGAAGGTCTTGACGAAGTTCTTCCAGAAGCCGAGCATCTGCTGTGCTACGTCCTCTTCACTTGTTGCGGTCACCTTACCGCGTGAGAAACCAGTGCCGATGGGCTGCTCAATCCAGACAGTGTTGATCAGGCGGTTCCATCCCCAAGGATTAGGGACGGGCTTATAAGTACCGTACTGCCAATTGAATGGGCCGTTCTCTTGAATGAGACCCTCGAACGAGGAGCAACCGGGCTGCAAAACGTGTTAGTCGAAGTGATTGGGCTTCAGTCTTGATGGGGCTGCCAAGTGAGAGAGTACTTACGCCTCCATTGAGCCAAATTAGAATCTCCTTGGCGTCCGAGCCCTCACTATTGGCAAAGAACCAGAAGAACAGCTCATTCTCGTCATTTGGGTCGTCGCTGATGGGCAGGTATCCCGCGTACGACTCACCGGCGTCGAAGTCTACATCAGGAATACCCGTGCCATTGACGGAAAATTCTGTAAGACACTTGTCAGTCGAATTGAACGGAGTTGATCACGGCAGAAGTAAGATCAATTGGTGCTGCATACTGGTGGTGTTGTCATTCAAGAACTTCGCTTCAGGCACAGCCCGCGTAGCCATATAATGGTCTAAGACATTGGCCTCGCTGCGCACCTGCTTATTCTGTTTCTTGCCGACGTGCTGCCAGCTTCGTGTGGCCGCCACCGCGGTAACGGACAAAAGTCCGGTAAGAATCGCAGAGCTGCGCATATTGAATATTCACAGCTAAACAATACACCTATTCTTTAGACTACAATGTCAGCTTACTATTCAAGCAATGGTTCAGCAGGGATGTTATAAGTGAGGTATAAGGTGTGCTAGACACACGACACTTATATACATATAAATATTAATAGAGTATAAAGTAACAGAAACATGAGAGATACGTACGAATGAGGACCAGACAGCCAGAGATGAAGGCGAGGAGGTATGGCTGAAATGTTTCACCGCCACTACAACAGTGAAGACCTCGAAGGGTAGTAGGTACTCGTCGGGAGTTTCAACTGCTGATGGCTGACCCGGAACCACGGTACACTACGAGACAACAAAGTCAAGCTTCACGCCCAGACCTTGGGCAGCTCTGGGCAATGCAGGAACAGCCGCGGGTTTATATAGGAACACAGAAAAGCGCCTGCGGGAACGGATGATGCCATTTCCCAATGCTACCTACCCCAGGGTAGCTGCCTATGTACTTATCTGCTCAAGCTAGCCTCAGCTCTGGTCCGGCACAGTTATCTGCAGTTCCCCATTGTGGTACAGCCTGTAGCCATCCATTATCGTACCCTTGCACATCGTCTCACGCGATTCGATGCCGTGTTGGTGTTGTATCCAGACAAGTGGATCTACGGAGAATGTGGCGAGCCTAGATACTTACCCAGACAGGAAGCTGGCACGACAGAGCTTGCTAGGTCAGATGCTAGGTATTGCTGCTAGGAAGATTGCATACTATTAGCTGGGAGATAAGCAAGGGCTGTCTCTGGGCTGTTGCTGCATCTCGTGCGGGACCCGCGGCAGCCCTAGAAGGCGTAAAGTAATATCGTCTGGTCAACAAAAGCTGGAAACTATCATATCAGTGACGGAAAGATCAGTGTTGCCTGGCATCACTAGCAGAGCCAGAATTGTCATGCTATGAAAGTCAAGTTGCCATCTTAGTCTTGGGTGGCTGGTATGCTAGGATGCTCCAGGCACGCTTACCCCAGACTCCAAAATCTTGGCGTGTTCAGATGGCGAGTTACCTTGCTAGACCTTGTCTTGCCTGCCTGGCGGAAGAATCGGCAACTTGTGCATCTCAGATCCTTCCAAATGCCAAATGTGCACACGGTCAGCATTACATCATGGGCACCATAGACCTAGTGTGAAGTGTCTACTAGGTATTTTGTTGGACTTTGATAACACTGATAAGGTGACATGAGGCTTGAATGAAGACTTAATGTAACGGAGAAGTTACGAGGTGCGTATCTTGCTTGCTCTCAGGGTATTGTAAACAGTTTGAGGACATATATGTACAAGATCTATCAAGTAAAATGCAAGGCACAATATGTTACCGCTTCGCCTTTTTCGTGTCACTAGACGCAGCGGCAGCTGCGGTGGCTTCTTCCTCGGCGATCAATGCCTGAATATCTCGTTGGATCAGCCACTCTTTAGTACTCGCTATTACTTTATCGAGCGTCTCTCCGCCAGCGAGGACGTCAGGCAGATTGTGGACGTCCAAACCAGACCTGTGATCTGAGCAACGGTCCTGGGAATAGTTGTATGTACGGATCTTGTCACCACGGGTAATCTTGTCTTTACTGAGGACGCTATTTCTCAACGCCCAAGCCGCCTCTTCTCTCTCTTCCCTTCGTTTCTGGGCTAAGCGTGATCGAAGCACTGTCCAGGCAGACTTACGGTTGGTGTGTTGCGACCGAGAATCTTGCATAGAAACACTGATGCCAGTAGGCTCGTGTGTAAGGCGGATAGCGCTTTCCGTCTTGTTGACGTGTTGGCCACCTGCGCCACCTGCACGCATTTTCTCTTCACGAACCTCTGCTGGGTTCACATAAAAGAGGCTGTCGGGATTATTGAAATCATGGTCTGATGCGCTGTTTTCGGGAAAAGCTGGCAAAACCCATACAGCAACGGCGCTTGTATGTGTGCGTCCGGATTTTTCTGTTGAGGGGACGCGCTGAACCCTGTGCATTCCAGCCTCACCGCGGAAAATGTCATAGGCACCGGCGTCTTGAATTTCTAGAACAGCTTCTAGTAATGGTGCCTCGTTCGCTCCGCCCGAGGACTCGCCGCCCTCTGCAAGTTCGTATTTCACCACCTGCGTCCGTAATCCTATACGGGAACAGTATTGTCGGTACATTCGGAAGATAGCATCCGCGAAATAACGCCCTTCCATGCCTCCCGGCCCAGGACGGATCTCAACCATACAAGGCATATCGGCAAAAGGGTCGCGAGGTGTCAGAGAGGCAGAAAGAGCAGTCGCAAGAGGTTCGAGGCTCGAGTATGTCGAAGAGAGCTCCTCACGAGCTAATTCTTCTAGCTCTTCATCTTTGGCGTCTTTGGATTCGAGGAGGGCCGTAAGCTCGGCGATGGATGATTGCGCGGCGTCCCATTCCTTCAAAGCTGTCGCAACACGCGACAATTCGCCAATTCGCTTAGCCGTCTTACTGTTAAAGTCGGACTCGATTGTGACAGTGAGTTGGTCGTGCTCTTTAGCAATATTTCGGGCCCGTTCAAGCAGGACCAATGGCAATGTGTTTGTAGTATCTTGGAAGGAGGTCAGATCACGGTGCGAAAAAAAGATGAGCGAGGATTGACAAACCTACTTGAACTGGCGAAGCGAATGAAAGGCCGATTATGTGACCGCGATAGGGCTGTAATGCAGCGCCGGCATATCCATTGTGTAGGTAACATTCTTGTACATCAGAAGGAAGTCTACATATCTATCTATATCAAAGCTCGCAGTAGCATCTAGGTATTCTCCAAGCGATTGAAAAATATCTTGCAGCTGATCACAAAGCCTGCCGGCTGTTGCCGATCAACCAGACCCTTGCAACTGTACATCCCATCTGTAACTGCCAAAATGGGTTAGTCTGAGAAATGTCAGCTCCAGCGTCCCATTAACCTTATTTCTTGAACATTCCCCATTCATAGAGAGTGTGATTCCAACGACACGCACAACATACAGTAGAAGCCGGTTAGTTATTTCGCGAGCATGGAATGGGTAGGTATTGTACGAACTTGTGCTACGTACTGTAAGCAACCTACAGCAAGTACACTACGTAATCGTGGAAACCGAAGTAGCAAAATCTGTTAGTAATATTGAAACTTGCAGTCTATCGTCGTAATCTTCTTTATCAGATTCTTCTGCCAGTAGCGGTTCTTAAGATCAGCCAAACCTTTCACAACAACGGGAAGGAAATCTGAAACATGATGTTGAATATATTGATTAAGTAGGTACATACGTACTTAGGTATCAGTCTGCATGTAGTTGATCCTTGAATGTGCTCAAGTCCCTCCGCCACAATGCTACCACCCATGATTCGCCAGCATCTCATACCTACAGCTTCAGCAACATCAACTGTGTAAATATTACATGAGTTATAAGAGATACTCCTTAGGTATTACTTGAATTTGAATGTTTAGAAGTCGGGTATAACTTAAAGACAACCAAGCTTGCTCAGGTTACCGGCTATGTGCATTTAACATAATACGCATACCTACTCTGGTAGCACTTAATTCTTCGTGTTAGGTAAGAGATGTCCCGGCACTACCCCTGAGACTAATGCCGCACCCCTGTCTTGGCAATATTTCGCGATGCTTGGTGAGAGGGGGCGAGGTCAGCCTTCAAGATTCGGGAAAATTAAGACTGAGTCTGTTGCCACTAGCTGCTCTACACTATGAATACTATTGCACCCTTTGCATATAGAGGTCTCAGACTTAAAGACAACTATTGCAACATCATGAATGATATCTGAGAAAGAAGGGGAGAACTAATGACTCCCTCCCTTCCCTTGAAAACAAGGAGAAGCTAGACCTCCCAGGCGAGACAGCTAGGCATGCGAGATGAATGCAACTTCGCAATAAGAAACCCTGGGGTGGCGTACCGGTATTTACCAAAGCGCCGGGTTCCCCCGTTTGTCTCGCTCGGTTGAATTCGTCGTTTCCTTAAGCTTATTTGTCTATAAAACGCTTAACGAACCCGTTGCATTTCCCCATCATCGTCAGCCAAGAAAATTATATCCCGAGGATAACAACTTCTCTCTACATATTATATATACAGTAATCTTCAACTACACGTCGTGCCAAGATGCAATTCAAGACCATCGCCCTGTCTCTATTCGTCGCTGTCGTCGCCGCCGAGAGCGTAGACCAGCTAGTCAAGCAAATCCCCTCGTGCGCGACGACGTGTCTGAACGACGCCGCGAAGAAGGCCGGCTGCGCCGTCGACGATTATAAGTGCCAGTGCGACAAAATCCTCGATATCACGACCGATGCCATCCCGTGCGTCTCGGGTGCGTGCAGCGGCGACGACCTTACTAGTAAGTCTTTGGGAGAATGACTAGCCCTGCTTCGGACATGCCGTGATGAACGCAGACATATATGCGCGACACAACTCGAAGAGTCTTGATATGCTGATGCAAAGCGCACCGACAGAGACGTCCCAAGTGACCACCCAACTCTGCCTCGCTGTCGCGCAGCAGGTGGGCGACGACACCTACAGCTCGGCCATCGAGTCGCTCACCAGCTCCATTGGATCTGCCACTCGCACTGCTAATCCTAGCGAGGCAACTGAGAGTGGTAGCGCCGGCAGCGCTACTACCGACGCTTCGCCCGCCCCGACCGGCGCCGCCAACCAGGCCGTCGCTGCTATGGGTGTGGTTGGCGCCGCTGCCATGTTGGCCCTTGCTTTATAGAGGAGCGCGGATTGCGATATAAGTAGAAAGACGACAGGGACGACGGAAAACCGGCCCAACCTAAAAGTGCTGGCGTTCTGGCGTTGGGAGCACCTTGTCATCGTGGTTCGCTAGCAGCGATCTTTTGAAACTGTGATTACAAGATAAATAAACTGGCGTGTATACATACATCATCTTGAAGATCTTCTGTACACTAGTGCGATATGACTCTATCAATTGAGGTCCTCGTCTAAGCTATCGTAATTCTATGCCACGTCTATGGGTATACATAATCTCTAAAAATGCCCGCTGTATAAAGATGATTCTGTCAGTAATTAGTCGTAAGTTAGCCGGGGCCGAACACGCCCAGAGGACCGTCCTCTCCAGGTTCGAATTGGTCGAGCAGACCATCAAGAGATGCGAGGTGTTCCGCGTATTCGAGACCCTTTAGCCGCTCTTTTTCAGTCCGCTTCCAATCCCACACTGCAGACTCTGGTGCCGCATGGCCGTTAGCTGCTGCCCCGTTCGGCTCCTCGCCAAGGCCGTTCTCAACTTTGACCCAGCCGCCGGGGCGTTCTGGCAGCAAGCCGCTCGCCTCGATCAGCACGGCCGGATGCACTGTCAGACGCCCGATCTTGAAGACGTACTTGCTCACGGCTGAGGCGTGGATCTTCTTCTCCCAGTCCTCGGGCTTCGCCCCCGACTTTACGGCGCCCTTGTCGACGTAGTGCGTGACAATGTACAGCCACTTGCGGTCCCAGGAGAGGATGCGCGACCACATCTCGTAGCGCTGGTAAGGCTTGAGCTCCTTCTTGAAACTGCACTGCACGCCGCCCAGGACAACGCCGAAGGCGCCCCTGGCCGGACGCGACGGGTCCGAGGGGTCCATGACAAGCTTCGTCGAGGCATTACTGCTGATAGCACGCAGGCCCCGCGCAAGCAGGTGGCCAACTAAGTGCGTACGGCTAACGTCGAGGTCGGCGAAGTATGTCGAGTTCGACTTGTGGATGTTATAGTCGACTTCGAGCAGCGTGACGTGCGTCTCCGTCTTGATGGGCTGGAAGAGCTTGTCCGGCGTATATGTGTGGAGATTGCGGACGAGAAGGTGCGAGATCATGCCATTGATCACTCGGTACTGGAAATTGCTCCGTCAGTTAGAGAACACATACTTTAACTAGGACGACAGCCCATGGTGCGCAATCAGGAGAAGAGTGCTCGTACAGTCCAAGCCAGCGGCAAGCTCTTCCAATTCCACAATACTACCACCAGTGCAACGATTCGACTGGTTCTGCCCGGTCCGGTGAAGAAAGCCTCGATTGCCGCCACGGCGTTCTGCTTGTATGCGCCATACAGAATCGCTGGCACAGCTGCAGGTCCAGCGACCCGGGCGAGACGGGTAATAGCTCCGGCGGCGGACGCCATTGGCTAGCTAGCTAGCTGGCTGGCTGGCTACAACGTCGCCGCTGTCTCAGAGCGAGACTTGACAGGCCGTGAAGAGAGTTGCTGAGACGTGGCGGCGATCCGAGACCAAATCGCCCCAAATGCGATTATCAGCAGCGCAATCGTCCAGAGGGGGATGGCCCGGAAATGGCAGAGGGCGGTGCTGGTACACTTCGCGAGAAGGCTGTTGCTGGGCGCTAAAGGCATACAGGGGGCGGGGAATATTGTTGGCGCTCTATTAAGAGATGCGAGGGACTGAACGAATGATTGGGGATGAGATATATAGTCTAATAGTAGAACATAGATGTCTATCTAGAATCGCGCAAGCGAATGTGTACAACAAGGAGAAACGGAGATTCTAACAAGAAAAATCAGAGCGAATGCCGGAGATGCCCCTAGGAACAGGCGCTGTGACGTCCGGCGGGCCTGCAGGCTTGGCTAAGAGGTAAGTAAGGAAGTAAGCTGAGCCGAGGTGTGCGGATAACGGGATCAACAGAGAGCGTGACTGACAACAAAGGGTTATGATTCTGTTTTCGTTACTTGCGACATGACTCGGCATTTGACTATAATTATTAGTGGGATGCAGAACTACTAGAAGAACGGTTATAGATTTGTTGATATATATAAGTCTATCAACAACATGGCATTAAGTAGATTGATGCTAGCTAGCTAGGCAGGTAGGTACTTAAGGACAAATCTAGAGCTGGATCTCAGCTTACGGAGTTTCGGAGCTTCATCAAGATAAGCAAAAACCCCCCTACCTACAATATATGTAGACGGACTAATCTTCTAGGCGAAAGTTCTCGATACTATCAGACAGCTCTCCAAGCGTTATTGAATCATCCAGGCGAACATTCTCAATCCTATCAGTCAATCCCCCCAGCGACGACAGCTGCTCGGCCATGAGCTCGTACCGCCAGACGAGATACGGGAACATAATATCATCTAACACTACATTATCACTACCAGCGGCGGCCCTCGGGATATCCATGTGCCGCATTACGATCTTCATGCGCTCGGAGACGTTGCTTCGGTTGAGGGATCGAAACGCCAGTCCCAGAATATACTCGACTCTGGTAGGGGATCGAGAATTCTGCGCTATCAAAGCTTGGACCCAGGTGTCAGTGACTACATGAAGCTCTTCTGGCATTGGCCAGAACGCGTAGGCGCGCGTGAATCTCTCACGGAGGCAGATGTCGAAGAGCGCTACCCAATCTTGAAACATTTCGGCGAGAGTAGGCTCGCATTCTGAGTATAGCCAGGAGATGATTTCCTCTTCCGACGGGGGTGTCAGAATGTCGCTGGAAGGCATGATGATATGATGCGCCATGGTGTTATTTAGTAAGATCGGTTAATTCTGAGTACCTGCTGTTCTTGTTATAAGGCTGATAGTTTGGGACCATACTCAAATCTATGTGCGTCTATGGCGCCTTTAAATATACGTGACGTTTCTTTTGACAATGGCTTGATTGCAGCAGATCTTCTTTCACCAAACTTTGTCCTCTCTTTTCAAAGAGACGGACAAAGCTGTAGGCACATACTATACCATTCTTGCAATTTTCGACAATGTGTTATTGTGCTGGGCAGTCCTGGGACAAAGAGCTCTAGTGAGTGCATTGTAACGAAAGGTTGATTGTTTGGGTTTTGATGTGCTTCCAAGGAGGTGAATAATCAAGTTTCGTAGGGACAAGCATAAAGAGAGGCATACTACTGTGGGTAAGGCGAGGGCCATCTGCAACTATCTCACCAGAAAGAGGAAAGGGGCAAGAGTAAAGGAATAATGTTTATTGGTATCTTGTAGGTATCGCTTATATGCCCAGTTTAATGCCATCTACACGTCGATTTGTGCAGAAAAATGCAGACATCCCTGACCACAACTAACAACGCTGTAATAACTCCTCAAGTGCCTCACGCACCCTTGTCCCACACCATCTCTTCGCAGAATCCTCATCAATCATACCGGATACTAGCTGCACAATTTTCTCGGCAGTTTCTTCATCGTGGCCTTCATATTGTATGTTTTGTCGAAGCACCGAGGGTATCTCGCCGCGCTGCAGTCCTTTGAGCATATCTACTCGTTCCATTGCGGTAGTACAGCGGCACAACATCTCGACAAAGACCACACCGAGCGCAAATATGTCGATCTTTTCATCTTTCCTCTCACCCTTTCGAGGAGGTTGGTAATACGTAGTCCCTGCATCATGCTTATGATCTGAAGGGCTTTGGGATTGCGACGGCACCTCCCCCTGAGCAAGTTGATGTACCAAGCCGAAGTCGCCGATTCTGGGATTCAACCACCTCGGCTCTGTGGCTAGCTCCTTACATGACTCACATGAAATATCACAGCAACCTCCCTCAAAAGTCGCCACAACAGAGGAGAGAAATATGTTTCCCGGTTTGATATCCCGGTGTATCAAGCCTTTGGAATGTATATGTTGGAGCCCATCGTGTATTGAAAGTGCTAGACGAAGTGTTGGCGCAAGGTGGAAGCAATGTCGTAGGCCCGCTTTAGAACAGGAGGAAGGGGATAGGTATTGCGCTAGAGTCATTGGGTACATAGACATTTGAATGTACAATGCCGGTACGTTGGTATCCAGGTTGGCCTGACAAGAGGATGAATCTTCCGAGTCACTATCTCCTGCGAAGACATTGCTCTCGGAAGCCAATGTAGAGTCGACACCGAGCCCTGAGCTGACATCTTCAGACCACCCTCTATTCACAGGGTATAAGCTGCAGTTATTCGCTAGTGCGCTCGGACTGGATCGCGTATCTTCCCCAAATACGATCCCACCGCTTACAGACAGTTGTTCACTATCCTGGCTGAAAGCATGACTATCTAGCAAAAGCTGCTGACGACGGTTTTGAATTCCGCTCATGGTACGCTCTTGAGTGTAGTTAGTAAGACAAACGAACTTGTTTAAAAATGTTGGAGGTAGAACTCAACTTACCAAGACCGCCTAAGGGCTCAGGGGAATGCTGTGGTTCCTCAACCCATGTGGCATGATAACGTACAATATTAGGATGATCAAGTACAGCCACTAAAGTTTGCTGGAGTCAGTCGTCACTCTCTAAGTGAAATGGGACGAGACTTAGGGAACTCTTCATGCTCGCGTGTTCATCGCTCTGACAGGAAAATTTGGCTTCCATGGACGGTTATCATGGAAATAAAACAACTCAGAAGGTAGCTTACTAGCTTTTACCTCCCGTAAGACATCCGCAAGATCATCATGTCTTCCATCTGAGAAGCTCTTCACGAGTTTCCGCGGGAGGGCAATTTTCTTCACAGCATATGTTTGCTGGTCTAAGACACTAAAGCACTGATACACCTTTCCAAAGCCGCCTCTGCCAAGGAGGCGATCCTCTCTAAACGAGGCTTTGTAGTGACTGCGATGTGGGGGGGCTGGCGGGTTTCGCAAAGTCAATTGTAGATCATTGGTAGGAGGAGTTGTTATATTAAGCAGTGAGGCTTGGGCTACAAGGTCATGCATTGAATCGAGTATGTTAACTGGCTGTGTCCCAGCAACAAGGCCATCGAGACCCGATAAGTACTGCTGACGAATACCCCGAGAGGCATTAGATGTTGCTCTTGGAGAAAGCAGCCCGTTCGATGTAAGGATAGAGCTGGCCTCGCCAAAAAGCCGAGTAGCGATAGCTTCGACTTCTTGCGATTGCCTTGTATAAATCTGGCCGGGATTTGTGGCATTGAGGAATTCAAGAGCGCGGCTGCGGTAGTAGTCCTCGAGCAAGCTGGCAAGCATCATATTACGATGCGTCTCCAAGCCCACTGCATCTTCATAACCCGGTATCGTCTCTCCTTGATCCTCTGATTGTCCTCGAGAAGACCTACTAATGCTCTGGACGTCATCGTCGGTGGAAGCTTTCGACCGTGCTGAGTCATTGGCAGAGTCCATACCAGATTAAAGGAGCTATCTCTGGGGTAGGCGTGAATATTTCCGTGGTGCGTGGTCTAATAATGATGTTAGTGGCAGCGTCAGTCGACGTCCGACAGATTATGACTAGCAGGATATAGGCAAGGCTGAGGTGGTTTATAAGTTACGTATCTCATCACAATGAATTGAATTCATTGCATATGAGACTAGACAGGGAAACTATCACGCCAATGGCAATGACTTGGGCTATATCTCAACGATGTAGGTATCACCACAAGTGGTGTGTTGAGAATAAGACGCCATTGACAATGGCGCCCTTCAGATGACATACCTGTTGACATCTAGGCACCTGTCAAACCAATGAACCCTGTCGAATCTCCGGAATGAGCTATCAATGAAGCTGTTGCAGGCCTAATTTGCCATAGGCTTCCACGTCATTCTGAGGATTCGTGTCACTTCTTAGGGTGGAGATGACAGGTCCAATTGCCGCGCCATTCGTGATGTCAAACAAAGAAGCGATGAGAATGCAATATACTACCATCAGATCATTTGTTTCTGCAATACTTTAAGTTTTTAAACAAGGCAGTATGAGAAGTAGAGCATCATCGACGGCGACAGCTGTAGAGCCGGTCTCGCTACTTGAGGAAGGCAATCACGTGACGGGCCTAGCCTAATATGTGTTTAGCTACCATCCAAAGACGCCTCACATTGGCAAGTACGTCAGTTCTGAAGAGTAGGTATTCGCCAATCTTACCTGAGCTTGAGCCCTCAGCCGTCGAGAAACTTTTGATCATTCTAAGGGTCGTTGCAGTATGGTACATCATTGTGTGGACTCCCTCATTAGTTCCGTCGGACCGCTTTGAAGATGATTAGACCGGGGAATCTACAACGTCCGCCCAACGCCTCAACTGAAGATCATAACATCGTATTTGCCTGGTCACGCCATATACGTTCGCTTGTCGTTGCTTATATTCTAGCGTTAAAACGCCTTGGGGATGCGCAGGGAGTCCTACGTGGATGTTGTACAATCGGCGATATTCTGGGACCGACGGGGGTGCAATCTCGTGCTCAGCAGGTATGCTGATGATACTAAACCTATCTTCTCTATCCATATCTTCGTAGTCATTATCCTCTTCGATTCGCACAATCTCTTTGGCAACAATAAGCGCTAGCCTCGAGTCCCATATACCCTCTTTATGTGCAGTTTGGGAGAGCAACTTAATTGCTTGCAACCTGATCCGGCGAACCCGGCACTTAACGGCTAGAAAATAGAGTAGAGGGATCCACCCCTTATCACCAACCGAGTGGGATATCTTCCGAGGCATGTCTGCTGTTGGCGGGTGGAAGCGCCATGCCGGCCGGGCGATGTGTGCTTTCCAGATCCCCACTAGTTGCTCCAAAAGGGTATAGAAGTCTGCGGTGTGTAAGTCGTACATGACTTCGCACGCAGACGAAGTGCATGTTTTTAAAATGATGACTGCCATAGTCTGGTAGGCACCCAACAACTTCAAGTAAAACTCGTCTACAATAGAAAACCTTTCATCGACTTCTTTGTTTGTAGCGTTGTATGCCATCAGCCATAGGTTGAGCTGGTTGAGGAGATATTGTTGACGTTCATCATATACAGTACAAGGAGTTGCACCGCCGTCTGATAGGTAATATTGTTCTACTAGGTCCAAAACATCAAGTATTAGTCGGTCCATGTGGCGAGCGGCCTGATTCGTAGATTCAAAAGACGTAGGGATCGGAGTGTTCGGAAGTCCTGGCGACCCTATGTAGAGCTTAGGCAGCCCCTGGCCCCATAGCGCTGCTTGAACATGTAGCCTTGAGAAAGTCTCGATAATCCAGTCGTCCACGGACCCCCGGGATATCTGAATAGCAGTTTCACCATCTAAGGGCTCAGGCGGGCCATATACCTCTGCTATAAGTCTCAACCCAGAATGAAGATGGGCATTCGCTGCGACATATCGTCCAAGCAGATTCTCAAAGAAGGTGAAGATCACACACGCAGCTAGAGCTACGTGAATAGATCTTTTGTCATGACTCAAGAGATGAGACTGGAGAGAGCGGATAGCCTCGCCGTATTCCTGCAGCATGAATTTTTGCTGTGAGTCTAAAACCACACACTCTTCTCTTGGTCTACCTTCTTCGGTGGTTTCTTTTTGATGTGCCGAGCCCAGTGCAAGCGCAGCATGTAAGATGGCTGGCTCAGCAGTACATGCCTGAAGGATGAGAGTGCTCCAGAAGGGGGTGACGAAGGGAAGCGGCAGTTTCGTGTAGGTACGATATCTGAACCATTGGAAGCATGACTCTTGCTCAGGGCTCAGTTCACCAAAAAGACTTGACAGAGCATACTGTACTGTATCGGTGTGGGCTCTTGGTGTAATGGCTTTTGCAGTGCATCTTCCGCCGCCCCAGATGCCGTAGCCTTCGCAGCTGCGGCCCGTGGACACACAGCGGTGACATTCTGGACGGCCTTCATCACATTTTACGCGTCGTGCCTTACAAGTACGGCACCCTGTCTTGACTTTCCTCTTGCTGGTGTCTAGAGGACGGGGCCGGGTCATTGTGTCCGTGCAATGGGTACCAGTAGATGGGTATACGTGAACCCGTACCGCACCCGGCAGGATCGGTAAGAGTCAACAGTCTCCTCGTTTTGATTGACCGGCAGTTTAGTAATGATTGTTGAGCATGGAAGCAGATGAGAGATAGGCATAGAGAAGCTCCCGTAGAATATCTAGGTAGAATCGTACTTAATACCTTGCTTGGTTACCTACATAGTACAAGAAGCTGATCAGGGGCGTCCCATTGTTTCTATTTTAATGCAATAGACTAGCCTATTTTGGCAATTAGACTTCGCTCTTCACTTTTGGATTTTTAACGGAACAGCGTAGCCACCACATGTAGTTTATGAATGATCAATATTGCAAGGAACAAAATTCCTACAATTGTATATATGTATAAAATCGCTACTACGTATGCGTCCAAGTTCTAAAGAGACATGCTTCGATGATCAGGACACCTGCATCTGTATGGTGTACTGCTGGGTGCCTCGGTAGTTACTTGGGGCGGCAGGCAAGCCACAGCTTACTGAGATTCGGATCTATCCGTACCGACATGTACAGTCGTTACAACGCCAGTTGATGAGGATAATTATAGTAAGGTACAATACTCGATGATGTAGAATTTCTAATGTAGAATGATTCAATGATTGCTCATTCGTTGAACCGAACTATGTTGAAGAAAGCCCAGTTCCGACGTCACGGACAGGGAGGGATACCCCACTACCCTGCTAGACAGATATTCTACCAACTGCCTATACCGAGGTTAGCTTCGAAGAAACATAAAAGCGACGCCATTCTCTCCAGCTAGGAGTCGCCTCGCAGAGACAAGCTCCATCATGGCAGACACAAACAATCCTATGGTTGATTCCCCGACCAGCGGTCCCGCCGTCTCCAAGACGACGCTGCCGATAGCGGGGTTACAAGTAGACGTCTACGGGCTCGCCGAGCTGCCCGCGGCCGCAACGTCAATATCATGTCTTTGGCTGCACCACCCACGTCTACGCAGCAAGGTCGATATGGGTTACATCGCGGACGAGATCCTCTCTGCCTACCACGCCGCGTCTTCGCCCGCTTCTACGAGAGGTCTGATCGCTGTGGCGTTTGATCAGCGGAATCACGGCTCGCGACTCATCAGCGAGACCGCGAACGCGGCGTGGAGACAGGGTAACGCCACGCACGCACAAGATATGTTCGGCACCATCTCTGGTGCGGTTACGGACACTGTTCACCTACTTGATGTGCTCGAGGGGTATCTTTTTGGAGCTGGAGGTGGGCCGGGGGCTGCGCCTGGAGGAGAAGACAGACACATTGATTCCAACTTGGTCCTAGGTGTTAGTCTGGGCGGTCACAGTGCATGGCAGTTGCTTTTTGCTGAGCCTAGAGTAACGGCGGGAGTCATCGTCATCGGATGCCCTGATTATATGAGTAAGCACTGAAGATGTCTGGAACAAGGTTTACTAGTGTTGACTATCTTTCTCTCAGATCTATTACAGGACCGTGCACGGCTTTCCAAGCTAGAGACATTCACTGTCGACAAAGGAGCGACGTTCTTTGGGAGTAAGGACTTTCCTAAGGCTCTCGTCAGGGCGTGCGAGAAGTATGATCCAAAGGCGATCATTTTCAGCTCAGGTGAAATCTTAACCGAACCTTCAGCCTCCGAGCAGGATAGAATACGGAGCATATTAGACTCTAAAATCCGAGGCAAACGGTTTCAGATCCTTTCGGGCGGCGCCGATAAGTTGGTGCCGTACAAGGCGGGTCAGACGTTCTTGGACTTTTTCAAAAATGCTACTACTGGATGGTATAAAGATGGCAATGTCTACGTCGAAGATAATGTTTATCCGGATGCCGGTCATGTATTCGCGCCAGAAATGCGTCGAGATGCTATCCGATTTGTCCTAGATACAGTGAAGTCTCTCGATACTTCTAGCCGAGTGGCATCTCCGAAGATCTAAGCCGCTAGTTTTCTAAAGCCAAGCTTGGTACCAATCTAGTCATTAGACCACGGCTGAGGAGCACCATTTATGAGATGCTCTTGCCCATCATTGAGAATGCGAGAGCGAACCCCGCTACGGCTACGATCCGCCTCATTTGAGAACAGAGCCTGCGATATACTCCATGGGTTCCGCCGGTTACGCTTGGAAGATAGAGCTTCCCCTTCCCCATGGGGGTCCGCTTTCCACTGACTAACGGCTTCTGAAATGCCGGGTATCGCTATCTGGTTTGAACCGTCCATCATACCTGGTGGGTCAACCCCAACGAAGTCGACGCGATCCAAGGGAAAACGAATAGCTCCGCAATGGCAATCGACGAGGCGCTCTCGCTTGAACGCATGGCTCACAATGGTCATCTTCGTGGGCCAGACACTATAGGTAGTCCAGACCTGAATGATAGAGAAGAGTACATTGAAGTACGAATCCAGAGCTCGCTCCTCTATGTGTATTCTTGGGAGTGCATCACCTTCTGGGATAATTTCAAAGTAAGCATTGACTGCCGCCAGATTGGCGTAGCTGCTGGCTTCAGATAACCGTGCCTCTTTGCGCGTAGAACCCCTATTTCGGTGTAACGTTGAGTATGTTAGCGAAGCCATATCTTACATAAAGGGAATGACACCTAATACTACTGACACCGCACTTGTGTTAAGCTATTTCAAGCTGCAAAAATTGGCTGGGATTGATTGAAAGAACATTAAATGAAGTGAAATATCAACTGACCCTGAAAACGTCAACGTGGATTTTCTATCATTCTTTAACACGTGCAGCCCGGCCTTGATATGTTCGATGAAGGTAGGAGTCTCCCCAGCTTGAAAATCGCTTATCAGCCACTCATTTTCATCGTAGCCCCGCGAAACCCCGCCAAGCCATATCGCGTGACAGCAGACGATAATGAGATGGTTGGGTGCCTCTATCGACATGATAGCGAGCTGTAGCTGCTGTGAATAGGTGCGCCTGTAAACCGAGACTAGACTGTTGAGATGTCCATGACAATGTCCGGTGCGGCCAGCTTCTACATTATATCCGAATTCGGTCATTTAGCCCGATAATTGCAAACCCCCGGTTTGAGCCTCATCAGTAAACACAACCTAGCCGAGCCAACAAGACGCTGCATCAATCTTTCTATCTACGTGAGATTGGTGATTCACGTTGGGTAGATTTGAACAAATATATTTATGGGTACTAGTGGCGGAGCTCAGCTGGATCGAATGAATAATAGCGATGTGTTCGTTGACATCTTGAGTGCCCTGGATACCGTATATTGGCCAAGGAGTAGCCTCTTTAATGGTTTTCTAGGCTCGAAGGATCTTCAAGATATCAGACACCAGATAAAGGCTTCCGGCCACGACTAGGGGCCCGCCATCAGATACCTTGCTGGCCCAGTTCAGACCATTAGCCACATCGGCTTGAGCATCCTGCCGGCCATGGATGGAAATCCCTGTGTCGTCAATAGTCTGAAGAATTGCAGCAGACTCCATTGGCTTGACCCAAGGCATGCCATCAACAGGCCCAAACTCTACTGTGGTGACATTATCGCCGTCACGTAATAGCACCTTCAATATCTCGAAGATATCTTTCCCCGCTGACGCAGCAAAAACCCACGTAACAGGTTTACCAGGAGCCCTAAGTCGCTTCTCAACAAATGCCGAGAGTACGTCTGCGCTCTGGGGGTTGTGGGCGCCATCTAGGAGTACAGGTTGAACTCTTCCCGTTATCCTTCGGATATCGATGGATTGTAGCCTACCGGGCCAGACTGCATTTGCGCCTACGGTAAGAAGCTCATGTATCGACATGGCATGGTGGGGATAGGCGAGGTGAAATGCCTCGTATGCACAAAGTAAATTTTGTTGCTGATGTTGCTCAAGCTGCTCAGCGAGCTCACCTCCAAAACTATTAGATCGCAAATTTGCAAGTCTAACACTAGAGTCCAAGGATTCGGCATGCGATCGGATAACATCTAAAACGGAATGGGGGTTGCTCGCATCGACCACACAAGGCACCTTGTGGCGTATTATGCCGGCCTTCTGGAGGGCTATCTCCTCGAGGGTATTGCCTAGAAAAGACTGGTGATCGAGACCAATTTTGGAGATGATGGTTACAGTTTTGTGTTTCAGGGCATTGGTCGCATCAAGTCTCCCGCCAAGTCCGACTTCGACGACGCCAAATTCAACGTTCTCCGCCTCGAAGATTTCGAAGGCAGTAGCTGTGAGCAGCTCAAACTCGCTCGCATTGAGGCTCTCCTCTTGATTCCGCCTCTTGACGAGTTCTTCATAGTGGCGGAACTGAGCCTCGGACACGGGACTGTCATTGATGGTGATGCAGTCCCAGCGGTCGACCAGGTGAGGCGAAGTGAACCTACCGCAGGACACACGACTGGCGCGCAGCATGGCGTTTAGATATGCACATATCGAGCCCTTACCATTCGTGCCGGCGACATGAATGGCTTTCCAGGTTTGGGGGGTGTTCTTTAAGAGGGCGGTGATGCGTGCCAGGCCCAGCTCGATCATCTTGGCTGCACTTCTTACCATGCAGCTAGCTACTGATGAGTAGTTCCAATCACAGATGTGTCATCCCGATGCGCATCCCGTCGAGAGAATGATGCTTTGAAGAGACTGTGACTCTGGAAAAATAGGAAGCTTTCGTCTAATGATTCGCTGCCGAGGACCGTGGTATGAGTTATAGCTGTTTACACGGAAGCATGAGTCATCGCTTTGGTGCGTTCATGAGATCTGATGTCTTTTAGTGCCCCTGTAACGCCGCTGGTGGGATCTCGGCATAGAACAATCTCAGCCTGTCAACTGGAATAATGTAGTAGCTCTAGCGGCAACACGGGGGCTGTCTTTCAGACGTTCTAGCACTGAGATGCTACACAGTAGGTACCTACCAGTACATGTGTAGTACAAGGTTGGATACTCATTTAGAGTACAAGTAAACAGGCTGTCCAAGTACCCAACAGTACCATCTCAGGTATCCCAGGTCATGGATGGCATACTACTATGTACATGGAGGAGTCTGATGGAGAAACAACCTCGAATGTGGCATCACAGAAAATAAGGAATTTGCTCAATGGCCACAAAGTGCTACAGATATACAGAACAGATATACACACTATCGAATGTATTCTGCCAAGGGAATGACATCCCCCAGTTGCTCTTTTGCCGGCTCCGATTTCATGCCTCGATTGTAGACCAGTCAGGCCAGCCACACTCCACCCTTTTTTTGCCTTTTGTCACGATCCCGGCGGCGCCATTGGCTGGGCAAGAGGCTGGGCTCGGGGTCCCTTGTGCAGACTCGTGCCTTGTGCTGGGATCACGTCTCCGGCCGGGGTCTGGGGCCTTTCCTCATCTGCTGTTGATTCCTGGTTTCCCGTCGCCGTCCGTCTTTTCCTCCCAGTTCCCAGTTCCCAGTTCTCACCACTCACCATTCACCATCCCCCCCGACGCCGCCCTGGCCCCTCGAAGGAATATCCGTCTTTCCATCGCCGACTATCACTATTATCTTTAATATCAACACCTACTACCTTCTTCTTCCGTTGCACCCAGTGCGCGCGCATACCTTACGTATTCTTCTATTTCTTCGCGACTTTGCGTATCGACGCTATCACTTCTCGTCGCATTTGTCTTGGCGATCTAGAGGCGTTCATCTTGCTCATATTTCTTTCATCTGCCCCCCGTCTCTCTGATCCAATCCGAATCAAACAAAAACTTCCGCGCTCCCTTGTAGTATCATTCGAGCCCTCTCCAGTCGTCGCTTGTTTTCTCCGGTCTCCGTGGTTGGTTGGTCGCCTGTTATTCGTTATCCGCCATCGGCTTCCAACGCGCCTGCGCTTGCGCGAAACACCCGCTACCTTACCTTACCTTACCTACCTCCTACTTACTAAAATGGGTCTCCCGTAAGTCTTCCGAACCGCGCCACCACGCGATGCGCCTATTCCCATCCCCCCCGGCATCGCGTCGGTCGCAATACACGTCAAACTACCAATTACCTGTTCCATTCGTCTCCATGACATAAGCAGTCGAGCCTACAAGTCTGTCCACCGCGAACCCCTCGTCGCTATGTGCCCTGTAGTCTGTAGCAGTCATTTCAATTGCGCGCCGCGCGTTCAATTATCATCCGCCAATGGCCGTCCCTCTGTGCGCCCGCCACCTTGACTAATCGCATTATCCGTTTTAGACTATTCATTCCTCCGGTTGAGTCCGACGTATCGTCCAAACCTTCTACGAAGAGCCGCTCGGATCCAGCGCATGCGCGATCTTCCATTCGTCGCAATGAACGTCGTCGCCAACTCAATGAAACTCGAGAGCAGCATCGACTTCGCTTGGTAAATGCAATGCAAGCCACTGATTCAGCTCTGACTGCTTTGCAATCTCCGTCTGAAACTCGGTCCTTTCCACACCAAGCTGACACCCCTCGAGCATCGGCTCGGACGTCAGCGCTCCAGATCCCAAGTGCGGAAGATGCAAGAAGCTCTGCGCAACCTGATATTGCTGAGATACTTGACCGGCTAACTAGGAGTAACATGCCTCGAAGCTCCGCCATATACGACTTGGACGATGCTTGGAATCAACTTGGCTATATGATGCCTTCAGATTTTCCTAGTATCCAATCTGTAAGTTGATGGAACTGATAAATAGCAGTCTTTGCACAAAATTTCTACTAGAATCTTGGAGATCATCGCTAACAGTGCATTTGATAGTCTTCAACTTCACGTCCTAACGCATTACCAACTACATCCCGTCATGGACTTCCGCATACCACCAGACGCACAAATTTGAGGCGCGGGATCGATCGCAACAGTGAGGAGCCTCGTCCTCGACGCCCCCGCTATGCTGAGCGCGACTTCGACCGGCTTCTGGCTATCCGTGACGCTGAGCGCCGCTCTAGACACGCTACCTCGATGAATACCATTGCTGCACGACAACATCGACACGCCCAGCGGGCTAGGTACGTTGACGGACTCGGTGATAGGGATCGGAGTCTTAGCCCCGAAGGTGATGGGGTTTGGGACACACTTCAATCTACATTGACCCCTGATCCCCAACCGCCGAGTGTTGGCTCATCTTTCGCATCAGCCATTTCTGCCAATACATCAGATAGTAATGGGGCCACCTCGGTGAACACATCGATGACAACACCAAATGAAGAGGTAGAGCCTCCCTGCGACCCAGTCGTGGATAATCCCGGAAGTGATGGTGAAGACGATGTCGAAGAACGACCATCGCGACAGACTACACCTCGGGATTGGCGATCTTATGCAGATGTTCTTGCCGAGGCACAATCAGGACAGTCGAATGAATCTGCCGACGCAGGCGATACTGAGAGAGAATGGTTGTCAGGTATGCACAGAATTGTGGCGGGACTCGCCTCCCGAGTAGACATCCCGGATGAATGGTGGGCTCAAGCAGGGCTGTCTCGCTCAATGTCATGGGAGGACTCCATCTGAGGGAGGGAGTGGAGACATCGTGACAGCGATTTTATTTATCCTTTGGTCCTCGTGATGGCTACGACGAAGGTTTACATCCAATGCGTTGAAGGAGAAAAAGAGACGGTCGGCGTTTGGGATCATTCGACATAATTTTCAATTTTCCGGGACAAAATGAAACCATCAAGGTGCCCTGCAAGCCTTGGGCATGCCAGCGTGCAGCTAAAAATGTATGATAACGTGTAATCTGAATGACTGGACTCGGCAACAGGGCCGCTCTGGTCTTTGCCTTTGTATGGAGCTGTGTTTGGAGTTAAGCGGTTTTATGAGAAGCAAGACTTCTTCATTTTTGGGCCGCTTCATCAATATTAATCATTACTTGGCCATCCGTTTCTCTCTGCTTGCTCTGATGATTAGTGCCTCTTTGCGTGAATTGTTACTTCGAACTTGGGTATATCTACCCCTCTAAGCACTCATTGTACCGCATCCGAGAAGCTTGAGGCATAGGAGAACTGGCAATACCCGTGATAGACAGACACATAAGGCCTTGATGGCGCTTTCAAAAGTCTCGTGAGAGCTTTGTGCTGGGTATCGTATTGACCATTATCCCTCACCTGACCCGTCAGCCTGTACTAAATAAGTATCTACCTCTTATGTATCTGCTGACGGTCATTGTAGGGGACCAATCGCACGAGATCTCGGGGCGTCATTTTTCATAATATCGAATGCCCACCTGATGGCCGAGGGGTGGATAGATATCCCCTGAGGTTATTCCCATCGACAACGGACCGATAGCATAGGGACGAACTTTATTCTCACCGCCAATGCTAGAGAAGTGCACCATATAGTATTGTTTAACCCATAGCACCCATATCGTGCAGAAAATGTGAAAGACACTAGTGGCCGAGTTGGTACGGTCTAGCGAAGCATTTCATAGGTATGCCAAAAGTATAATTACTTAGCGTTCCCAGCGACAGCATCTTTACTCTGCATTGTTAGGCACCGGGGGTTCGATTCCCTCGTTGGCCAGAAATTTCCTTTTTTCTTCTGTTCATTCATTTTTTTTTTTTTTTTTTTTTTTTTTTTGGTTCCGATTACAATCACATCCGTCAGTCAATACAACGGAATCTTCGAAATAATATCGCTGACAGCACGCATCGCTTGTATGTATTGTCTCCACTCCCGTCGCGTTGGGATTTGGTCGAGGTGAGGTGGTAGGTGGCTTGCTAGCTTCCGTACTCAAGAGAATGAATGAATTGATGAGATGACATGACATGACATGGTATTCGTGAGATTCGCATGGCCGGTTTCCATGGAGATCATGGCACCAGCGCCTCGCGCTTTTCGGTTTTCCATCCGAGCTCATATCCTGTTCCTAACGACTATCGGTGGGGTAAATTGGGGGCTTCCGCTTTCGCTCACTGGGCTCATTAGATCCTGAGCCCGCCTGCTTTTTTATGCGCCGCCTATGGGGTCTTCGATGTCATTTTCTATTGACACAAGTGTTATGTTCTAAGTAGGCCATGATTATACCTTGGCTATAACTTAGGTATCCCCTTATTCCTTATTATCACTTAGATATTTAGTGGCCACTCGATGATTAGATAGTGATTAGATCTTAGTTATTGAAGACCCTGGGATAGTGCGAATGCGAGTTTGGAGACGAATACATGTATTATACCAACGATTCTTAATAACTACACTACATGCAGAAAGGTTCTAAGAAGGAAGGTGGTTTGGTGATTATCGCTCTAGATACCTACTTAGAATCGCCCGATGAAGCAAAGATGACCTTTCAAAGCAGTCAAAGACATATGGAAAAGGCACATGCAATGGTACAAAACCACCCTCGAGTCTGCCGAGAGAGAGAGACGGCGGTTTGATTCCGTGCTTTCGTTGATCGCCGTTAGATGTGAACAAATGCATTGTTCATCAAATTGTTGAAGATCTCAACAATTTTCGTCTCTTGGCCCGACTTTCGAGCGCATTTTATTCGTCAATCCCGTTGAGTTGCACACCTTCCGTATCGAGGTTAATGGTGCGCCGAAGAATGACTGACTGACCACAGTTCCTATGCCTCTTTCGCCTCTTGCACCTCAAAGCTAGCTGTTTTGATCGAGAGAAGGATGTCTACTAAGCCTAATTACAATAATTTTCGTCAAGCGGGATGTGCGTTTCTCAGATAGTACCTATGAAGCGCTCTCAAAGTAGGGCAGTAGCATCTATTCCGAAAAGTTTAGACATGTATATGACCGTCCCATTTACGCGTTACCATCGTGAACTGATCGACAGCCAAGAATAGCGTAGGGACAAACGTATCTGTCAGGGTCTCCCGAGGCCCGACAGCTGCTGTTAGTGGTTAGTCGTTCGTCGTCGATAGCGGATAGACAAGGGTACATCATACGCTTCAAACCGCTTCGGTCAGCGTGATTTGAGCGTGGGTTATGTGGATTGCGCGAGATCGTGCATGTGCGCGATGCTCGCCCTACCTATCAGTAGACGAGCTTACAGATCAGGTTGTCCACGTTTCAGGTCCAGTCCAAGGATCGGCATTACGAAGCTGCTTAACGTGTGCGGATCCTTCAACCACCTCGATTAAGCTTTGTGGGCCTCTTGGCATCTTCCCAATCCCGCAACTCAAGCCTGTGCAGAAGACCCGTTTGCGTCCGATCAGCGGCCTATCTTCATTCTTGAAGAAATGGAATATCAGCCGCGCATGGTGTAGGTAGTATGATGGGTAACATTAGCTGTAATAGGGCGGCTGGGGCGGGGGCAGGGAGGGGCTTGTGCGGAATTACACAGGAAATGTTGGGCGTGAGCTGGTCGTTATCGTGAGAGGGAAATAAGCACAGAGAAACAGAGCTATTCGAAGAACAGAAGGTCTGAATCCTCTCAAGGGTAAAGTGGTCAGGGTCATTCCGCGCTTAGGAACCTACGAATCGCTATATTCGGCTGAAACAAGCATGTCCTCGTGCGCAAATGGTTGGAATTGGGGTGAGCTTAACCTGACTTTAGCAGGTGTCAGTTCAACAATGTTGTGACTTAGCCTAACAGCACCCAGGATGAAACATGACGAAGATATAAGTATCAGATCTGCCCCCTGGATAAGGAGCAGGATGAGCTTTTTCTCTCATCCCTTTGCCATCCCTCGAGTGAGCTATTCCAGTGTACACCTCGCCTCCCCAAGAATATCAACATGATGCGTCCTACGGTCCTCAGCTTGGGTCTGGCCACGATGGCTGCCGCTGCCCCTTTCGCCGTCCCGTTGAACGAGACGCGGGCAGCAGCAGTTACCTGCGTCTCTGGGTTGTACATGATAGCTGCTCGCGGGTCGAACGAGGACCCGGGGGAGGGACCCCTAGTCCAGATCACCGATGCCGTCAAGACCCTCGTCCCAGGTTCCGCCAGCATCGCCGTAGACTACCCGGCGGCCATCTACGATGATGGAACGTACCCTGTCTCTGTGTACAGGGGTATTGACGACACTATCGAGAAGATCCAGGACTACGTGGCTGCTTGCGGCGCATCAAGCCGCATTGTGCTGCTGGGTTACAGTCAGGGAGGCAACGTCATGACTGACACCCTCGCTGGCGGCGTGCTGAAGCCCGATCCGATCACTGAGGACTACAGAAGCTACAGTATGTCAAAACGATTTCTCATCGTATAGTAAGGTAATACTGACAACTCCATAAGTCAAAGCCGTCGTTACCTTTGGCGACCCTACATTTACCGCCGGGGTTTCCCCCATAGATGTAGGCACGGCTACTAAGAATGGTATCTTCTCTCGAGGTGGTGACAGCCTCGAGTTGTTGAGGACCTACAGCAGCGTTCTGCGAATGTTTTGTCTCGATCACGATACCTTCTGCGCTACCGGCAGCTCATTGGATGTCCATTATTCTGAGGTGCCTACCTTTGCCCAGGCTGCTACCGACTTTATCGTTTCGATGGCTTAAGGGGAGATGGCAATCTGGTAGTTAATCATGAAATTTGGTTGTGTGATGTAATGAGGGACATGTTACTATGACCTGGAAGCGCGGTGTCTCTTGTATATACTTTGAACAACTTCTTCATATGATGGGATTTGGTTGTTCAATGGCTTGGGATGTTATATCGGATGATTTATTGAGAATATGATTATAAAAGTATGATTATTATGAGCGGAGCTGAATGTGCAGTTATTGGGCCGTTACAGCTACCGGTCGTCTGGTTATACAGTTTAGGTACGACTACTAGAATGGAGTTCAACAAAGGGTGGTAAATCATGCTCATAGTATGAGGGCCTCACGGTCTAATTAGGTTGTAATGCAAAGGTAGCTCAGTGTGTATATTGTGTAGTAGGCTGTTGTGTGAGCCGTCAGCTCCTCTAGAGACCTAGGCCGATCGTAAACCGCGTACTTATAGATGTGAGAATTGAGGCTGATGGTCGAGCTAGGGATGTGCTCGTCGGCCTTTCAAAGCTCACAATGCTAGTTATAATCGGCTGCCACACGTACGGAGTACTGGCGTATAAATTTTGCTATTTATTGTTAGATGCACGGTGTAAACATGAAACTAATATGATGTGCAGCCATAACAGAATAACAGGACAGCCTGAACCAATTCACAACAGTCCATATAAATTGGGCTATTACACCCTCCAAGTGCTCTATTAAACGATCTAAGTAGAACCAACGGCAATCACATTTTTAGCAAATATTTCACGGTAGCTTTTTAGGAAAGGGTTCCCTCTTCAAGCACCACTTCTTTAATTCTTGAACCAGGTTAGCTAATATATCGCAAGGCCCTGTGTTGGCACCTACAATTAGCAATATCGGACTCCTGGTAAGTGCCCACGAACATGTGTTCCGCAATCGGTCGATCTATACAAGCCCGAGATAACATATGGACGAAAGGAGGCATCTCAAAAGCTTCGTGACTGGCGGTTAATGTGTAAAAAAGAAGGAACATTATTGTTATATCTCCACCTGATTACGATAATTACAGTCTTAGGAAGTTTTAACCCCCTTACCTAAAGTCGTCTTTTAAAATTCACGTATTTATTACATGAAAGATTTCTTCCTTTCTCTTATGATTTACTAGTGCTAGTATTAGGCTCGTGAACTTCGCATCTTGTTCTATCTGCGACCTTTGCCAGTTCTATCATACATTTAGCCGAATGACTATTTTATCTCGGCTCTCTCGTTGATTTTATCCTCCTAGTAATATAGCCCAAGCGCTTGACACTTTAGTCCCCGTGCAGCATTCATGTGCACCGAGGTCAACACCTGGCTTGCACTCCAAGTAGTCTATGCCCAAGTTCTACGAAGATGCCTCTGTTGTGAACTTGAGAGGACCTAACCTCTTCTTCCCTAGGCGCCACCGTAGACTAATAGGCTCTGGACTTTGACTCTGCCAAAACCGCGCTCACGCAACAAATATCGCCCACGATGGTACGGGAACTCGACAATAACCATAACCGTGATGTCCCCAAGATCAATTTTCGTCTTGATTAGCAGCTCTAGGACTGCACAAAGTGTCTCGCCAGTTGCAAGGACGTCGTCTATCACCACAACCGGGGCACCCTTTGGAACCGTGTCTCTGCCCATTTCAATTCTCTTCTGTTGCGAATTATCAGATATCGAAGATGAGATGTGCGACGAGGATTTGGCGACCGAAACTGTTGGCGGTGGTAGCTTCCCATCTTCGCGAATTAACGCCAGAGGTTTGTTGACCTTTGCCGCGAGGGGTGCCGCAAAGACCCAGCCACCGGCTTCACAACTGACTACTGCTCCAACGCTGTCCCAGTCGCCTGTATAATGAGTTCGTAGCAAAGACGTACACAGATCCAAACCCCCTGGCTTTTGAGGTATGTCGAGCACATGGCAGAAGTCGACCCCCTGGCGTGGATGATCGAGAATTCTGGGCATCATATCGGCTAATATCTGCAAATCGTTATCGAAAAGAGGACATAGATAACGCTCTGCGAATCTTGTTGCCGCTTCCCCTCCGTCCATATCATTTCTGAAAATGAGACTAGGTCGATAGTTTGAAGCAGTGAAATCGGACCGTTCGCTGCCATTATTCATGATGCCCTCCTCGCCCCGGCGAAGGCATCGTGTTGCCTCACTTGCTTCGACTCGAATATCAAGAAGTCTGCTATTCGGAACCAAGTACGACAAGTTTGCAACAGGGGCGTCATCTCTCATACCAGTGATGAAAAGTAAGTTCACATTTTCTGCGCTGTGTACTACGTTTAGAAAGTGCTCCTCTCGCAACTGTGGGCTTTCTCGTAATTGTTCTTGAAAAAACGCTGTTAAGCTTGGTCGATGTTCCTCTTTATAGCTGCGGTCATGGAGCAGGAGATCCAGATTGGCACCGGTAGTAGAAGCATATGCCTTCTTGGTCTCGTCGCTGATGCTAATTACACGCGCCGTAAAACCAGTAAAAGGATGTCCATATTTGCTATTCAAGGTCAAGGCCCAGTGGTCGGCGCAATAGTCCTTGCCAGCACAGTCATCGCCAGTCACGAGAACAATAACTCTCATCACGATTGGTGCCTTGAGCGGGCAAGCATAACGCAGTACGTTGTATGGGTCAAACTTTGTCTTCAGTCGCTCCAATCTAGGTAGATTGCCGCCGAATGCTTTAGTCGCGAGAACTGCATCCCGGGGATCAGGTCCTAGGTCAGCACCGTACACACCAGTGCTTAGTGGTAACAAGTCTCTGACAACTTCATAGACCCATCTTACTGTTTCTTGAGCGACTCGTGTCCCATCTTGTTCGCGAAGCCAGACCCCTGTGACAATGCAGGCAAAGCTGAAGTCTCGGCAGCCGAAAGCAGTCGCGTCAGCAGCAACATCGGTGATAGCACCACCACCTTGCAATAGATGGATATAACAAAGCGGGGAGGGACGTGTCTTGATAGCTTCCACCAAAATCTTAGAGATAGGTTCTTTGCCGATTTCCTTCAAGAACAAGCATCGTTTGAACGAAGATGTTTTGCCGCCAGCATGCCCACTATGCATTACTGACATATGCATCTCCGCCTCAAATAAACTAATTCCGTTCACTATTCTAGAAGATACTTCCGACTCCGACTCAAAAATCCTATTTGGTTTGAAATGGGGGGTTGGGAGATGGGGTGCCGAGACGAATGAATCGAATATAGTCATGCCAATCTGTAATTGACCGGCCTCCCAGTAGATATGCGCATCTATAGAATAGTCCCGATGAGTTTCCTGAGTAGATATTTGGCAGAGTTGTTCAACTGACTCGAGTTGGTTCTGTGACTCGGATAAATTGCGCATCGGTCTCGTCAAGTGTCGGATACGGTAATTTCGAGCAGCAAAAGCTTTGAAAACTACGCTGATAACCACACCAAAGTTAGTCCCAGCGCCTTTGATGGCCCACAGCAGGTCGATTTCGTCTGCCTCATTCTCCAAGCGAACAGCTCTAGCTGGACGATAAGCCGCGGGTACATGGCCAACCAAGAGGATGCGACCAGAGTCGACACTCACGAGCACGGCCCCGACGATAGCATCACAGGCGAGTCCGTGCAAATTAGCTAAATGGCCAATGCCGCCTTGTAGCCACAGTCCCGCGCCAATACTCGGCCGCGATCCCAATGGTACTGTTAATCCCGCTGCCATAGTCGTGCGGATGATTTGCTCAGTTTTGCAGCCAGACTCAACTAGAACAAAGTGATCGAAATCCGAACTCTTAATTTGCTTATTTTCCTCGGCCGAAAGAATATGAACGCGATCAAACGAGCTCATGTCAATCGCTACCACTCCCGGAGCGAGGCAATTGACACTATGACCCCCTCCCAAGACTGTGAGACCAACGCCGTGTTTCACGGCCCATCGAACGCAATGCTGAATGTGTTGAATGTCCTTTGGTTGAACAATAGCTGAAGGGCGATGGAGACGAGCTTCTCTGTTTTTGACTGACACGTCCCCGTTTGCCAGTGGCACAAGTGCTGCTAGTTCCGGCAAGGAGGCTGCGTGGCGAGTGAAGCTCATCATGACTTCAGGAGCACTAAATACGATTTCATTTGGACGATGTTCCTCACGACGACCTAAGGCACGGCATGCCTTTCGCCGCTCGACCCGGACAACTTCGTCTATATCCGAACCTTGCATCGTAAAACCGGTGATGAAGGATGCAAACTGATCTATTTCGTGGTCTTCATCTGCTACTCGAACAACTCCAGTAGGGAAAGAAGCCGTTCGATGACACACTAATCCGCCGAGATCTAGGGTCCCCTGCCGATGGATGACCACAACCATTGGACCTTCTAGATCCTGGTCAAGTAGATCAAGTGCTTGTTCGACGTACTTATGGTGAGGGTGCATGCCATACATGCTGTGGCAGAACAAAACGACATCAAATTTATGGTCGTGAGGTTTGTCGCTAGTCAAGGTGAATGGCGCTCGATGAATGGTTGCTGCGCTTTTAAGACAAGGCAGTGCGGCTTCTTTCTTTGAGGCAGAGAGTAATCCTTCTTCCAAGTTCGAAGCAAACAAGCTATTGGGTTCATACGCGGAATAATATGTAATCTTCTCCCTCATGCGTCTAGATAGACCCTCAAGTACGCTCTCTGGGCCGGAGCCGATTTCTAACACCGAAATCTGACTACGCGAGCTGAAGAGCGGAGTCAAAAGCCGACCTAACTGGGGGATGATGAACTCCTGGTACGCTCCTGAGCCTCGCCGTAACATATCGAAGCCAATACTGTACTGGGCTTCAGAGAGTGGTTGCATGGCGGCCTTTTGCCTAAGAGCGTCTTTGAGAAACTCTAGGCTCGCCATAACGTTTGATATGCGTGTGATTCGCAATATTGACAACCGGCTTTAGTGATGGTGTTGCGATCTTGACATTTGTCCAATGTAAGCAATAAAGCTAAGCTTGTGTAGATTGCCTAGTATTAGGTAGCAAACAGCGAAAGCTCAAATAGATGTTTGTTATAGAAACACAGAGAACCCAGAAGTCTTTGAACTGTGCAATCTCTGCGCAGGCAACAGAGTAATTACCTACCTATGTACCTTTATGTCACCGACGCATCTTCCTAGAAGTTCAAGCGCTCTTTTGCACCCCAAGGTAACCATTCCAGATTGTTCCCTTACACTGTCACTATCCGTAACTATGAGAAGAGATTACGGAACTTGACATGTCAAATTCCCATATTGATAGCCATTGGGCCCATAGGTTGTGGATTGAAGCCGTCCTAATTGATTCAAAACCTCCTCGAGATATAAACTAACGCTTGTACCACTTTCAGAGCCATTAGAAGCCATTCTACACGGTTAACGCGATCACGTTGGAGCTTATATCAAGATACGCACCTGGGCCAGTAAATATCACCGAGTGACAGCTACGGTTTTTTCTCTGAATCATTTCTTCTTGCAACCTGTGGAGGGAGCTGCCACTAAAGTTACTTTTCATGATAGCAATCATCTGAGTGCCAGAAAACTACCATTAAGATTATCCTGAGTCCATAGCTGACCAATTGCTTAGCCAGAACACGACAATATTCATCAACCACTATTGAATGAAGAATAGGACTCATGAATAATGAATATGCGGTCAATTTAAACTGCCGTTGTTAAATTGATTCGCGATCTTGCTTCGACAATCATGTTGTGCCGGGTCAGCCGTCGGAAATTGACGGTTAAGGGGTGAGTCAGCCGTCGAAATATAAGCCAACTTTTGCGGTAATTTCCGCTTGGTAACATGACGCCTTGGAAAGCCCCGCTATGACTCGAATTGTCACAGTAGCAGTATAAAACCAAACATTTCTCTTGTCTTGTCTTCCTTTATATGTGCTTTTATCTACACTTCTACGCGCTTAATAATAAAGTCTATGGCAATCAGCAAGTTTGTGATTGGCTGTACTGCCGCGGCGTTTGCCATCTCCACTCAAATTTTGCCTTTTCACCGACCTTACTATGAGCCTAAAGCCAGTCCCACTCACAAGGATTCATTTGCCATATCAGTCGTGGCCCCCGGACGACATCATCATGGTATCCAAGAGAATTATAGTTTCTCAATCCCGGCGAAACGGCTCGGAAGTAACATTAGCGACGAAGAGATCCTAGCCCGCTTCACGAAGGGATTCTTTTGCGGCGGCGCGTTTACTCCGGAGAGGGTGTTTCTGCATATCGCCCCGTTCAGGTTGACAGACATCCTAGGTATGTATACGCCCTCTACTTATGTCCTAATGGTTCGCTAACTCTGAATATGTTCTTCAGCCATCAAGAAGAACATAGCTACTCGGTCACAAAATAGCATTCCAGATTTATCAGTGGGCCCAGACATATGGGATACATCGTCTATATCTCCGAAATCGACGCCACCCTTTGCGTCGCTGCTATTTGGCAGTTTCCTAGTCCTTGATTCTAGTTTGGTGAACCCCCATCGAGATCAGCTCCCCAGTGATTACACTCAACACGCCAAGCCACCGCACGCATTCGTAGAGATCGCGTATGGCGGTAAGGGATTAGGCTTAGTAGGATCTCATCGATTCGAAGTGAGTCGGCATGAAGTGAAGCAAGCTACGGAAGTCGAAGAGTTTGTGAATATCACATTTTCTTGTGTGGTTTGCAGACCAAATGCCGGTCCTGCACCATCCAAGTATCTGTCGTGGTTTCATATCTTATATTCACATCTTTTGTTTTCGGACGGGATTCGAGGTGTACTGGCTGAGTGATCCTTTATGTTTACTTTCTGTAAATTATCTGTACTATTACAACTCCCCTAGAATACAAATGTTCATAGAAATTTTCAATGTAAGGCGTGTGTAGAGTGTCAGCTATCCTTGAACACTCCGAATGTTACAGTCCAGGATATCGCATATACGTCTTATTCTGAGGTGCGTGAGAGCAAGCCGATCTATATCTTCACGTATTTAGGGCCCAGCCAAACGCTCTCAAGCGCCTCGAATTTTCTTGTGTTCTTATTCATGACAACCCAGGCAGGCTCTGGTTTCTCAATCCGCTAACGACACGGCGGACGCAGAACTATGCTGCACAGCACGCTCGATGGGCCTGGGAAGGAGAACATTTTCGCACCTCGTTTCACTTGTAATCTAATCATCGAGTGGGGGAAACAGCTACAAGGCGTAACATGCTAGATTTAGTGGTATACAATTGACAAAATATAGCTGCAGATGACAGATACTTAAAGGTAACCCGGCAACTGCGGGTTCGACCTCGCTTTTTGATTTCGCTTCACGCAGCAGAACCATGCTAATCAACACGGATTGCTAGCTTGCGGAGATTATGACACTCAGGAAATGCTTCAGGGTAGATCACATCCCTGGCACTCTTGTACGGATTTAGGCCTTAGGTCGTAAGCTGGAGGCAGGGTTTCGTTGGGACCCCAGCGTGTTTAATCGCACATTAACAATAACGGCAATTCGGGGTCTCTAAACGCCGACAGAACTAACAGTACAATTCGCAGAAATGCCTGTTTTCCTTGCTATTCTCATTACGATTGCCCGCAAAATGCCTGCTGCAGTCCAGGCACTCACAATGACCTTTCGGGGATCTCTTCTCCCGCGTGTAAGTTCTGTGCCGACCGTAGGTACTTATCGGAGACTGTATTCCAATTCTTCGCACAAGCTCTTCGCCCAAGTTACGTCGTGCCGATTATTCAGAGGCCCCTCAGCCATAACACACGGCCCCTCAAGAAGAGCTAATCATAGCTACTCTAAACCTCCTCAATGTCCTAACATATTAAATTCCCAATATGCTTCTGAAGGGCGAGTACTCATTTCAAAGTTCTGTGAATTGCATTAAAAACAATATTGACGTGCACAATAGATACACGACTGCATTCGCTCTGTTTGAGGGGCTCTGGGAGGTATGTTTTAATATGTCGTGACCTTGTGAGTATTCTGGCACTCACTGTTTCAAAGGCGGGAATAACGACTTGCTTTGTTAATGTTGGGTCCGATCATCCTTCAATAATTGAAGCGATCGTGAGAGGGAAGAGGGAGCGCCCCAACCGATGGCCTAGAGTCATTACCTGTCCTTCCGAAGTCATTGCCATCTCTATGGCTGATGGGTATGCCCGAGTCACAGGCAGACCGCAAGCCGTTCTCGTGCATGTTGATGTTGGTACGCAAGCTCTTGGGCAGGGCGTCCACAATGCAAGCGTCGGTCGTGTTCCAATCTTGATTTTTGCGGGATTGTGCCCATATACAGAGTCCGGAGAGTTTCTGGGATCTCGGACAGAATATATGCATTGGCTGCAGAACCCTCATGATCAGGCAGCTATTGTAAAGCAGTTTTGTAGGTATACAGGTGAAGTTCGTACAGGACTCAACATCAAACAGACTATTGGGCGTGCGTTGCAGTTTGCAAACTCCGCACCCAAGGGGCCGGTATATCTCACAGGTTCACGAGAAGTTCTTGCTCAAGAGATTGGGCAGTATTCGCTACAACAGGATCGGTGGGTGCCTATTGGACCAAGTGCACTCCCATCAGATGCCGTTCGCGATATTGCTGCAGCATTAGTCCAGGCTGAAAGACCACTCATAATCACAGGATATTCTGGAAGAGATCGGCGAACCCCAGAATTGCTCGTCGCGCTAGCTGACATCATTCCAGGAATACGTGTACACGATACAGGTGGGAGTGATATGTGTTTTCCTTTTTCGCACATTGCGTCTGAAGGCTCGCGTTTCAGTACGCACGATTGCACAAAAGATGCCGATGTCATTTTAGTGCTCGACTGTGATGTGCCCTATATTCCGTCACGCAACCCTCCACCCCAAAATGCAAAGATATACCACGTGGACGTTGATCCCCTAAATCAACAAATTTCGGTCTCCTTCTTCCCGGCTCATGGGCGCTGGAAAGCGGACTGTTACACGGCCCTCGCGCAATTGGGCGATTATATCAAACGCAGTAGCTCACTCATTGCTTCACTCCAGGACAAGAAATTCGAGGCTCGCAAGACAGCACGTGCAGCAGCGCATCAAAATCATTTAGCCGACATATCCTCCCGACTTCATTTAGATGACGGCGATCAACTGGATGCACACAATGTTGGCAACCTTCTGAAATCAATTCTACCAGGCTCAACAACCTTCGTCGTTGAAGCTGTGACTTCAGCCCAGGCACTCAACGATCAGCTACAGCCTGATCGGCCGGGAAGCTGGATCAACTGCGGCGGGACCGGAATTGGTTGGAGTAACGGTGCATGCCTGGGTGTAAAGATGGCACTGGAAGACATGAAGCATGACATAGGTAGTAAGCCGAATCTGGTCTGCCAGATTGTTGGGGACGGAAGCTTCATGTGTGCTGCACCGTCAAGCGCGTTATGGGTTGCCAGCAAATATAAGATCCCAGTTCTGACGGTGATCTTGAACAATGGCGGTGAGTCGCGTTGTGGTTTCAAACTTATCTTGTTCTTTTGTGCTTGTCGAGTTTGTCAGAACAGGGGGGATCATTTGCCAGCATCCATTCTCCCCCCTAGAGGCGTCACTAACGCTTCTTCTTCCACACCTAGGCTGGAAGGCTCCTCGAAACTCTACCGAGCTTGTGTATCCTGAAGGCCTGACTACGATAGCGTCGGATGATGAGATCAACGTCTCGTTTCGTCCAACCCCCAATTATGCTGCTCTAGCTGAGGCTGCAACTGGTTCGGAGATTGACTGGGACAATATCCAAGACAAGTCGGAGGCATGGATGCACGGAGTACGGGTACGGACTGTGGGAGAAATGAGAGAAGCACTGAAGCTCGCGAGCTCTAGGGTAGGAGACGAAGAAAAAGGGATGCTGGTCGAGGTCTTGATGTAGGTATACATGTTGAGTTGTATCAAGATTAAGAGCGTCAAGATGATGAGTACGGAAGGAACGCCTGATAGATGATAGATCAATTCAACCAACTTCACCAGTCCATGGAGCCTGAAGCAAGCCCTTCGCGTAGCTCATCAGTTTCGAAATAATAGTGCAAGCAATGCAATATACCTACTTACATCCCTACCACCCACCCCACCTCAAGCTATGCAGGTTGTGACCTGGAAGACTCGTGCCAGAATAAGCGAGCCAGATAATTGGAGGTTCAGAAGTGTGTGTATTGTTATTAAGAGCGCGTCTTGCTGTCTCTCTGAGCAGTCCCTGCTCGCCCCCTGGTTCATTTAGCCCGCACCAATCCATCCAAATTAACCCATCAATTCTGACAACTCGCTCTTCCTCGGCCTCCCAGGCCGATTGCACACTCTAGTTGTCAGATATAAGGGATATAAGCTTATTCGGTATATTGACTGAAGGGGTATTCAATGACGGACCTCTGTCAGGATGGCAGGGGCCCCCATACATTTCTACCTACAGACGCGGTCACTACTAGAGGACACATACGGGAACAGATGAATCAAGACAACAAATTTTTCAACCCAATTGCATGCCATCGCTTATATCTGACAGAAACATCAACTCCAATGTCAACTTAAAGTGGCGTTTTATACCGAAGAGCATCTACTAGAGACCAACTTCTCTTGTATTAACTTATCCTTGTTAGGAAGTTTGTGTTGCGCATCCTGCTCTTTTGGCCGACAAGATGAGATAGATAGGTGGAACCACGTGTTTTCTCTGATTCCAGCAGCCATGATAAGTCATACAATCCACAGAATCGCCAGGATTAAAGTGAGAAATCTGGTTCCCCGTGATGGAAAGGAGGCCGAAATGGGCGTGGCAAGGTAACCTCTGCTGTCACCCATAATTACAATTGCATGCTGACTGCAGTTTCCCTGGGTTAAGATCATGACCTTGTCAGACCTTTGTCGACACGCCCACTTCTCTATTGCCCATTAAGACACGCACTGTAACTATAGTGCATATTATGGCGATATTATTGAGACCCCCAACTCGACTCAGTCAAGATCTGACATGCATGTGGCCATTTCTAGTGGCTATGTGAATCTAACCGATGGCGGCGTGGACTGGTGGTTGATGGCTGATTAGCCCATGGTGTGCCTCTCATTCTCCCTTCGATTCTGCCTTGGGGTGTGTTGGTCCCATTGATAGGCACACCATCCCTCCTTGCCTCAATCATACATGGATTAGCCATTAAAGGGAGGCTGCACCGGGCCTAGAATCTGTCAGGCGAAAATTCCACTTCTTTGGGCTTGTGCCTACTTATCCTCTCAAAGTTCGGTTTTCCGCCATCCGTGTTCGCCTCAGTCTACTGGTAGACGTAGGAGTCCACAACTAGGCGTATGATCCATACTTTTGTTTGTCCCATTTTACACAAAGGGGTTTGACACCCGCTGGTTGTTTCGTTGCGGCCCAATATAAAACGCAATCACATGATTGTACCCGACCTTTACCAGTGACCACTACTTCAAGATGATTTTACCACAACCAGACTTGACATAGAAGACACCTTGGAGTGACAGTATTATCGTCAACAATCCGCAAACTCCCCCCATGGATGTTCTGACTGATACAGGCACTGAGCTTGCACGGGAGTGGGCGAATCCGAGTGTAGCGGTGGCAATTGTACTAATGTTTGTTGGCGGAAATGTCATCCGAGAGGCGTTCGCTCAATCAACGGGCAAGCTGTTAACACCGGTCTGCTTCTCCTTCGGCTGGGTTGCCTACGCGCTTTCTAGCCTCAAGGATACATTCGGCGAGGGCAGACTGTTATCACTCACCGACTACCCCGTCAAGGTGTTTAATCTGGACTCTGGATATTACCGTGTTAATAAGAACTGGCTGATCGGCCGCATTTTGAGGGACCACGAAGAGTCAATGTCCAAGAACGACTTGTTTAATGACAGTGCAATTCGTATCGCAATCTTCGAGGCCATGCCCGTCAATCAGAGAGGGACGCTGTCCTTCCAGTACAACACGCGACACCTCCTGGGGGGCGTTGTCATGGTAGCTCAACTTGTAATTGCAGCGATTCCAACTATCCGGACGCAGGGAAACGAGTGGGGGATTCTTGCGATCACGGGATTCGGCACGTTTTTAAGCCTCGTGATGGGCTCATTGCCCCAATGGTGGGCTGAAAAGATGCCGAGCAACCAGTCTTCGAAAAAAGTCTTCGCTCTTACTGGTGGAAATGGATCGCGAGACATTATGATCATTAAGGGGGAAGGACGTTGTCTCGATCTTGAGGAACTTGCTACAATGGGTTCCCCTAGAACTACGAGAATCTGGTCAAAATTGAAAGCCATGTCTGTCCCTCGATCGGATCAAAGAGGCAGAGATGCAAAGACGTTTTTGGGCCGCCCTATTGGCTTCCTGATAACTCAGTGCGTGTGCATATTGGAAGCTGTCGGCTGGTTTCTAATACTAACATCGCTTGCTGGGATTCGGAGCCACACATGGTGTCTCATTGTTATTGGGACGATGGGCTGGGTACACAATGTCATGCTTGCGGATCTTACTCGCGAGCCGAAAAGCCGCAACTTGCCTCTGAAGTTATTAGATACCATCTCAACATACAAAACTATGGATGGATTAATGGACCTGGAGGTGACACATGCAGGGTGCGGTGAAGCCTTATTGCCCGAATTTTTCCCAGGAAGGTTGCGTCCAGACGAGGAAGAATGGTGGAGGGAGAAGGAAAGAAGGTCAGAAACGAAATATGACAGGACACGGTTCGCTAATCGTCGTCGGAGACTCTGCCCAAGATCGATGCTTCCCAGCTATAACCTTCATGCAACTGCGGCCGATCCAACAGTCCCAAATACTCCGCCAGAAGAGAGTTCTCTATGGATAGAACAGCAGTCTCCGAAACTGCCAGCTTGGGATTGATCAATTCCATTTTAAATTTTACGGAAGCCTGATGTACTCGTAAAATGGGGAAATTTTGCTTCTTCCCTTTTCATTCGTTTTGCTTCCCTTCCCTCCTTCCTCCCTTCCTCCTCTTTTTCTTTTTCAATACAGCTGTCTTACATAGAATTTGTTGTCTCTATATGTCACAATACTGAAGTAGTGTAGGCACAGGGATTAGTGGGAGCATGGGATAAGGGCCGGATGAGTCAGCAAGGGGGCTAGGCGTTCAGGATTGATCTTTCTGGGACATAATATAGATACTACCTAAGTCGTAGACACACTTGCTGGAAACATTGCATGTGATATGTTGGGTACTCAATACTACTCTAATTCACTCGGGGAGTGCACAGCCAAAGAAGCTTAGGTAGATCCAAGCTAATATTCGAGTGCCACTTGTACGGAGGTTGGGGCTGTGAATATCCATCACCTTTAGTCCTGGAGGCTTCCATACTAACACTTCAACATTTACATGCAAAATGTTTATAGCCAGGTTCAAGATTGGGGTCTAGAACTAGGTAGGCGGAGGCGACTATTTATGCGGAGACTGCATATAGGTAGCTGCGGATCGTTTCAGACCTAGGTAGGTGTGTTATTAATAGCTCAAGGCACACTTCCTTCCTCTTTTATATATAATAATCAAGTACTTTTCCATAGAGGGGTTAGATTTCTGGCTTTAAAGTAATTGACCGATATTATGAACGGCCGCCCATCTTCGGGAAAAAAAAAATGTCTTCACCAGACTTGACCTATTGGCCTCTTCCCAACCCTACCTCAATCCGCATCCTTGTTCTTGCACCCGGTAAACCAGGTGACAGCGATCTCTCCTTCAGTTTTTTAATCTCAGATCTGGACTTCGATCACAAGGCGTTTCCAGGTTCTACTCCAACCCTAGTTGAAAATACGTTCGTAAATGGCGAGAATGGTTCGGGGTTTCCGAAAAACATTGACATGGGCGCCGACTCTACGCCTCAGCAGCCCCGATGCCATCCTTTCCAGCCATACGAAGCGCTCTCCTATGTTTGGGGTGACCTTCATGATCAAATCTGGGTCGGTGGCGATAATGCAATCCCTATAACTAAAAACCTCTATTCGCTGCTGCGCTCGCTCCGGTTACCGCACAAAGGGCGCAGCTTATGGGTTGACGCCCTTTGCATCAACCAGAGTGACCACGAAGAGAAGAAAGTGCAGTTAGCTCTCATGAAGCGAGTCTATCAGCAAGCGGAAAAGGTCATCGCCTACTTACCTTTGTCGGTCCAGGATCAGAAAAGTTTGAACCTGCTAGTCCCTCAGATCTTGCGAGCGGCAACCCTTTATAGGGAGCATCAAGCTTCGAAACAAAGTGCGGGATCCGACCAAGCGCGAGATGGCGGACCGTTAAACTCGACATCTCATTTAGAGACAAAGACGATCATTAGGAACGCGAATGAACCTATGAGCGCAACCATGCTGAGGGCTTTTGGTGGAAGTCAGCCGTTTCTCGAAAGTTTTGGACTACCACGAGAGGACAGTCCTCTTTGGGATTCTTGGCGACATGTATTCGCATTGCCGTACTTCAGGCGCATGTGGATCTGGCAAGAACTGTTACTGGGCAACAATCTCCATTTCTGGTTTGGCAATGCAGAGGCGGCTGCGGAGCCGCTCATGATAGCACACCATTTCCTAGATGAGTACAGTGCCACCATGAACATGAGTTATAATGCCGCGTGGTGTGCCTCGGAAGAGGATAACCAGGACGCTCTTCAGAGCAGACTAGTAGGGTCTGCAAACGCAACCAAGATGTTCCGCGATAGAATACTGAGAAGATATGGTGGTGATGGCGTGTCCCAGCCTAGACTGATTGAGAAGCTGGCGTCAGTCGGGACTTTCGAAGCTGCGGATCCCCGAGACAAGATTTATGCACTGCTTGGCTTGACATCCGACGGCGCGTCGTTCACTCAGCATGTCAGTTATGCACCCTGGGACTCAAAGGAGCAGATTTTGATCAGGTTCGCCAAGTTATTCATTGAGAGAAATGAAGGTGTTGAAGTGCTTTTGCAAGCTGGCTTTCGCGACCACGAGCCCGAATGGGCTTCCTGGGTTCCTGTAAGAATAGATTATCCGCCTGCTATTCTCATGATGTTTCTCTCTTATGAGCAAAAACTAACGCTTCAAAGCATTGGGACAACCTCGAACGACCTGTTGCCCTAGACGCAGCTCGGGGGCGGGGCAGAACTTTCACGCTTATTCAGGTGGATGAAAAGAGCACAGCTCTCAATATTTCTGGAATTATTCTGGATGAAATCAGCGTGGTCAACAGCAGCGTCCTCGAAACACTTGAAGTGACTGAAAATGGTGTCGACATGCAACGTTTTAACAAGGTTTTTGTCAGAGGACTGTCGATGGTGTTTAATAGTCTTACACCCAGAGACCCCGAAGAAGTTTTCGAGCAGCTTTTTCACGTCCTCGCGCAGCCAAAAACAAAGCAGGAGAGACCAGGGAAACAAGACGAGGGGTCTGAGACTTCCACGGCCCCCAGCCAACAGGAGACGCTATCATCTGATGATAAGGCAAATGAAGCGGTTGGGCGAGAAACCGAGGCCTTACGTATTGGTTTCCGCGAATACCTCCGCTACGTGCAAACCTTGCCGTCTCAGATCAAGGCGGTGTCAAACTCCAAGGAAGATGTAACACAATTAATGAACACGAAATCACCCGCCGAGTTTCACAAGTTCCATAAGGAAGCCGTTAAGAATCTTCATCATCGTCGTTTGTGTATTACAAAGGGCGAGTTAATAATCATGTCACCGAAGCGAGCTGAAGTTGAAGACAAGGTAGTGTTGTTTGAAGGATGTGATATCCCTTTCGTACTACGTCCTGTTAGAGATACGTCAGGGGAGATGATTGGTGTAGAGGAGGCGAAAGATGGAAAAATAACATGCAGGTTGATAGGACCTGCCTTTTTACATTTCCCTGCAAGGAAGGGGTCTCCGTCCGGAGAATCCCGCCTGAATATAAGGTTAGTATAACTATGAGTATGAGGTAAGTTCAATAGGTGTTTCTTAGAGCCAAAATTGGTTACTATCTTCAGTCATGAATATTTATATACATAGTAGTTTCAGAATTTATATCCATGTATGTTCCATTGTTTTCAAGAAACATATAACAAGCAACCCCAGAGTCAACTTCATTTCTACTCCTTGTGCATTATTTCCGGCCGCCCATGAGCTGTGTGATGTTCTGCCCATGGATACACTTTAGGAGCGTCGAGCAAGAGCCTTCTGGGTCCTTAGTGCAATCGTTGGCAGTCTTGATTGATAGGTCGTCATTATCCTTTGGATTGGTACCGAGGCAAGCTAAAAACACAATATGTAGGGAAAAGATAGGCAAATATATGTTACCAGCCACTCTACTTCATAATTAATACAGCCGCTAAGGAGAAGCGGGCTCGTGGCGAAGGGGGAAAGGGCATAATGTAGGTAATTAAGGGACAGAAAAAAAGGGAAAAATTGAAAGAAAGAAAGAAAGGCCCGCTCTTTACCTAAGCACACAGCTCTCGCTGTGGAAACCCTATACAGCGTAAGACAAAACAACTGCTCCCAAACACAGAAGAAAATAGAGGATGGATCCCCGCGACTTGAAATTTCGGCCTAGAGTATATTAATCAGCGTTCTCCTCTGCCAAGGACAGCAGGCTCCAAGGCATGACAGAGAAACAGACACAATCGGTGGTCACGCGTCCACCCTCCTCCACCACGAACAAGAACCTTGATGGCCCTTCCCACCCAACTCTCCCAGGCACACGCCAATCATCGTCAATCCGGTTGCGCTGGTGCGGCCGCTTCCGTAGATAGAATGGGACCCCCCATCTGATCTAGATCACTTCAGTATGAGCTAAGATGTCGTGATTCCCGACGAGGAAGACGCGGTGGCTCCCCTATCCACACGTCGAACGCCCATGTGCATAAAACCCCCCCGTGGCCAAGAAGGCAGTCGCTATTTCTTACCTTACCCTCCCGTCAGCCCTAATCTATGGGGTACGGGGCGGGATCGTGGTTTCTTAGGTAAGGATGGAGCCTCATTTTGACGACATCTCATGAATGACCTGCCGCCCATCCTGTAACCAGTCTGTTTTTTTCAACAATACTTATTTCCCCCCTCTAGCTTATGTTGCTGCCTAGAACGACTCATTGTGGCCTATTTATCGCTGCTTATTCTTGAGCGTTTTTCGGCTTGGATAGTATACTCTGACACAAGTTTTTCAGATTTCTCGCACTTGGTCACTTCGGAAGCATTGTCTCTGCAAGCCCATCAAAGCCCACGGTGCCACACTCAAGCCTGGGCAGATTGGTGCTTGTTCATATACGGGTAGTCGTCCTTCGACTCCGGCGTGGCTACATTTGATCACATAGGTTCGGAAAGTACGAAGAATATGCCCTAGATGTGATGGGGTTGGATGAGTTTTCATTGAACTATCTACCACCAGTATAAGCCGAAACATATGAAGTCTATTGCCCCGTCCTGTTTCATTTATTTATTTATTTTTACTTTTTCATTTGCATCATCACGTCGTTCCCGCCTCTTATCCACTCGATAGACTAGAGGATTAGTGAGGGGGCATGTGGTCGAAGGCCTATGCCAGTCATGGTTAGCAAGCTTCGGTTAGGATGAACAGTGGAAGGTTGTCAGGCGATGCTACTCACGTTCTCGAGCTTCTCGGTCATGAAAGGAAGCTTGCTGACACACCAGATCTCGGCAGCCTGTTATCGTCATTGGTTAGCTAAGTTAAAGCGATTCAACCTTCATATCAGATGTGCTTACAGGCTTGAGGGCCCGCTTGTCCTCGACCGAGAGGGTACCGGCCTTGAGGGCGATGATCGGGGGAGCCGCTTCAGGGTCGTGGTAGATGGGGGAGCCGCAGTCACCGCAGAAGACACGGTGGACGGGCTTGCCGGAGGAACCGGTACCAGCGTAGCTCTTGGTGGGGCCAGATATGTTCAGCTTGTCCTTGAGGACGACGGCGACGAGAGCTGTAGGGTCAATTGGTCAGTCGACACGATTTGTGTGTGCGGTATTCATTGCCAGGGTGCGGCCTCGACATACAGTAGGTGGAACCAGTCTGGCGCTGGCAGTCGTCACAGTGGTCGTAGGCGACGTTCAAGGGGTCCATGTCGACGGTGTACTTGACAGCGCCGCAAAGGCAGTGACCTGAGAGACCCATTTTGGATGATGTGGAAGAATGATCTGGCTTGAAGTGGTGTTGTTTGAGCGTGAGGAATAAGAGAGAGAAGAGTCGGCGGCTACGAGAGAGGGGTCTCCCCTCGTCTTAAGTACTGGCTCCCGGAGACGGGGCGTCAACTGAAGGATTCATCCACGTATAGCAGCATTCTGACCTAATGCATACTACTGTGCGTGCCATGGGAGGAGAGTCCTATCATATCAGTTCCACCAGAGAGCTGCCCGAGTACGGCGAACAGTCGTCTTTCCCCCTCCTGCTCCTCTTCTTCTCCCTCTCACGCCTCTCAACATGGTACACAGTACCACTGTAGGGGCTTGAGAGGGGACAAAGACAAAGGAAAAAGGGACCGGCCTAGGTAGGTAGTGCAGTGGAAGGTGTCTGACATGCAGAGCAGATCCCACCAAGCGGCGTCAGCATAGTAACTTCACCAACGTGCGGTGTGCAGTCAGCAAGGGCTCCCGTCCACCACATGCGAGTACATGCCAGCCGGGGAAGGTCTGGGAGGTGGGTGTGTTACTGTATGTAGCTCCACGAAAATGGGTCAGGGACAGCAGAGCTGCCGAATCTTGGGCTCGCGCGACGCGGGGCTTTCATGATTTCGATTCCATGGTGGGGTAAGATGCTCTGATTGTTATGTGATTGTTATGCGCGCTGTTACGTCAGTGTGAGGACAAGGGGTCGGCTAAAGGCTACCTATAGTAAAGCTAACTTAACTAGCAAGAATAGGCAGGATGAATAAGCCTACTACTGTACTTACTCCCTCGAACAACGATTTGTATTCCTCTCATCCATCGACATCTCAGATCCACAAGACAGACGCGTACGGATGGATGTGCCCCTCGTTGCCCCTCTCGCTCGTTCCAAATCGCAGATGACACGCCTGAAACATGTGTACCGTGTACGAAGTAAGGTTGGACAAGAGTCTACCTAGTCCAGTGTTATCGTGGTACATCCCGTAAGACTAGATAGAAACACGCTATCGTTACTGTTAGGTATGTTTGCTGCTGTAGCCTCGAGCAGTAATTTGTCACGGTTCTTATCCAATGAGCCTCGGCCGTCCAGCAAGCCCCCGCGGTTCAGCATTGATCGGAGGCGCGAGTGGATTTGAGGCGTACCACCAGGGGTTCATTTGCTTGGTCCCGCGTCCCAGGACCGGATTTGGAATTGGCAATGATTCGGGAACTAAGGGATGCTGTGCGTTAGCATGCAAGTCAATCCGAGTCAATCACAAGCTCCGCTCCCCTCTCCCTCGCATACTTAACAATGCAGCGCACTTTCATGGTAGGCACCTACTCGATACTTGCATATCATAGATGTATCTATTGGCAGTGCTCGTGGGGACTGGCGTCTCTCGAGACATCGCCAAGCCGACAGCCGCAGGCAAGGTCGCCAGCTAGATATCACATTCCTATTCAAGTGAATGCAGTGTATATCTTTCAATCCATGTATGAAGAACCGCTTCCCATCGTTCCAATAGCCGGATTTACGGACTCTCTAGCTCCGGTGGTTTATAACCTGGGTAATACGACTCAACTCCCCCGATGGATGGAAGATTCAGCGTCTCGTACGAGGAATACATGTCTCATCGGTAAACACGAAACAGGATCCCGAGCTTTCATTAGTTTCTGAAATAGAAGCATCTACTCATGCAGACTACCGAAAGCTCCGGGATGATGCTAGGTACTGTAAATTCCCCGGGCGGTATATCAAATAATAAGCGCTCCGTATATAGCGCTTATCATGCACTGGGCTGGCTCTGCCGAATGGCCGGGCGTTTGAGATACTCAAATACCTGCCTAGGTGTTGAGACAACCAACAGCCTCGTTATCTCTCACCGACTGCCCAATGCATGTGCAGTTCGAAATAGGTACAGTAACTGGAACCGATACAAGATAACAAAACCTGTACGGAATGTTCATTTCCTCCAGCGCTTGCCTTGAGATCCCAAACGATGTTGTCAAAGCATATTGGAAATCCGGTCAAGCAGTAGGCTAAGTGCAGGCATTTTACCAGAGAACGACTATGCTAATTGATGAAGATCAATAGGCGAGGGAAGCTCTAGGCACCATCGTCGATTTAGACACCGAATCACATATATCTTCCTCGAGTATCTATCCTACTGGGTTCCAAACGAGACCTTGCAAACCAGCACATGCCCAATAGTTCACAATGCACATCTGAACAATTGATTATGAACAGCAGTTCCATCGTTCCAGGCAATCTCTTTGAACTCTGCTATAACAGTGTAATAGCCAAATCGCAGATGGCTTGCTCTTGCCAATAGAGACAGTGGTCCCAACAAAGACCAACAACCGAGCCTAAGGAAGTTGTGTTCTATCCACGGCCTGAACTATAGAAGTCAGCACCTCCCATTTACTTCTTGAACTCAGACAGCGGAATCCGGTTTCCTTCAAATGGCGGCCGGTTTCAATTGACGGGTGACACAATCAAATACGGCCGTAGGATTCGAGATACATGAGTAAGCCAGATATCACCAGAATTCCATCAAATGAAAACGAAGTATCATGTTAAGAGTTTCCTGGGTCATTTATCCACCATGCCGTGGGCTAGGCCCCTGTAATTCATCTTCGAAAGATACGATGATGACCGTGTTAAGACCACCAATTGAACTGGCCAAAGATGTTGAAAGATTCAACCTGCGCGAAGCCAGCTAGCTAGGTAGCAGCTTACCTCTGAAATATTACCGCACAAATGAGATTGTCACCATACCGAAGGGGTTGGCGTGATAAAATATGAAATATAAGCTTATATCGGAATAGTGACTTTTTGTTGTTTTACGATGAAGCCATCGTGTTAACGACAAATTATCAGCTTGTTGCTGTGTTGTAGGAGGAAACGGTAGAAATGGTTGATCCAAGCCACGAAACCAGCCTCACTTTGAACGTAGGGCTTAGGTAGAGATATGTAAGCACCCGACGAACTGCTGGACACGATGCTAGGGACATGATTTAATCTAATTTTATCTCGAATTACCTAATCAATATAAACTCCGTCCCTCCGTTCTATGAATCCGCGATATACCGGTATCATGCATTGTGTAGGACTTCTGCCCAAGACTTCCAAGGTTGGAAGAGAGGAGACATCTCACGCCTTCAGCCCAATACCATCACCCTTGTTTGACGCTAAGCCACAATTTTCTCCCCGCTACGCCACGCTGGGGCCGCCGATTGAGTCAGCGCTGGCCGCGTGAACCCACACCTACGCCATCCCGATTCCTTGACATTCTACGGCGAAGATAATAAAGCTGGCAACAAGGCGATTCAAGGCGTCATTCTTCCCTTCCCAACATCAATTCCACCAACACAACACTCGCCGTCGATCCCTTCCGTATTTGCGGCTGTCCAACGACTCACCAATCTACTGAAATATCCTTTTGCTTGTGTCTAATACAAGTTACATTCGATCAGACCCATTTCAAACCCCGCCAAACCGTCAAGATGTCAGACTGGGACGCCGTCACCAAGATTGGAAGCAAGACGCGAGGCGGCGGCGCTTCGCAGAGGGAGACTGTTGTACGAGGAAACGCCGCTCTCAATGCTGCGAAGCGTAGCGGTGGTTCCATCGCAACAGAGAAGAAGTACTCAACAGGCAACCAGGTAAGTTGATGTCCTCATTCACTCTGCTAGCAACCCCACACGTGAGCGGCTTCGCCGTCATCATCATCATCACTATCCTGTGTACCGGTATCTCCAGACTACGGATGTCTCTACGCCAGGATGCAGAGTCTTTACAAATACACATGTGCATTTCCAGTCATACCTGGCTTCGTCTTGTTTGGCTGTCGGCAAATCCTAAGACCGTTTTCGGACTTAGTACTTGATGCTGGCTTCCCGTCGCCACCTCACCGCCAAGATCAAAACAGCCTTTCCATCATCAGCATTCGCCCGTCCCTTCGCCCGTCCCTTCGCCCGTCCCCAAGTTGACCCTAATATCATATTACGAATAAAGAAATGCTAACATAATTGATTTTCAAGATTGGCAAAGGTCCCGAAGGCCAGCACTTGACGAAAGTCGACCGCAGCGACGACATCATCAAGCCCAACACAGTGGGCAAGGTTGTCGGCGACGCAATCAGCGCAGCGCGGCAAAAGATGGAGCCGAAGATGACACAGAAGGATCTCGCCACACGCTGCAACACAACGGCCGGCGTGGTCGGCGAATTCGAGCGGGGTAGCGCTGTCCCCGACCAGAAGGTGTTGTCCGCCATGGAGCGCGTGCTCAACGTCAAGTTACGTGGCCAGGGGATCGGCGAGCCCAAGTTCAAGGGGAAGGCGAAATAAGAGATGTATAACCATCATTCATCTTAGCGCAACAAAGTGAAAATCAAAACAACATATGGAGGATCACATGAGTCAGGCGTCTTTGCAGCGCCAGCTCACGTGGTTCAATCATGTATGATGAGTCATGCAGAAGGGGAGGAAAAAAGCAACCAACCCCTTCCACAATGCACTCTGATGCCTTTTGAACCGAAAAGAAAAACCATGCAGGATACATCGCGGTTGATATTGGTCTTTTGGGAAATCAGAACGAAGCCCTAAATAACTCTGAATGCGAGGCGTATATGGTATTTTGCTTATTATCCCAAATTCACACCTTTGGAAAAGAAAGGGTGGTTAACACAGGATTATTGTCTATCTTACGATATTACCTATCCTACCTACCTACCTTACCTACCGGTTTATACTATAGAGAAGGAATAGAGAGAATTCATCAGCATATATCAATCACTATTAGATTGCGCTGCTTCGTTGTTTCAACTTGAAATCTATCTTCTTGCCTTGACTTAGCTATCTTATATGCGTATTATCTAGCCAATATGGGGATTGGCATAACTATTCTTCGCCTACCTAGGTGTGATATTGTTCTCATCTATTGTGTCTTCACAAGATAATGGAAATTTGATAAGGCTCGCTATCAAGCTGTCAACTTCATCCATCAGTCTTTTACAGCTATCAAGTCAATACCCATGGGAAATGCCGAAGGAACTCTTTGACATCAATCATCACATTGTCGCCTAAGTCTTCACAATCACTGGAACGCCGAGGTCTGTTCAACTGCCTTTGGCTAACGATGCTCGCTTCATTCGACTGATCGCGATCCATTATACACAACGTTTAAGCCACTAAGTAAAGTGGCTGGAAATCAGTTCGAGTGAGTGCTGTAGCCAGCTAGAAATGAAGGTGAAGAAGGGAAGGTACCTGCCTAGGTAGACAACCAGACACTGCGAACTTGATCGTGTGCGTCTCCTAGGTAGGTACACCGTGGACGTACCTTCCAAGATACCTTGTCACCCTCATCTGCCATTCTCCATCTATTTTCAATCTCAACCTCAATCCCAGTCTCAGTCTCAGCTTCAACACTAACACCAACACCAACACCAGCATTATGGCCATGCCAACTCCAACCCCAGCAGCAGATGCAAAAGTGGCCGACCTCACCAACGCCAATGGAGGTACGCTGAGAAGAAGAGAATCACTGACTATCAAGAACAGGACGCTGCTATTCGTCCAGAGTAGAATTAGAAACTTCGCGAGTTTCCTAATACATGGATCACCGATCCAGAAGGTTCTGAGCAGGCAAAGCGCAGCATGTTCGAGAATTATGAAGCCCTCGACGAGACTTACAGCCGCCAATGGAATCACGCCGCGCTTCGGTCTGCGGACCGATGAAGAAGGTAAGCAAAGAGTCCACGCAATCCAAAGGCCAGATAAGTCGGATCAAGACAAGGAGTTTGCGGCCAAAGAGCACGTTCATATAATTACTCAGGATTCTTCGGGGTTAGAGACCTACCATCTCGTTCCCCTACGTGAGGTCACCCTAGATATGGTCCTCGAAGCGGATTGGTCGAAGACAAACTGGTCTCAAATTTGTTAATGTCAGAAATCCTAGCCACACGACCGAAATTCCATTTGACGATGATATGATCCAGGAACTTGAAAATGGATGATAACCGATATACCTCTTGGCTGCTCTGGAAGCGCGACAAGCTACCAACGACATACCTGATACAGACGAAAGCGTACTATAAACGTGTCCTCTTAATAGTTTCCGCAATACTTTCGGGAGAAACCCTTCAGGAGCAGCAGGCCCATGTCTCCGATCACCCCTCGTACATGGCGATATTTTCACTACGACGTTCAACAATGGTATCTACCTACCTACCTACTTACCTATGACTAGTCGAAAAGCCTCGTGTAACCTGTCTCCTTCCTTCTGTTTAGGTCAAGGCGAAAGCCTCTTACCATAGCTCTTCTGGCTAAGGTGAAAGCCTTGTAAAAGTCATCTCTCTTCTGACGAGAGTCGCCTCTTCTAGCGAAAGCCACCAGGGCTACTGGTACTATCGAACCTTTTAAGGGGAGACGGGTGGGTTCGATTCCCTTCAGCTCTAATATATTATCCTTGTTAATACTATTTCTGCGAACGTATTTACGTTCCAGGGGTGAGAGTTTGGTGAGTAAACTGGACAGCCCACTCAAAAGCCAGGATCGCCTAACTCATGATTCTATGAAAAACCAACATAACGCATCCTAGTCGAAGTGGTAAACTATAAGGTAGATGACCTATTTTGGTCAATGACCACGATGCGTTGACATGATTCAATGATTTTAGACGTGAGAGCCTCTGCTCTGGACGAGGACCGGTGAATCCATGACTCACTCTGGCTGGAAAGCTTGATTTCATCTGTCTGCCCTGGAATATAACGTCAACGGATCCGAGCTGGATGAAGGGAAGGGCTATGAAGGAAGGTAAGAAATAGAGGTGATTGGCTTGAACAGCTCGGTTTTGGTGCGTGAGAGAGGTACATAGATAAAAACAATAACGCGTAGAAAGAAGATACCGGTACCAGGTTTTACCCACTACTGTACCCTCTCTGCAATTTCACCAGCCGCCCTTTTTGAGTCCTTATAGTGTAATTATATTACGAAATAAAAACATCGAATGCGAGACCCGAATCCTTAGAAATCAGCAAAGCATTGAAATTTCCTATTCTAACACGAGTATTCTCGCGGAATTTGGAGTTGATGTGGAAGTGAACCAAGCCACAAGGACCCAACCCGATTTAAACCCAAAGCTGAAAACTCAATTAAGTGATGCCAACACAACACAAAAGCTTCGACAACCGAACCATGTCTCCATGCAAAACCAGCAATGCAGGATGATAAAAAAAAGGGGGGGATATTTCCCACATGCAGCAGAATGCCATGCAACGCCATGCAATGATTCCAACCAGGCATGAACTTAATGCTGTCCCTCGAACGCCGTATAGAAAGCCTGATGATAGCAAGACAGAACACCATTTGAAAATGCTCATTGATCCCCGCCTCCTCTCCCCTTCATTTCTCAGTTCCCCTCGTCGTCATCATTAATCTAACCTAGACCATATTCTCCTCATCCAATAAGTAAGTAATTTCACTCTCGTCCCAGAATATCCTGCACCCGTCTCGCGACCTCGGGTTTGCCAAGCTGGCACGAGACCTCGACGACGACGTTCTCGCGGCCCGCGAGCGTGACGACGCGAATCCACTCCGGGGCGACCTCGCTCGCGAGCAGGCGGACGCAGGCAGCGCCTTCTGGCTTCGAGATGCCCATGCGGAACGAATCTTTGAGTTTCTCGAGGAGTGCCGCCATCGTGAAGCTGATGCGGCCGCCCATGCCGCCTTCGCTGGACGCCCGGCTGAGCATGCCGATGAGAGCCGAGACTTCCTCGACTCGCTGCAGCGCGCCGCGACGCTCGAGCTGCGCGGGCGAGAGGCCTGCAGGCATTGCCGACTTCTGCAGGGACTTTAGGCGGATTCGGTCGAGGAGGCTCATCTTGGTCCCGTCGACATTTCGCATCGTGGTATCTGCAGGGGACGGTTTCGGGGCGATTTTCTCCTGCTTCTTGGCTGCGATGCCGTGCTTGAGGTCTTCAAGGCGTTGCTGTCCCTTCAGGAGTAATGGTGAGGCCTTGGCTAGGGACTCGCAGAGTGTCACGGGGGCCTTGGGAAGGGTGGGAAGAAAGGCCGATGCGCTGTTTTCGTTTCCATTGGCGAGGAATGTAGTCCAGAGAGCTGTGATATTTGTGCGGAAGAGTGTGTTTAACTTGTCCTCGCTCAATGGCCCGAAATTGCGGGATTGGTTGATTTCGATGCAGATTTTGCCACGTCCGTAGTTGGAGAGGGTGAAGGGGCTGCTACTCAGTGATGATGAGGAGCTGCCCAGTATGCCCAGACAAACTCGAATGTCCGCATCTGTCACTTTCTTCTTGCCCCAGGCCCGGGCAATGTTAGGACATAGGATGCGCAGGTCGGCCGGTACGTTGGAGCCATTGTGCGCATAATGCAGAGATAACGTCTTCAAAAACGCGGTGTGTAAGTCTATGAGGCTGATGACCTCTTCGGGAAGTTTGCTCGATTTGGCAGGGTTCGTGTCCGACTCGATATCAGAGCCTGCGACCGAAGTATCCGCGGTGACGGGGGACGAAAACCGAGAGGGTGATGACTCTAGGCGTAGTTTCTTGAATAGGACTCCAGTATCGACGGTAGATGCATCGGAGTCTGAGACGCTGGGGCTTCGCACTCGCTTTCGTGGCGTGGGCTCGGGACGTGCCTTCTTGGGAGGACGGCCGCGGCCACGCTTCACCGGCTGAACTGGAGTTGTCGCTGTGCTCGACGAAGCAATCTTTCTGGTTGAGGAAGTAATGACATTCTTGGGACTCTCATCGGCGGAACTCTCGTCTTCAATGGAAACAATGACCTTGCGTTTTCGGGAAGCGGGTGTAATGGCCTCAAGCTTGACGTCTTTCCTGGGGGTCGAAGGAGTGAGTTCCTTCTTGATAGAGGCATTGCCGCTAGTCTTGGAGACACGGGCGAAACTGCTGATGCCGGATGAAGCGTGTTGTTGAATAGTCTTTCCCTTGGAGCCGGGGGCTGCTTTCCGCTGCTGCTTGACGGCAGGCATCGTGACTGCACAAATGACAAGGGCGGAATGCGTATGAAAGAGGGAGTTGCACTGATGCAGACACACGTATCCAGGCAAGACCAATCGATTAAGACGCAATTACTACACACAATCCTAAGCAATGTAGAACAATTAACGGCAAGACATGGAAATGACGACGACGATTATGGTGGATGACGGGGAAGTCAGAGCTTTGATTGCTTGTTGAGAAAAACACGCGGGATAGAGCAAGCTACCAGTGATAAGGGAGAGGCTAAGCAAGGGGAGCACAAGCTCCAAGGTCGCGACAGGGGCGCGTCATAACGCGCGACACCCCACACAAAACACGCGACTTGGGAAATATCGGGCGCGTAAAGCACCTCGGGATCCCTGCCTGGCGCCAAAACGACCCCATTCTCGCCATGGAACGGACTGAATGGCCCATTGGATATTGGATACATGTGGGGGGTGCGCGTTTCGCCAAGACACGCTTTTCTACTTCAAGACTTCCCGCTTCGTTTCCTCAACGACCACGAGTAAAAAAAAAAATCCACCCAACTCTGGAACACTATGACCTACAGTATCTTTAACTAGAGCTTCAAATGAGGTCCATGATGAAGCCGACGGTTCTGCTTTCGAGAGCATCCGTGCACAGTCCCTCTGGCTGTCATTGGCTGGGAGAACAGTGTAGGACCCGCTCTCCCGACACTGATTCGCTGTTGCGAAAAATGTCTTGATGGTATCGTCCATGCATTGTCTTTTTAGCAACCTCTTCCCTAGAAACCACTGGCCATCCCTTAGCTGGTGCCTCCCGCTTTCAGAATTGTGAGTCTGTTCAGTAAGGTTAATTTGAACTCTTAATTCACACCTACCTGCTTTCTTCAATATATGGCGCATCACCGCCATTTTGTCATCTGATTTTGGCTATCATTCTTTTCATCACACGTGCTATCAATATTGCTACCAGCGGTGGTGATCAATAGTATCAAGGAATCAAATCCATATAATTTCTTATTACTGGTACCGGAGGGGCCCATTGCTGTAATAGTACACTGCATTAACTGAACAAAACAGGATTTCGGTGAATGATTGCCAACTCGATTCACTTCTCCGCCCATTTCTAGGCTTAGGTGTCCCGTACATAGGTCTCTTGTCCGGCAAACGGCCCATGCGGATAAGCGCGTCAACTAAGCCACACCTTTATTCATTAGGGTGTATGAAAAATCCATCGCAAGGTCAAACAATAGTACAAAGGATGAGTTGGTTATACTCATCGCGGAAAAAGAATAACCCTCAAGGTTCAAGCCTCTAGCTCAAACAACCATCAATGCATTGCCATGTCCCTCGGCTTTTGTGTACACCCGAATGTATCCCTTTCCCGTGCGCAGTGCCTTTAACTCCTGATATGATGAGAAAAGAGAGGAAGAAAATATGTCGCTCGCTACCAATACAAGTTACACGCAGAAGAGTCAACACCCATAGGCCGGTGGTGTACAGGCCGGGAGTTCTCTGTTGCCCTTAGTGAATGCCACGATCAGCGACGCAGGCCGTGTTGCCAATGATCGGGATGAAAGCTGACGGGGCTCGGTGGCGGTGGTGCCGGAACGTCCCAGTCGCGCTCTTGGATGGTGCGGACGGGAGTTGTAGGCTTGCTGGCCTTGGATTCGAGTGAAGCATTCAAGCTGGCGAACAGTTCTGATGAGCCCGCAATGCGTGCGCCCTTTCTTGGAGGGGTGACAGGAATTGGCGCGACAATTTCGCTAGGCATTTTGATGAAGGCTGTATGTGATCTACGAAGGGGAACAGAGTCAGAACGACTTGAGGAGAGTCTGATAAGGTGCTTGGGAGGGTTTACCGTGAAGGAAATTGTCCGCGCTGTGAAGAGTACGAGGTCGACAAATGGTGATGAGGATGAAGGCTTATTTGTGAGCCTTTCAGACTGTATGGCCTCGAAGGGTTGGGCTAATCGATATGGCGATGATGACGATAACGGTGTGGTTCAACGGCGGTCTAGCCGAGTGTGAATGTCTATGTCTGTGTGCCGAAGAGGGAGATAGAAAGAGAGCGAGAGAGAGAGATAGAGAGAGATGTGGGAAGAGAGGATGAAAATATGGGAAGAAAACACGAAGGGAGGGATGGTCGAAGGAAGGTGGTTGAATTAATAAGTAGGTAGGTAGGTATCAAAGATTTGTGCGAGGTTTGGATGTACCTCTCAGGCCACGGTAGTTGAGTCTGACGCCGCTTGCGTTGGGTTGCAGCTTTGCTCTCTGGTGGAAAGAGCGGTGGATGTGCGTCTTGTCTCCTTGTCTGGCTGCTGCCGGTAGGTATGTATGTAAGGTACTATGTAGGTAGGGATCTGGCCACTACCTGAGGTATTGGGGATTGTAGACAAGCAGGTAAATAACTACACATATAGGTAGGTACTTGTTTGTCTGTCTGTCGGTCTGCCTGTCGGTCTGTGTGCGGGCTGTTTTATATCCAAATAGCAGATGTAGCCGTGGAGGCAGGAGGCAAGAGGCGGGAATGTTTGTGACCCTCTACCTAGTTTAGTTTCTGATTTCTAGTTTGTGGTTTGCCTGTGTCTGTGTCTGGCGTGTGTCTGGTCTGTGACTGGCTGGGTCTGGGTGTGTGTGGTGTGTGCGCGGACGGATGTGTTCAACAATAGGTGGATGGAACCAGCTTGCTTAGTGGGCGTGTAAGTCACTTTCGGGACCTGGTACAAACAATGGCCCCCCGCGATTCTGGGATCCCAGATCTGGGTGTAGTTTGGGGTACGAGTACGTGGAACTGCAGCTAGCTGCAATTACGACGCTACAAATCCAAGTATGATATGCTGGCTGGCTGCTGCGCAACGAAGACAAAGGGCTGACTGGGCTTGGCCTTCGGAGGTTTGTGAGATGTCGTCTATTCCACGGACTACCTAGGTAGGCACTCCAACTTGGCAAGTATATTAGGCAGGTTGCGTAGATAGATGAATACCGAGTTATGTGGTTCTCTGACGAAGTCCAGTCCGGGAGAGAGACTGGGCGAGATGAGATGAGAAAAAAAAATTATTAGAAATTGGAATAACTAGAATACAACAAAATAAACTGTCGGATTCCGAAAGCAGGAGTATACAATGCTTGGTTACGAGTTCTTTTTTCGTGACAAGGCTCGCCTCGCTTAGGCAGGTGAGTGATGAATCAATCCAGGACAGTTTGCTTTGCTGTTGGACTCGGCAAGTCGGTTGGTTATGCAGAAAAGTCACTCGATGAGAATCAGGTAGAAGGGGTGAGCTAGTCACGGAAGTGAAGAGAAAAAGATTCATTCCAGACAGCAGGTAGGGCAGCAGGGAATGTTGGGTACATTTATTAATGAGACCCGAAAAAGAGGTATGGGAGTCTGTCAAAAGATTACATGTCGTGCCAACAAGGTCAGTGGCAGTACCTGAGGCAGGTATCCAGGCATTATCCAGGGCCGAAATTACGGGAAGAGAAATAAAAAAAAAATACCATATTTAGTCAATGCCTAGTAGTACATGAGGTATACAATATAAGCCAACTACTTAAATATCTAGTAGGTATGTATTATAACACACGAATATCCCCCTGCTCGTAACATAGGCGCTCATATAGGTACTATTTACAGCTACCTACCTACCTAGCTACTTAAGTACCTAGGTAGATAGCATGCTATGCCCTGGATACCTAGGGAGGGTTGGTAGGTAACCATAACAGGCACATTTTTTATGCCTCGGTACCATCTTAGAAGGTAGATGGTGTAAATAGCCTCCCATGTAGGCTAGTGCAGCGTGTTAGCTTCAGAGTGTGTCCGAGGGTACCTACCTACTGTCCACATAGTGTACAACGTAGTGTAGAGGGAGCTAACGTGATACCGGAGTCGACAGGTACACAAAGGAAACCTATCAGTTAAAGCAGTTGGAGCTGTACCGAACAGAGTAATGACGACTAGTAACTACTCTTGTGTTAGGGGATAAAATCGATTACTTAAAGTACTGAGTACATGCATCTCAGCCAGTTGCCCCCATTTTACCCCCATTAGCCCCGGATCCCCCCCGGTCCCCCAGAAATGGAAATGGGCAAAAAAGGGACACCCACACATCTGGAGAAAACCTGGGGTGTTTCTTTTGGCTGGACATGATTGACTACAACAAATAGTTTGAAATAAGACATGTCCGGGGAATCACCATGATATGTGTATGGTGCAACAAGTCTGAGTCCGTCTGAGACGTCGCACACGCTCTCGAGGTACTTTCATTCGCGTAATTCACTCGGACGCGACCCCGCGAGACGGCATCTCGGTCACACTTCTACGACCCATGGAAGCTCTCGAAATCCGCACACAAGTATCACTAAGCGCTCTGAACAGTACGAGTCCTGCCCGCCACAGATACGTCTCGAAGGAATGGGGAATCCTGATAAGCAGGCTATCTGCATACGTGCCGTCAGAGTAAAGGACCGCGAGGCTTACTGCGTTTTTTACGAGTCACACACGTAGACAAGCACTGACAGCACACGCACCCCCCCGGAATCTACAAATTCTGGTCGTGGGATCGAGCCGCGTCGGCCATTCTTAACAGCACAATCCTGCTTGTACCAGGTATGATAATACATTGCGAGACTGCCTACGCTGTCTAGTTAGGTTAGGGACCTGCTGGAGCCTCGTATAAAAAGTATTTTAGGCTCTAGCCCTGCTTTGATCGTAGGGTCCCTATCTAGTAGGTAGGTGGGAAGAGAGTGTAGACGCCCATATTACTTGCTACTGGGTAATGAGTTGCCAAGTTCAGAATATATGTAATCGTGACTATTATTACCATTATTTGCTAGTGGGATGATAGTCACGTCAGCCAGGTTTGGGGGCATCGGTATCTGCATGTGCAAGGCTCTGATAGGGAGATGGTAGCAAGGTGTGTGCAAGTAGCTGAGGTGTTCAAATGTAGGCAATCCTGCCACCCCAAAATCCCCAACCCAGCCAGCCACTGTACAGTACATGGCATTCGCCATGATCGGCAGCTATTCACGGTAGTTTACAGCCTACACTTTGGACAGATAATAGACTATCCAGACAGGCTATAGTTTAGTTCAGCCAGGCAACAAGTAGAGGCTTGGCCTCATTAAAATAAGAGATTTTGGGGGTTAGGTCTTCCTTGCCCCTTTCCGTTTTCCTTTTTCTTAAATGAATTAGTTGTTTGCAGGACACGGAGTCCCTGTATTTGGTGATCGAAGTGCCATTATTGGTGCCTGGATAGCAGGAGGAGCAGCTACGGAGCCAACGACATTCGTCCAGTGTGACGACAGCGACATCCAAGCTGACAATGTCAAGGGATCGTTGTCTCAGGGTTGGGGTGCCTTTCTGACGAGATACGGCGGTAGGCTTACACGTGTACTGAAATCCGTAGAATCTGTAGGTAATTCCATATGCTACGGCTTACGAAGTAGTCGGATTGTATGATAGGAGTCCGGCAACAAATATAGCGAGACATGGCTTGGCTTGGCCAACACTTGGCCATCCACTCGGTACTAACAGATCAGGCACTAATAACAAGTACCTACTGGCTGGCCACGACAATCAATCAATCGATGAATCAATCAAATACGGCAAGCCGGCCCTGCAGGCAACGCGAATCACGTTTTTCCCCAGACTGCCCAGATACGCCGACGCTTTTCGTGCCCACTCGCTGGCATCAGACTCACACGCTGTACCTCCCACAATCCCAGCCAGGCATTACCTACTACGTATCGTCACTTTTGATCGTAATCAATTACGCACAGAAGAGGTACAGATCTCGCTTTAGATCGTACCTAGTGTAATGTACGCGCAGCGCCCTTCATGTACACCTATAATTTCAGGGGCGTGGCCAAGGGATGTCGGGATATGCCTATATATATAAGGATTCTTGTGGGATACAAGTTGTCTACATTAGGTACTTACATAGGCACTACCGTAGCGGAATGGCCCTCGACGTAGGTAAAAGGTACATTGAGGTAATCTAGTACAGGGAAGGAAAGTTGTAACTGGAAACACCGAACCTTAGCCCCCAAACCCGCCCCTAGGTACTTTTCCTGCGTACCAAACACGTAATCCGAGGTGTTACCGCTGGCAGTAGGTAACATGCATATACTTAGTAACAGTCACCCAAGGCAAATTACGAACATTGAAGATTGATACACCAGACGACGTACACGCCTTCAGGCAGTTTGATGCCCTTGAATTACCTTCATATCTCGGAACCTGCTACGTGATCAGCATACCGGTACACCACAATACAAATCAAGTTTAGCTATTCAATAACGACGGCCTTGTGACAGAGCCTCGATCGGTGCTTGACCACATCGCAGTGCTCAATATACCACGCTACCTAGCTTACATACCGAGTTCATTTTGAGATTGACTCACTCTTGTTTGGGGCTCTGGGCTCTAGGATCTGGGATCTAGGTGGGCATACACATCCCGTCCTGTCCGTCTTGTCCGTCTTGTCCCAGGCAGGTCTTGTAGTGTGTGCACGACACCTACTATACATAAGCATATGTATATACACTAGTGTAAGCGAGAACATCCTGATCTTTCCGGTGTTACTAGGACCAAACCGCGTGTTTCCAACAAACAGAGGGGGGAGGGAAGGAGAAGTAGGCATCCTGCTTGTTTCAACAAGCCCTTTACCGCCCTCTGCCAAACATGCTGCACAGACAATACCTACAGGAAGCCGATGCATAATATACCACTACTACTATACTACCGAAGCTGCAGCAAATGCAAACTTGTGGCTCCCTCTGCCGCTGGGGACGCTGGGGAAGGGGGCGATCCGGATAGAACTTCCAAGACGCTCCCCAGACCTGTCAACTATTAAACTCCCGAATTGGAACCAAACTGGAGAAGTGTGGAGAGCCTTAGCACTTTGGAACGCTTCCCCGACACAGGCTCCCCGGGCTGTCCGATCCGCGTGAGGCGGACAGGTTGCTGGTTGGCTGATGCGATGTTATGCCTTTGCTTGCTCGCATCGTATTACCTGCCTAGATAGTTGCCGTGTGAAGTGTACACGAGAGCTTGCGGCATCAGTATGTACGTGTCGCGTGTATAGGTACGTGCTGTGTCGACTACACCGCACTAGGTACCTATATTTCCCTCATTACTGTCCTAGTTTTAGCTATGACATTGTGTCTAAGTATCTATCGCCAGGGAAGGGATGGGCAACAGTGCAATGCGGGCTTCGGGCTGCCTTCCGTCTTGCACCCTGCAACGCGCCGTCAAACCCGACGGGAATGCGTAATTTGGGGACATTGACTATGCCAGTCACCCGTCCCAGTCAGCCTACCACCTGAGATAGCAGCAGACAGGAGGCGGTGTGTGTAAAGCGAGCAATGCCCGTGCACCCAGATCTATTCGCAACGGGCGGGCGGGCGGGCGGATCAATGGCTCTATCTGCGCGGGAAGGATTGTTCGAAAGAATATTCCATGCATGATACCTAACATTGAAGAGTGGGCTCTGTGATAAAAGGCGAAAATCAGGATCTCGCCGAAACCAGGCCTTGTCCTTCCTAACCTAGCGTAGGTAAGTAACTAATCTGGTCAACAACAAGATGTTCTTACGTCGGCCTTGTTCCCCTTTGTGGGCGAAATTGTCGTATGCCACTCATTCCTCGGCAGAAGACTCTTCGTCTTGCTTATGCTGCTCGTTTCAGGCTTACTAGTGTACTCAGCAAGGTAAAATATATTATAGTACTACACCAGGAATCCTGCATTATCCTCACGATCCCGAGCTCCGAGACCAAGAGCAACTAGACGATGGTACCTATCCTTCCTGACGAAATGAATCGACATGCCTGTGGATGTTCGTGCACGCATTGTGTTGCAGTAATTACTTATTCTACACTACACTGCCTCCCTCGTCTCGTTACACCACCGCAAACCCATACCAGCCTTGAGGCGACGACAGCGACCTACTGTACCTAGTCATGTCTCGGTGCTTCTCTCGCGCTCTCCATGGGTCCCATGAGCACGTCAAACAGCAAAGGGCAAAATGGAAAAGAGAGCGAAAAGCGCCGGGCTTGCCTCACACGTGGCGAAGGGCTCGACGGGAGGATCGGGGTCGTATCCGCTCCTGGGGTATTTCCTAAAAGAGACACAGCTGATTTCCCTGCTATCCAGATAGGGTATCATTCCCCCACGTCTCCTTTCTCTTCTCATGTTTCAATCCTTTGGATTGTGGTCGAAACAAAACTTGCCATCGTCAGATTCCACATCACTGTAGACCCCACGTCGTCTGAGCACTATTTCCAGCTGAAATCACCCCCTCATCTAACATTTCCCGCCTTACGTTTCTTATTCGCAGGACGCTGATGGCCAATGTTGAACAACGCATCATCTCCCTTTCCATGCCATCGTCAGGGGTTGTGGGGTTACATTCAAAGGACCCCCAGACGCAGGAGACACCTTGATGCCCCATATCCAACAGCCCGTTTGACCCGTGTCATCGGGAATCGCCCCCACGATACGTTTTTCTTCTTTGTCCCTGGCTGGAAACCTGCATTCGTGAGCCATAAAAGCAGCCCAGCACTCGGACATCAACACCCAACTCGACGTCTTATTCACACTAGTGGGTTATGCTTACTCAATGCTACTCATCGCACTTATGTCCCTATATATATTATATATATTCAGGGGCGAAGTTGCGGTGTGTCTGCTGTTCAACCTGCAAGCTGCAGTTTGAGAATAGCGGTAGGTCAAGCTTAACACAACTGCAAGCACCTGTGTTTGACCTCGTTGCCTACTCTATTGTACTCTGACAAGAGACTTTTTTTTTCATTTCGTTTACTCGGCTCTTGTCCTACGCCCGTAACTCGGGTATGCAGACGACACTCTTTTTAAATAACTCACTCTGTACCTACATGCTCCCCTACCCAGCGCCCATAAAGAAGGCCCTTCACTACCGATGAGGCATCATTCCCGGCGGTAAAAGCTGAGCTTCGGTGTAGCAGTTATAAGTGATTGGTGGGCGAAGCAACTAGGTAGGCTACTTAAGCAGTTTCAGCCTGACTCATCTGGCTATCTCTTTGGCCCGCGTACAGCGAATGAACGTTGCGTAGCGACTCGTGAACGCTACGGTCCTGCTTACATCGCCTAAGCTGATGACGATAATGATGCTGCCTGCCTGCCTGCCTGACTGACTGACTGACACCAGACGGAGTAGGTAACAGGCACGACAACATCTCTGACACGAAAAGTGGTTACATTAGAAATAGAGAGAAAGAAAGAAAAAAAAAGCCCCTGCTCGCCTTGTATGATGTGATCTAGCTAATTACCCAGCTTTACCGTAGTACGGTTCGTAAGTACTAAGAATATGAGAGGAAGGATCTCGCTTCTCTCGGCACCTCGCCGTATGTACCGTGGCGTGGTGTACTACTATGTTTAGAAGAGGGATTGTTAGCCGTCAGCAGTTGGTGTGTATCTACGTATAAGAACAGAGTATCTGTCCCCTCTCTATCTTACGAACGAGCGTGAGCGAGAGCTGTCATGTCATCAATCCATCATCCATCCATTCATCCATCCACCAATCAGAAAACTCCCTTGCACTTTTGATTCCGCTTCTCTTGTTCCTTTCATGTCTATTTTCATTGGTCCTTGAGAGGCTAGGTAGGGTATGTGCATCTGATTTCAATACCTCGGCCCGGATGCTCGTTCGTCTTATCTCGACCCGACTGTGTCGGGAAGGAAGCAAGCAAGCATGTTTCGCATGTCTCTTACTTGCGCTCTTCCCAATATGGTGATTGATGGCTTGTTTGCTTGCTGGGTGTGCTCTCGTCTCAGATCATGGGTATACATATCTCCCTTCGTCTTGAGGGTAGTCCGCGTAACATCAGGTGATATCATTAAGTCGTGACCAAGACTTTACACGCCACTATGTAGAGTATATACACGGAGACCATCTGTGCCCCATTCCCGATACGAAATCGATACACCCGTAGACTGTACATGCTTCAAACTCCCGCAATCTCCGTAGTCTTTTCCTCGCGTATCTTCTTTCTCATCTTGTGATTCTTTAGCGCGTTCACAACATCATCGTGTTGGGTCGAGGTCGCCGCGGTCGACGTCGTCCGCTTTGCCCCCTAGAAGGGACCTCGGAGGGTGTCTCTGGGACAGGCGGCGCTTCAACGGACGACACATCTCGACCCTCCATGACACCCGGCCTGTACGCCTTGAAGACCGGCTGTTGTCGCTGCTCTTCCTTCGGCCTTTCATCAGATCGCTGTCCGCTTCCTTGTGCTGAGTCGTCATGTTGTTGCGCTTGTCCTAGTTCCCGGTCCTTTTCAGATTTACGCAGGCCCTGAGGAGCCCAAGTCTGCCGCTTCTCAGCCTTTTCCTTTTCCTTTTTGAAATCTCGAGTTTCTCGCAATTCGTTCTGTACATCAGCGGCTCGTACTGTCTTCGAAATCCGCCGCTTGGCTGTGGGAGATCTGTTGCCCTGTGTGCTGGGACTGCTGCTTTTGGAGCTGGGGAGAGGCAGGCTTGTGCGGCTCCAACGGGGGTTGTCGGCGTCCCTGTCTGACTGCCCGCTTGCTTCGCTCTCCGTCGGTACCGGGATAGAGTAGTTTGCTTGCTCTGCGGGAGAATAGCGCGTGTCCTCGCGGCTGGTCCTGGCGCTGATTCCTGGCATTGGACTAATCTCGCCCGTATTTCGGATGGTCTTGCTACTTGATGCGCGCTTGTTGCGTTCTGGACATTTGTCGGGTGAGTGTGCTTCGTTGCATATTACGCAAAAGACGCCGTGAGAACGCCTGATGCGTGGGTGAACTCGCGGCTTCGTCGGGTCTGGTACCTCCAAGATGTAATCTTCCCTCCGGGGCTTTGGCCGTACTTCGTAGAGTAGCGAGGAGACAACGCTTCCTTGGATCGCTTCATCGGCCTCAATTTGTTTCTATGTACTGTCAGAAAGCTATTCAAATAGAATGAAGCTGTAAATATTCGAGAATGATGTTTATCATAAACACCTCATGTATATTGTGATCATATATGTGTCCAACGAAGCTTCGTTTTTTCTTTCTTTCTTGTGACAATATGTCACCTGTATCCGGTGGATTGCATTTGATCTGGAGACTTACATCTTTGCCAAATGATGGTCCACCCGTGTCCAGTTCAGAAGTATAGCTCGCCCTATTACTGCCTACGATTGGAGGTTTGTCGGACGGTGGTTGTAATCCAGGGGTGCTCGTCTTTGGCGTGAGATCGTTGTCATGGGTTGTTTTTAAGCTACCATCGACAATGTGAAGATTCATCGCATTGTCAGATGTCTTGAATGACACGCGATTCTGCCTTCGGCGAGGTGAATACTCGGCACTGTCGGTGGCCAAGCCCTCAGGCTCATTGGGTGGTGCCCATGATCCGGACTGGCTGCTTCGTTCAACCACAGGACTGACGCGGCGCTTTTCTTTCCGCATAGCAGCAGTCTCGGAGTGTGAGTAAGGTCTGATGGCATGGGCGATTTGTCGCAGTACCTCCTCCGAGGCGGCCAGCATCGCGTTGTTCGGGCCAGGTACCCCGGACTCGTACGTGGTCCCGTGCTTCCTCTGGTATTCCGCTAGCTCGCTGCTCGCTTTTTTGGCCATGGGGAGCAAGTTCTTGAGCTGCTCTAGCAAAGATGCACTGCTCGGTCATACAGGTTAACGACTACCCGTCGCCATTAGGAGAGAGAGCGAACGCCGGTCTTAAAAAAACACGTACGCGCGCGCGTTGTCCTTCATTGTCGCTTCTTCCCATGCGAAAAGCGTTGTCAAGCAATTCACTGTTAATGCTGAGATCTGGAGACTCAGGCGCAAGTCTCTGATGTCTGGTTTGTCTAGAAGATATTTGATCCTTTCTAGGAGGCCCTCTGTGTACAGTTAGTTAGCGAACGAGTAATACCCGAGCAAAGACAATATTTGGTAGCGGCAGCATGAAAAGGTTGACTCGACCGTGTTATTCTCAGCACCACTGGTTTAAGAAAGGGGTAGAAAAAATGTATGTGATATCACATACCTAACGGCGTCATATTTCCTTTAGTTAGTACAGCGAAGCGATCAACTAGGTATTCCATCTTATCGCGAATATAGGTGCACTGTTCCTGTATTTCAACAACCATCCGCTCTCGCTTCCTCTCGTCCTTTCTCTCCATATTTTGGGCAGGCCTGTTTGCGAGCTCGGAGAAGAAATTCAGTAAGCAGGTAAAATTTGATATTTCCATCAAGAAGCTTTGAACCTCATCTGGAGCGCGGCGCATAACTTTGAGGTGATGCCGTAGGTTCGTTGTGAGCTTCACGAGCTCGCCTGTCAGCCAAGAGACGGCGGCTACGGCGGCGCCCGCGGTTGGCGACTCTGCCATGGCCGACTAGCTGACTGCCTTGCAATACAGGCAACAAGCTACAAACCTATTGCAATTGTGCCTGGAGCAAAGTAGGTCGGTGAAATAGAATAATATAGAGAAGGCTGATATTCACAATCAAGTTTAGACTTCGGCAGTTTTGATGAACTTCCCTCGGGAGTAGTTCCTGGTGGATGGTATTTTGTATTGTTTTCATGCTTATTGTCACGTTCCCAGCAGCCTGTTGCTAGGTCATGCGCTCAGAGGTTGTCTCGGGGAAAACCGAAGGGGGCGGCGGGCACTTGATCCCAATTATTCGCTACGACATGCTGCCTGCTACTACACCACTTACATACACCACGGTCGCGGCCCCCGCGCAGCCAACCTACAGCAGAGAGCGACGCAGGGGCTTGTTTTCTTGAGATACTTAGATTTCTGCGCTGATTGGCTATCAGGAGTTCTGATCTATGCAAAGCATTGTTTTGCTTTTGTTTCGACTGGATCCCGAGCGCACGGGCGGGCCATGCAGTAGGGCATAGCTTGGCATAAACAATTAAGTAGGCTCGGAGAACTTCACGATCTAATCATGGATTTTGTACTTCGTTTTCATAAGTGATATGACTCCTCCATAAACACCGAGATCGTGTTGATACTGACAATCGTGCTCAATATCATCAAGGCCGAGGGGCGCCGACAGTGGACGGGACGGCCTCTGGACCCGAAATATACATGATAAGAAATAATAACAATGCGCCTCAAAGCACAGCATACCAATAGAAAGTGCCGAGATATCCACCATCCCGCTTCGCATTAGGACATGAGCTCAACAACGTGAGATCTGCTTGTATCTGCGGTATCCATATAAATCACTTCGATCCTGATCTCTTACTGGCATCCATTGTCTCTAGCATTTCTCTACTAGATGTGATGTCAGACCGCCACACGCTGTCACCTACATACAAATCTTACAGCAAATATGACAGGCTATAATTCCTCGAAGGTTTACTTGGGTCAACATGCACGGACACTAGCTTACCTCGTGGTAAAATGCTTAGGAGTGGATACTGATGCTCTGAAGCTCTGAATTGCCGAGGTACAGCAATCGACGACTCCTCACTCATATGTCCAAACCATCAAAGGAGTAGGTTTAGAAGAGCGACGACTTTCATTTCAAGCTAATCAGTCAATAAGTCAACTGAGATAGCTCTAATAGAAAGGCTTTGATTCTCACACTAACTCAATTACTCAGCAAGTCCACCGAAACATTTTAGTAAATTGAGGGGAGATAGCACCAGGGTAAAAGCAGCTCTTTTAAGATCCATTGCAGCCTGGAATCGATTACTTCAACAACAGAATTACCCCGCGCAGCTTTGCGACAGGAAAAAGGAAGAGGGACAATTCGACGCTATCACAACAATCAAAGATATGGCATCGCCTCAAAACATACCCATAGTGCTCTACCACTATGATCTCTCGCCTTACGCCAAGCGACTCAGATGGTATCTAAACCTGCGCAAGATCCCATACTCGCAATGCGTAAGTCTCACGGGCTACAAATTTACATATATATCACAGTTCCCCTGCGCCATGTCCTTCAAAAGTTCACGCCCCAAACTACAGAGAGAGACCAAGCGACTAACCCGTGAATGAAAAGATCCAACCTCGTATCATGCCGCGTCCAGACTTGTCCCTTCTGGGCGTCTCCTACCGGCGGATCCCCGTCCTCGCCATCGGGAAAGACGTCTATCTGGACACGCGCCTCATCATCCAGAAGCTCGAGACGCTGTTCCCGCCCAGCGCCGCACACCCGGGCATCAGCGGCGTCGCGGCGGGGAGGCCCGAGCACAGTGCGCTGGAGGACCTGATCTCGCAGCGCACGATCGAGGGGGACCTCTTCGGGTCCGGCGTGCAATGTTTCCCAGCGTCCCGGTTCGCCTCGGACGCGGCGCTCCTGCGTGACCGCACCGCGCTGTTCACGAACGCCGACCCGACTAAAGACGACGACGGCGGGGAAAGCGCCGCCACGCCATCGCCGCTGTCCGCCGAGGTCATGGACAAGAAGCGACCCGCCGCGGTAGCCGTCGTACGCAGATGGGTGCGCTGGCTCGAGGAGGGTTTACTTGCCGACGGAAGGGACTGGATCCTGGACTCGAATGGGCACGGCGCCGGGCCCTCGCTCGCGGATCTCGAGGCCATCTGGGTGTTGATGTGGGTTTCTGCCGCGCTGCCGTCTGACATCCTCGAGTCGGCGCCCAAGGTCGCGGCGTGGCTGGAGCGGTTCAAGGGCGCCGTGAAAGCAGCTGCGGAAGATGGCCCTGCGTTGAAAGGCGAGGAGGCGGCGAAACTACTCCTCGCGTCCTCGTTTGCGGAGCCGGAGGGCGAGGAGGTCCGGCAAGCGGGGCTGGTCAAGGGCCGGCCCGTGAAGATGTGGCCTACGGACTACGGTTCTGCACATAAGGATGCTGGCAGGCTCGTCGCGGCCGATGATAAGGAGTTCGTCATTGAGAGCAAAGGGCAGTTGGGCAGTGTCAGGATACATGCGCCGAGATACGGGTTTACGATATCTGCAGACGAGGGAAATGTGGCGTCTCAGTTGTAGGGTCTCATATCTTTAAGCGTGGATATATAGAACCTAAGAGTTTGCCTTTACCTATATACGCCTATAGTGATTTGTTCAAGTGAAATCTAGAGAGCAGATGATTTATTCGCACAAGCGTGCCAATTGAAGCATTATGAACATATGAGACATGATCTGCTAGCTCCATTCTAAACTGAAAAAAAAAAGGCTTATGGGAGTGAAGTTTCTGTTGGTAGAAAGAATACCTTGAGAGCCTCCTTCCACTGGAACAGGGAATGTGATTAGTAAACATATATATATACTTAAGTACTAACCTCAATTTAATAAGCTCTTAAGGTTTCGGAAGACGCGTGTCAGGTTTAAGTCTAAGTATTTGATAGTTCTGCGTCTAAAATACGACGAGGAAAGTTTGACAAATGCGCAGTGTCGACAAATCATGATCTCCTGAATTGCTCGTAAAAGAAAGTTGACTTAACGCTCTGAGTACACGATACGTGCCAGTTTGGTCAAACAAGTAAAACGCGTTGGGGTCTTAGTATTGATTGACACGTACCTAGATAATGAAGGTATTTCGGCTTTGGTTGGCCGGTGATCTGTTAACTCCGAAGAACTGAACTCGAAGCTCGCAATCTGCCGCCCGGGAAACCTTCCCTTCTCTTATTACCGATCCACTTTTGCCGACCATGTCGCGCGATGACGACAACGGCTGAAGTCTCTTGGGTGGCACTGAATGCCACCTTATGATGCACAACCCTGCTCGTACCATTCGAGAAACGCCGTGGGCAGTTCGAAAGACAACTGGCGAACGGGGATCTCATTCAATTTTGTCTGTGAACAGAGAGAATACTGCCATAGGCAAGGGGATAGACAAGAGATGTGTTCGATGTGGATGCTTCGCGGTGTGCAAGGTAGGTAGTGAATATTACTACCTAATGTATGCGTACTCTAATGTACTGTAGTCTGTAAGTTAAGTAGGTACATATGTAGGTAGGTATGTGATGCTAGAGAGGCAGAGACAGCGAGAGCATGTTTCTCTAAAAACCCCGGACTCGCTTCCCCGTTGCACGTACTACAGTATTAGTGATCCCATGTTGGCCCCATGTTGGCCTGTTAAGCGACATAAGCTTTGAGGCACCGTCACAGAGCATTTAGCGGGGAAGGATGGTGGACGTGCTGCAGCTGCAGGGTGTTGCGTCATCAGGGAGAGAGACAAAGAGAGAGAGTGGCCTGGGCCTCTGTTCATGCTCATACTTATCTCTTACCCATGGACGGTGGGAGGGAGGAAAAAGGAGGGTTGCGATTAATAAGCAGGTCGAACCTGTCTGTGCAATTGTTTATTTACATGTCCACTTACGGGGCTCGATCTTGACATCTGAAGGTTGACAGATGTCGCTAGCAAAAGACGATCTCGACTGCTGGCATGGTCTAACCGTCCAGATGTGTGGACCCTTTGACTAGAGGACGATTATCCGAGGGCCGTAGTAGCTCGGTAGTGTTGGTAGGTGAGTTCTATGTATGTATGAGGCTTCGAATGTGATTCTACTACCAGATACTACTACCTCCTCGCTACTGTAGTCTACCACCGTAGTGCTTCCGTCCCGGGTGGTGCTTGTGGTGGTGGTGGTAGGTAGTCTGTCTGCGGAGAACGGGTGAATGACCGTAGTCGAGATTATTGGCGGAATGGCGATCGCACAGTTCGTCAAGCCCTGGCCAACACTGGGTGAGTACCTCGTGGGGCCCGCTTTAAAAGAAATGACGTAACGTTGTCTCGACGTAATCCTTGCCCGCCAGCACTAGGAACACCACACTACGAACGGAGCCAGCCAGGCGAGCCAGACAATTCAGTCTCACACATCCCTCTTTGTCTCCCCCTTGTTCACTGACTATCTGCTGTTCATTGTGCGGCAAGGACAAAGGAGCAATCGGGATGTTGGTATTGTGTGTGGAGTATGGGCAGAGTATGGGGTAGTCGAGCATACCTTGCTTACAGTATGTGGTGAACCTATTGTGCAACCGATGCTGCGCGTGCACGCTACACTAGTGCATCGATTGGAACCAAGATGGAGGCATACCGTTGACCTCATCAGGCTAGGAGATTACACTACGTAGTACATACTATGAAGTATACTAACTTGGGAACTCTACATACATACATAGTCGGGCGCACCCACTATCGCCGAAATCTCGTCGAGGCGACAAAGGATGGATTGAAAGGCGAGAAGGATCCCCATCGTATGAGCAGCTGTACATAGTAAGTAAGTAAATGATCATTATCAATCAGGACGCACCGACACTTCCCCCCTTGCAGCTGGGTGGCCGGGATGCGTTTACTGTCTTGCGTTCTGATACGCCTTTTTCCTTTGGTGTGTCGATTTCTCATTTGTCAGACACGCGGTCTAGAAGAACTGGCAAAGAATCACGACTCCACCGCCAATAAGTACAACTCAGTCGTCAGCCAGTCCTGTAGGAAGATAGGTGCCGGACGGTAGGAGGATTGCGGGTGGAGAACCTTTTGCGACGTGAATTCCAGGCTGTAAGGTTTTTTTTTTTTTTTTTTTTTTTTTTCCTTTCTTCTCCAAATTCTCTTACTTTACATACCTAGTAGGTACTTCCTCCCTTGCGACTCATGGCACCACACACGCTGTCTGATTTGAACTCCCCGGTCGCTAAATTTGCCACGTTCGAAATAGAGGCGGGACTCAGTCTCAAAGGAGACAAGTGCTGCTTGACTCTGGCAGCCACGAAGTGATCAGGAATCGACTGACTCTATCTAACCCGGGTTGGACACACCTCAACTACCAATAGGAGGGAGAATTGGGTGCTTTTGTCCTGCCGCTTTTATGCTAGTGTCTTCTTTGGCTTGTCGAACCGTTGGAATCGCGATCACCTCGAACGCGCTGACCAATGGCTACACCCTCGCCTCGCTATCATTGGCCCGGTGGCGGTAATCTTTGTCGTTTCATCACGATCTCTCTCTGTTGCGTTGCTGATAAATGACCGGATGAACACTACCTTCCTACAAACTTACATATATGCAGTATCTAGGTAACATAGAATATCAGCATAGGTTTTAGAGATGTCGAGTATTACTAGAGCTGAGAGGATATCATGGTCTCTTGTGAATACCAGTAGTAAGTACCTAGGCATCTACTACTTGACAAAGATCTATCACTTTTATGTATCTGTAGGTATATACCTGCGTCTGCTTTCTACTGTAGTACAGGCCTACTATGTACATAGCCTATACCGATGCTCATCACATCACCCGTGATGGAGTGATGATTGAAGAGTCAAGATTGTGACACGACGGGACACCCATTGTCTGCCCTACTGTAATAGTGTACCGCAAACAGTGTTGAGAGATTCGTAAATTCACTTTTTGAAGTTTGAAATGCATTGAGTCCAGGGCTCAGTTCAGTTCCTCGCCTTCAAGGTTGTGGTGCGAAGGAGTGGCGTCATCGGCTGCTTACTCTATCTTTTTTTCCCTCTTTTCTCCCTTCTTCCCTTTGATCAGACTCGCTAGTGCCATAACTACACTATAGGTAGGTCTAATGAGCGCGTAGTAGACAAGTCTATATCTCGACATCCCTTCTAGAACACGGCTAAACCACCTTTCATTCAGGACTTACAGAACGTATGCTCCATCGACGAGGCCGAGTTTGTTTTCACTTTTGAGAGCGGTACTAAGCAGCGCCGCCGGCTAGGTGGTGGATACCAGGCTCTGACCAGGCACATTGCTCCGTGAATCTGACTCCGCTAGAGTGTCTACTTAAGTACCTACAGTAGGTATTCCACCAAAGTCTTGAGGTAATACCTACCTAGAAGGTACATATCTACCCAACAGAACAACCTTGCGTTCTCTCTCAAGCATACATTAGGTAAGTAGATACCTAGGTATTAACGTGGAGAGAAGAAAGGTTGCTTGGAAAACCGAAAACCTACGCCCGTACAATGGGTCAACTACTCATCTATATATATATAATATAGATGTAATGTAAGTATGAGGTTCGTAGGCAGGTGCCAGAATCTACCTAGAGGTATCAGCAGAGAATCGTCCGACAGTGAATGCCTCCAAGCTATTAATCCAGGTACTATAGTACCCAAGTACTTACTATAGTAGTACTAGTAGTAGTAGTAGTAGTGATGGTTGATCAGCAACATGAAAGACTCTTAAGTAAGTACCTAGGTAGACAGAAGAGGCAGTAAGAAATGGCACTGTCCAGGTACTTGGGGATCATCGCGCACGACTCGCCGGCGCTGCCATTGGCCAGCGACAGACAGGCGCGCCCACTGTGGCCCCCCTGCCGGTGCCCACCCTCGCTCTGTTCGGCTCTGCACTAAAGAAGAGTCTGTCGTAGTCTGTCCAGAGTCTCTCCAGAGTCTGCCAGAGGCCTGCCGTAGCAAGTGCCCGTCCGCTGCTGCCCACCCACTGCCCACCCGCTGCCCGTCCAGAAAATTCGGGGGGCTTTTGCGTCTGCTGTGCCTGCCTTTCCCTAAAAAACCACCTCTTATGTCACTTCTTCCCTCATGACCTCATCGCACCAATCTCTCTCAGCACCCTTTCCATCCTGACCACCACCACCGTCGACGCCTATCGTCCACCACTGCCACTACCACAATTGCCGCCCGCCGCACCTCCCGCTGCCGATACGTCTTCACGACGTCCTTTTGCCACTGACTGCCAGATCCGACATATTCGAGAGAGAGCCTTGTGTGTTTGTTGTGTTAGTGAATTGTGCTAAGACGTCCTCGCTGCTGGCCGGTGCGAGACCAGAGGTGGTTTGCCTTTTCTTCTGCAGACTGCCTCCCTAAACCGTGCGTCAGACCGTTGTTACATCATATTTCCTTTGCAATACATACACCCATATAACGACCGTCGTCATCGTCGTCACCATGGCACCAGCCGAACCCAAGCCGTCGGATAACACATCATCGCCAGGTGAGTTCACCGTGACTGTCTGTCATATCCTGCCTTGCATTGCCTTGCCTTGCCTTATCTTGCCTTGTCTCTGCCGTGGCCAATTCGCATGCATATGTTGCCGTCGTCACCGGGCCTTATGTGTCATGCTGTCGCTGCCTATCGTATTGTAACTCCTTGACTTATCGCTCCTACCTCCATTCACCGCTCGCGTGGCCGTCTGTGTTCCGATTGATTCAGTGTCGCTTGTTACTGACATGCGTTGTCGCATCCTCCAGATACAAACGGCGACAAGAAGACATCTGAGGTCAAGGCCGAAACGAACGCGAACAACGAACCTGGCAGACCATTGGCACCACCACCCAAACCCGGGGAAGGAGGTGATTATTTCTCGAGCCAGTTGAGTCTCGAGCCGAACCCCTTTGAACAATCGTTCGGCACAGGTGGTACCGTAGAGACGCCCGGCGGAACTAAGTTGCCCAGCCTGGCTGCCTTAACGTCACCCTCGTCGTTGTTGCCTGGGAACGGGAACACGCCATTCAACTGGGGAGGTGGTTCGCTTAGAACGGGACCGTTGAGCCCAGCAATGCTTTCCGGCCCGGCCACCGATTATTTCGGTGATACATCGCACACGCTGCGCAGTGGATTCACACCCAATGAGAGCTCACTCCGGACGGGATTGACACCTGGCGGTAGTGGCTCTATGTTCCCAGCGCCGAGTCCTAACTCGCAGGCTCTCTACGCGCAGTTAGCAAACGGCGGCGGTGCGACGCCTAGTACGTTGGATTTCCACCGGACCGCTCTGAGTGCTGCTGCTGCTAAGGCGGGTCAAAGCAAACCTCCCAACCCGCCCGCTGTCACATCTCAACCGCAAGAAACCAACGGGGCACCCGCCAAGGCCGAGGCGAAACCTACATCAGGTGCATTTGATCCTCACGACAACGATGCTGCTAATGGTCTGTTCATGCTAGCCCAAGGCGCTCAGGGGAGGAACGGCCCGCCACAGACGCAATATCCAGTAGGTGGCAACCAGCCAGTGCACGCGCATCCTCCACCAGCACCTACAAATCAGCAGAGTACTTCACCCCAGATGAACGGCAATGGCGTGCACCCACAGCAGCCGAGTAATCGCGGTGCTAGTGAAGCTATCAGCAATGCGTCAGAGGAGAGCGAGCCAGCTAAACCTAACACGAGAGCGAAGGGTAAGCGTGGAGGAGCTGCTACCAATGGCCGTCGAAAGGCAGAAGATGCACCCGCGAAAGCACCAGCCAACAAAAAGGTCAAGACAGCCCCGTCGACTCACAGCCAGGAGGATGAAGCTACATCAGATGAAGAAGAAGATGATTCCAAAATTGGCAACGATGGCCAAGGTAAATCCAAAATGACAGACGAAGAGAAGCGTAAAAACTTCTTAGAGCGAAACAGGTATGTCTTTGACTACAAGCCCCCAATATTGTCTCTTATAGTGGTAGAGTGGCAACTAACTTGCTCACAGAGTGGCGGCTTTGAAATGTCGGCAACGTAAGAAGCAGTGGCTGGCCAACCTGCAAAACAAAGTAGAAATGTTTAGCACCGAGAACGATGCTCTCACAGCTCAAATATCGGCACTTAGGGAAGAAGTGGTCAATCTAAAGACGCTGCTCCTTGCACACAAGGACTGCCCAGTTACACAGCAACAGGGTCTACACGCAGGCGCCTACATGCAGCAAGCTATGGAGTCTTACAACCCCCAAATCAACCCATATGGCATGGCAGCTCCTATCCCTAACCAACCCGTCATGGCAGGACAGGGAGTTCAGCGGCGCTTCTCATAGGATGAACGCACCGCGCCAGGCAATGCTGCAGACGCTGCAGACGCTGCAGATCAATAACCCTTTCTAAATCACGGTACACTTTGGGGGGATGCATGCATAGGAAAAGGCCCTCACAACTTCCGGCGTGGATTACGGGGGAAAGGGAGGGTTTCGCTTATGGAAATGTCGCGGGATAGCGACTGATAACGTTCAAAAATCTTGTCGCGGCATAAGGAAATGTCGATTGTGGCGAAGACAGCTACAGTTGGTCATTGTTTGTCCTCATGTCTGTACCAACATTCCACTCATGAGAACGACGAGGCGTTTCGGCTGCTGCACATGGCACGTTTTAGCCATTAATACGAAGAGCATCGGTATACAAGGCCGCAGGCTGGTTGAGAATGTTCTGTTTTTCTCGTTTTCTGACTGTACGTAAGTGACGGGCGGGTATACACATAAAAGCGGCGTTCGGGGAGTGAATTCGGGGGGTTTGCCGTGCTTTCGTTGCTTTTTGCTCATCTAGGCGTTTCGGAGGTCATGGAAGAATCTGTGCCATGAGCGATCTTAGTCTTCATTGGCGAGACTGGCCACTCCATCCAAGGGGCCATTTATATAGGTAACAAAGCCGTGTACACGCTGGGCTGCCGAATTATCTTTACATTTCTAAGCGCTTAGTAGTGTTTTACAATACAAAACGTTTGAACAAATCTCACGCGGATCATGACAAGCAATTTGTCTGTAGTAGGTAGTTATCTACCTACCGCGTCTGCCGAATTGTGTAGATCGCAGGCCGCCTTCTTGTGCTTATATTGTATTTGTTCACAGCTATTAAGGCCTCGTGATGTTGCATCTTGAGTTTGTTTCTCTACTTGAGAACGCCTCATAACCTAACCACGATGTATGAATTCGATGCAGGAGTATTTGCCTAAGGCATCCATTCATGGATTCATTCATTGATTCGTTTTGGGGTGGAAGGCGCTAGCCCCACTTATGACGGCGGGTGGGTGAAGTGGCCGGTTGGCCCGTGCGCCCGACACGCATTGTAAACATTGGGAAGGGAAGGCCCGGCGACCTTTTCGCGCCTCACCACCAAGAACTAAGCCAGCCAGCCAGCCCACGCCCGGATGACGAGAGCGATCAGTCAATCGATAACGCACACCTCGACCCCCCAGCTTGTCGACTCTCCAATATAGTCAAACACACGACAACATCATCCATCCCAATTGAATATCCATAGCCGCCAAAGTCTGCCTGTCTTGCGTTGCCGTGCCGCCGTTGTCCCCTATCGATTACACACCTATCATCGTGGACTCGCGCGAGACCCTTCCACCTCTCTAACCACCACGCCGCCAACAACCTCGATGCCGACGAACATTCCGCGTCCATGACTACCCTTGTGCAGACACGTCAGCCGCTGCAAATTCTTAGCATGAGCAACCAGCCTAAACGGAGGAGGAGCGAGCGGATAGCTTGTGAGTCCACCCCCGTTTGTTCGCCATGGGGCGTGACAGAAGCCGGGAGGCTAACTAGAGCTCGATGTGCAGCGTACGATGAACAAGATGGGGATTTCCAGTTTACGCGCAACTCGAAGCGTACGAAGACGGCGCATCCCGATCCCATACCCGAGGATGAGCTGGCACCTGCGCCTGGACCCGCGCCAAAAGCCGCGCCTAGGAGAGGGCGCCCTCCGAAGAGGAAAGCTGATCACGAGGAACCACCGAAGCCAGCACCAAAACCAGCGCCAAAACCAGTACCAACGAGGACCTCGAAACGGAGGTCAAGCCAGGCACAAACCCAGTCAGACGTCACCCCGCCATCGCAAAGAGTTACGAGGCATAAGACGCGTTCCTCCATAGATAAGCTTGATCCTGTACCTACGAAAATCATAAACAATGCGCCAAAGAGCCGACCAATACAGGAGGAGCGCGAAGTGGAGACAGCGTCGACGCCAATGGATATCGACAAAGTCCAGAGGACAGAAGAGGTTTCGGAAGCCAAGAAGATCGCCCTACCGTTCAGCGATACGCCCATAATAAACCGCAATAAGGAGATGCGAAAGAAGACGGGGAACAGAAGGAGTAGTTTAGGAATGCGCGGCCGAAGAGCAAGCTCTTTGATGAACAGTGGGCACAGCGCGATACCGCACCGGGAGGTGCACGCATCCGAGTTCTACAAACATATTGAAGCTGATGGACTACCCGAGCCTCGCCGGATGAAACAACTTTTGACGTGGTGTGGGGAGCGATCATTGGCAGAGAAACCGCCGCTCGGCTCATTGAATTCTAATGCGATTCTGGGTGGTAAGAATATTTTTTTAGACCTAGCCTTGTACTAAGGGAGTACGGCAGCTAACACATGTCCAGCTCGAGCGATTCAGGATCAGCTGCTGAAAGATTTTTCAGCACGGTCCGAGTTCTCAGACTGGTTTTCTCGGGAGGATGTCCCCGTTGTTCCTAGACCACCAGCAATCGTCAAACCAAATCCACGGAACATTGAACACGATGAGCAAATTGTTGCATTAGAGGAGAGAATAAAACGGTATGAATTACTAGGGGTACTATGTGAATTTGTTTTACTGACCACCTTGCTAGGTTAAAAGCGGAAAAGAAGAAATGGCAATCCCTTAAACAGCAAGCTCCTGAAATGCCATTGCTTTTCAATCCATCTGAGCCTGTTGCTAATGATAGTCTCCCGGATGCTTCATTACTTGACCCGGATGAAGCGCAAATTCTGGCGTCACTTACAGGCCCATCAGAGACATCTATCAAGTCACTGATACCGACAACACAGAGTCGATTAAGGGACATACAAAAGTCTCTCGAGTTCAACATCGACCGCTTAGCAGATAGCGTTCACAAGATCGAGCAGCGCATGGTAGCAGCCGGCCGGCAGGCGGATAGGGTGCTCAACCTCACCGCAACTAGGTTAAAAGAGCGCGAAGAGCGGGAAAAGACGCGCGCGGGCACCAAGGACATGCCCATCATGGAAGTCCTTCGGGGTCTAAGCAAGATATTACCCGACGGCGGCGGCGGGTGAGGAGATAAGAGAGAAAAAAGATTCCAGAAAGAAAGAATGAAATGAAATTCAATAAACTGTATATATGCAGCAAGCATTGATCATCTTTTTGTCGTTCACGGCGTACGAGGGCGGGGAAATCACCAAGCATTAAGGGAGGGGGGACAAACCATTCCGGAAGATACCAATTGTTTTTTTTTTTCGCCTCTTTTTTCTTCTTCTTTTCGTTTGATTCAAATAAGAAGGCTTGTGCCTAGGGAGGCTGGAGGCTAGAGGCGGAATGCTCTTTTTTTGTGTTGTGAAGAAGCTGAGAAGAGGGAATATCCCGATTCTTATGTTTCTTTGCGGCAGTGGTGTTGGGGGTGGCGGATAGGTAGGACAGGCAGGGCAGGTAGGGTAGGCACATTCATGGCAAATGAGATCACGATTTGGGATTACGCATGAAGAAGTAGAACTGAACTGAACTGATTGACAAGGACTTGGGTAGATGGGACTTGTGTGCTGTGCTTCTGTTGTTCTGTAATGCGGATTCGTTCGTTCATTTATTGGTAAGTGAGTTATGTTGTTGAGTTTTGTGGTTGTAGCTGTGTAAAAGGTACAGATATATATATATATGTGTGTGTGTGTGCGTGTGTGTGAGCGGGGAGAGCGAGTGAGGAATGGAGTGGAGGATATACGTGATCTTGAAATTTGGGATTAGAGAGTGAGTATAAGGCAGGTAGGTAGATAGGTAGGTATATTTCGGATCCGTGAATCGACCTATCTATCTATGTACAATACAGTAATTCCACACTGCAAGTAGACAAGTATGCTGATAAAGCTGTGTGCTTCGAAATGAAATTGAGATGCTCGGTGAGTAAAGTATGGACCGCTAGTGTGGTTATGGTTTCTCATTTGAAAAAGGCAGATTTGATTGATAAATTCAACTCTGTCTAAAAGGCAAGTAGACAGTTATTATTTAACATGAATGGCTTTTTCCTTCCTGCGCATATCTAATGTAATGCCCAGATACCGGGTCTAAAGGGCTTTCCTCCCCTTTTTGCTTCCACTAGGTTACTTACTTACTTGCTTATGCTCACATTACATTTACTAACTACAGATATATCAGTCTCCTTCCGCGTAGCAGGGATAATACCTTCTTCAAAGACACATGACTGGGCTTTTTACATTGATTTCTTGATTGTCACTGCCGTGCTTATCTTCTGGCGTTACATTTTTGTATAGGTAGTTAGTTATACGTGTGTACATACATATAGATCGCACACGGGGTGATTACTTCGTGGCCTAGGACCGCAACGCCGGCATAAACGCCATACCGCCCTTTTCGCCCGACCGTGCGCGCACGTGTTCCCTCAAGAGCTTCAGCACGGCGCTGTCGCGCCAGCGCGCCGGAACCGGTCTGTACGCGGGTTTGAAGGTGCCCACGGTCTGCGCCCACTCGCCCTTGTACGGGGACGGCGGCGGCGGCGGGGCGGCCTTGGTGTCGACGTGCTCTCCTTCCAGCGGGATGCCTCCCGTGCTCGTCGTCGATGACTCTGTGGCTGTGGCTGTTTCGACGGAGCTGCCGTAGGATGCGGAGCTTGTGTCTGTCGTCGTGGCTGCTGAAGAAGAAGAAGAAGATGATGGTGTGGATGGTAATGTACTGCTAGAGAGCTCCTCTTGTGTGGCCCAGTAGTAAATGTCCCAGTCGTTCTCGTCGAGGAACAGGTCGTATTGGGACATCTCCTCGAGAGTCATGGTGGGGAGGTACTCGTCTGCGAAAGTTGAGAGGAGTAGGTCTGTTTCGAGAATGCCGCGCTTGCGGGATTGGTCTGTTACATTGTTAGTCAGTGCGTACTACATCGTGCAGTCAAGAAAGGATTGGATAATCAGATTGAAGGTATGTGGCCAGTCGATCAAAGTGATGCCTTCGCTTAGAGCGAGGAATGAAGCATAAGAATAGAGAAACATACAGACTAGTCGAGCACGCATCGTCTTCTCGTCCTCGCCTATGCGGCGCAATGGCTCGATTTTAACGGTTGCGCCCTCAAACTCGCCAACGGCCATCTCGCGGGGCCGCTCTTTTTGAGGCTCCATGGGCGGCACACTGCCTACGGCCGCCATCCCACGGGTAACACCGACGCCTAAAGCCGGTGAAGCACGGACCTTGGAGGCTGTCGAGCGAAGCAGCGCATGGCGTGCGGGACGGAAGAGAGTGCGTGGCAAGGACGCCATAGCTGTTGTATCTCTATTATGCGCTACTCCTTGTCTGTACTGTTAACCGCCAAGCTTGAAGTGGTGTTGCAATGCCTGATTGAACGATTGAAGGGTGAGAAGAGGTCAAATAAAGAGAGTAATGAGATCTCGGGATAGACACCGATTGTTGACGTAAGAAACAAAAAAGAATGGGACCGAAGCTCTAGATGATCTGTAAACCCCAGCTTTTAGCGGTGGATTGTGCCGAGGCCGCCTAGGTGCCGAAGGTGTCCGGTGCAATGAGCCGGCCCTCTAGGACTACAGAACCCGACCGACTCCGTTTTGCTCCGAGTGATTCAGGGGAGTGTGTGTGTGTGTGCCTTAGCATTGTTTTCAACTCTCTTGCAGGATAGCAGCTGGGCCACATCTTAGAGATAGTGTAGTAACAAGACGGTCTATTATTCCAGTTTATAAATCATAGTGCCAATTCCGAGTCCAGAAATTGAAAGTACGTTACCCGTCGCAAAGTCACCTCATTCATCGCATATCACAAAGAGGTAAAGAATACCCAAGTAATTGATTCATACCCGTTTTTCGACCACCGAACACCCCATTATATCGCCTCGGACGATCATACAGACTATATTTACAAGCATGATGCTTCTGGCTATCACGCATTGATGTAGTTTCTGCCTCTTCCCAGTAATAACCCCCCCATTCGGTAGGCTTCTAGTTTATCATTCCCAGGAATATGGCGTTTCTGTAATGCTCCCACTTGGAGTCATAGAAGGGCAAGCCAAAACTATATCTGAGCTCCTTCGTCGTCTCTCCATATATGACAAGATATGGAGTGCTGTCCCTCTTTAAATCAAGTGCTTTGACCGGAAGTAGGCTCGTAGATACATGATTTGCCAGCCCCAAAGCGCGACGAGGAGCGTGGTGGTGCCGATACCGAACCACTTGACGCGGGTGTTGGTGCTCTCGTTGGTGTCTCGCAGCTTCTGCTCGCGGGCGCGCAGATAGTCCATCTCAGTCACGATCTCCTGAATCATCTCTTCGTAGCGGCGCAGGTCTGCTTCGACAGGGCGCAACTTCTCGGTGGCCTGGATTGCGGACCAGTCCTTGGCGTCGGCGCCAATATCGATGTCCAGCTCGACATGGCGAATGGGGTTGTTGTTTCGGCCTAATGCTATGCCTGTTAAGCTTGTGCCCTTTTTTGCGACGGCTCAATTTCGTAGAGTGATGAGATGGGCGAAGACTTACCCCCCTGCAATGTGTTCTCGAAGCATACGTCAAAGGCAGCATCGGCGTGCGACGTGAAAACGGTCCGTTGCTCGCCAGCGACGTCTCTAGGGCGGCCGTATTCGTTACCGACGGTATCTCTGATCTGCAAGATGGCCAAGTGTCAGAACAAAAGCTCAGCTCACGAGGCCGGGCACATCTGGCTGCGCGGCTCTACATACGTGCATGTTGACCAGCTGGCCATCTCCCTTGGAACCGCTGACAATAGCCGTGACCACGACGAGAGTGTCCTTGGCAACGAAATTACGGATGCATCGCTCCTTTTTACCGTCGCGCTGTGGAGTGGCTGCGAGGTCGAATTTCAGGGCATTGACGGATGCGACTAGCAGTACGATGCTGCAGACGTATTGCAGCAGTCCTCGTGGCAAAGCCATTCTGGGTACTCGGTCGGTCGGTCGGTCGGTCGCGGAGGACAGGATATGGTTGATGTTCTGGAGAGCTGGTCAAAGAGACTCCAACGGCGGTCGTCTCCCATACTCTTCCAACCGAATGGATGGCTAGGTACCTATCGATTGCAGTAATACGTGTTGTGTTCAAGCGCCTGGCCAATGGTATTGTGCGAATTAGGCGGGGCTACCACCCTCAGGCCACTGTCCACTGTTCCACTGCCAGGGTGCCTGCCAGATCCTCTAACCTGTAGGCCTGTTAGTGCTCAGTATGCTAGAGCTAATCTTCATCTACCAATCATGTGTCTCGTTCTCGGAAATATGGGGCTCCGTTTAGAGGGTTCAACCAAGGTTAGCATCCAAGCGCCGAGCGCGTCTATAAACTGAAAATGAAGGCGGATTCTCTTTCTACCTACTTCAAGATACCTACCTAGGCAGTAACATCTCAACCCAGCCTGTTCGGCCCAGGACCTCAACTCTTCTACAAGACAATTTTCTGCGCCACCAGTCAAGATGCCGAAATGTAAGTTTCCCAGCTTCCCTTCGCCGCACCGATCTTCATCGAAATCTCATTTCCCTAACCCTTTGCCAACATCGTCATCGAACCCATCAACCTCCGAGCTTTCATTTCTTTAACATGGCCGTGTTCCAACAGTCTTCTGCGATTACTGCGACGTGTACCTCACGCACGATTCCATGAGCGTGCGCAAGGCGCACAACAGCGGCCGGAACCATCTGCGCAATGTCGTCGACTACTATCAACAGATAGGCCACGAGAAGGCCCAGTCCGTCATCGACAGCATCACCTCGTCGTACGCCGCCGAAGGCCAGGCCCACGCAAACCCAATGCTCCCGCAGAACCAGCCCGGCGCCCATGGTCCCGGCGGCCCTCCGCCAGGCGCGTTCCCCCCACCTTTCAACTTTCCTGGCGGCATGCCTCCTCCTTTCCCTGGAATGCCCGGCGCGCCTCCGATGCTACCTCCCGGCGGTGCTTTCCCCGCCGGTATGCCTCGTAAGTCTACCGCACTCTCCATGTGCTGATTTTGCGCGCAAATGACCCTACGTGCTATATCAGAGGAATCTCGTTATATCCTAACAGTCTGTAACAGCGCCGCCTGGTCCAGCTGGTCGTGGCGGCTTGCCACCGTTTCCACCAGGACCTAATGGTTTACCTATTCCGCCGCCTGGTGGCTTGCCATTCCCTCCACCTGGTGGCCTTCCGTTCCCTCCGTTCCCGGGCATGCCGCCGCCTGGTGCACAGGGATTTCCTGGTGGACCCACGCCACCAGGTGCTCCTGGATTCCCTCCTCCAGCCGGCGGTCCTCCAGGACAGCAGGGCCATCCCGGACGTTAGGAACCTTCCTTTGAACGGTACTAGATCGGGAGCCGAGCCACCCACCACTAAATAGAGATGGGCCATTACGTCCTATCTTTTACTTGGAATCAATAGCCGCCGGTACAGACTACATCGCCCGTTGCGACGAGCTGAGCATCATGACAGGCAATAGATCCTCCCAAGGGTGACGCTTGTGTCGGTGTCTACAGAATAAGCTAAACTTGTACTATAACATTTCCGACCCCTAAAGGAAGAACCGGTATCCTTCTTCGATCGTGGACGAGGACGAAGACTTGACCATCTCCAAGGAATAGTGGCTGAATGGTGGTATATGGATTCGGCGACGCGACGTCTAGTGCGTAAATCACTGAGATTCCCTAGAAATGGACCGCCTTCGTATCGGCAGAGAAGGGCAGGAAAAATTGGCCTACCTTGTTCGAGGATGAACACTAGAGGCAGATATGTATTTTTCTCTGTACAGAGTACTAGGCTAAAGCATGGCGTTCAGGCGATAAATGAATTTCACCGGAGGGTTTTCAAGTGGATGTGTATACCCATATGAATACAAAGCAATACAAAATGAAAGAACTTATAATGTATAAAATCATTTGAACATGACGCATGGAGTATTCAAAATGCGTTATCTAGTTCTATTGGTTTACATGGAGAGCATCTGCAACCACACCTATCAAAGCTAGTAGACAAGGGCCGAATCGATGAATAAATAGAACGAGACGCAAAGGCCTGCTCGCAGAACCCGTTCACTTATTTATTTTTGCTTATCTCTTCTCTTTCTCCGCGTTGCACTAGCGATTGGATCTCCATCTTCTTCACCTTCCTCTTTCTCTGCTCTTTCTTTCTTTCCCTTGGGAGCCATAACATAACGTCCGACTGCGTCCTTCGTTGTTCAACTACATCATCACGGTCATGATAGATAGCGAGGGAGATGGGGGGTAAGGGACAATGAATGATGAACCGCCCAAGATACAAGAGACCCAAAACTGTGAGAGAATCCAGGCCGAAACCCTCCATCAAAAGTTTTCCAGTTTATGCCATAGACTTGTTTAGATTTGCTGATTGCGACGAGAGACACAGAGAAATGAATAATGAAATCTTTCCTTCCTAACCCCAAAGCCATGCGTATCTTGTAATTTTTTCCCTTTCCCTCCTAAAGTCAATCCCAACTACCCGGGAGTAAATGCAAGAAGAAGTGAAGTTAAATGCCTCCTCCATATCATAGGCGGCGAACAATCGTCATACAAGTCGTCAAAACGTAGTAACATAAAGCGCAAATCGATTCAGGGTGTAGTGTGTACTCTAGGTACTCTCGTGGCTCATGTGCGTCGTTAAAGGGGGAGGGTAGGGGGGGATACGTAATCAGGGTGCAAATTTGAATATTCACTGAAAAACCTAACTCCGTGAGGATGGAGCCATTGTGCTCTTCAGACATTTATACAAGCACAGAACGAGGTTTGAACCCTATATGTTCGGGTTATACATGTGCGTGCGTGCGTAGTTAGGGGTAGAAGTCTGTGAGCTACTTTGGTACGAAGGACCGTTGTAGCTCCTCCGTTTGATGACCTCACCGACGCCATCTCTGACTTCACGTGGCCCGCTGATCTTTTGGCGCAGGGCTTCCGTTCGCTTCTGACGTCGATGTTCACTTAGACGGCGTTGTAGGTTCTGAGGTCTGTATTGCTCTAATTTATCTTGCCAACCCGGGAAAAGACGTCGTCCACGGTCGTCGACTCGCTTTTCTAACCCCCAGAGACGCTTGTTGAAGTTTCCAGGCGCAGTGGACGGTCGTTCGTCGTCTTCCCGTGTGTATAGCCCGCTCCAGCGTACACTACTGAGGCTCCCACGATGTGGCATCACACGTAGACTACCACTGGGTGTGCGCTTGATTGTGCGTCGCTCCGGACTGCGACGGTCGGCGGTAATATCATGGTCGTCATCATTGATAGGCAGAATCGCAAATGTGCGTCTTACCCGCTCACTGAGGCTCCTTCGAAGGGGGCTACGACCGTTATCGAACGATGAATAATGAGCATCTGCGTGAGACCCTTCTGGCACATCATATACGAAGTCATTGGCATCATCATAATAATCATCAGCAGGGCGCCAGAATGGATGCAGCTTAGATTCGTCGGGTGGAGGGTCATCAGCTGTTGGATATTGACGCACGATGGGTTTCTGGGTCTTCTCTAGGCCTGGGCTCTCTGCTGTTTCCGTACGAGTTGTTTTAGACAGCGATAGAGTTCGTGAGAGTAAGCTGGGTCTGCGGGGGGTGGGATTGTCCGAGGGCTTACGAAGACTCAGTGCACGTCGGACGAGCGAGGGCCGTTTCTGAGTTTCCTCGAAATAGTTGCCCAGCATCTTTTCTTGTTCTGTTGCAGGTGTCAGGCCAGATGGTGTAGCTGGTATGAACTTGATTGCCGGCGGTTCTGGAGGTGCACGTGGATTTCTAAGAGGAGAATCTACACCATCCATCGAAAGTTGAGGTTGGGGAGGGGTCACAGGACCATCACTAGGTCCAGTCGTCGTGATTTCTGGCTTGCCAGTAATTTTACCCGCTTCTGGTTCGCTCACAGGAGATGTTTCTGCTTGCTTGTCGTTTGCACTGCTGAGAGACTTCGACATGTGATGGACCATGAGAACAGATTTATTTTGGTGTGGATAAATGTTCACCGCCAGTGCCTCCACAATATCAGCTACGGAATGCGTTCCGTTTGTTTCAACAGAAGCCTGAGAGAAGGGTGTGTTGTACGCCGTGAGCCGTTTGCCGAAGAATGGGTCCCCGTTATGATCAACCAGGGACTTCTGGTTCAGAGTCTCGTTCTTGTGTGACTCGACAGAGGGAGCCGGGTACAATTGTTTCTGATCTGATCGACTGCTCGTGTTCTCAGTGTGAGGTGCAGGTTCTACCGTGAATTGTGGTAGCTGAATCCCTTCCTGGTCAATCAGGGCATTGTGTGCCTTCAAACTCTCAGCGGTCAGTGACCCAGCTCGCGACCCAGCACGCGATGTGTTTCGGCTAGTGGGGGCAGATAGAGAGGTCGTTCTTCTCGGTACAATAGGAGGGTAGTCCATGGTGAGCTGATCATTGGGAAATGATCCATAGGTTACTGACATAGATCTACCCCTCCGTCGGGAATTATCCGAAGATACCGGTTGATCCCTTGCCCCAGAGAAATTTGATCGTGGTACACTGTGGCTCCTCTTGCTGTTTGTTGATCTTAGAGAAGGTGGTCTAGAGGCTTTGGACTTGAGTGAGTCTTTCCGATCGGGAATGACAACAACAGGAATGCCACCGCTCTGCCATACTTCACGCCGCACTTTTCTACTAGCTACAGAGTTCACAGTGCCCGTAGATGCCATGCTATCGGTCCGCGGGACAGGGGCCTTGCCAAGAATTCTGGGTCGTCTGCTACTTTCCATCTGGCGAACTGAAGTCGATGTAGAACTTGGGGGAGAAAATTCAGAAGTAGAATCTCTAAGGGCTGTTTGCTTTCGAACATGTCGCAAGGTCTTCTGTTGTCTCGTGGGCACATCAACCAATATAGCCTCGACGACTGTAGAAACAGTAGATTTGGACGACATTCCAGAGGAACGTCTGAAATCAGTGCTTGACGACGACCCTGAGGTTGATGTTGTCCAACGTGATCTGCTCTTACTACTAAATTCCGAAGGAAAATATTGCGGCGAAGGTGCGGTTTGTACGCGCTCATGTAGCGACACAGATCGTAAAGCCCTCGTTGCATTAGTTGGCGTGACCATCACGTCCTCAATCACTTCTGTCCGTCTATCTTCTCTTGGATTTACTCGACGTTTTCGCACTGTCACGTTCCTACTGAGATTATCGTCCCATTCTTGTTCAACATCACTATTTGACGCCCATTCTCCATCAAATGCGAAAAATTCTTGCCTCGTCCTCGGGATTAGATCGTCATCCACATCTAATCTTAAACCCAAGCCTGCATCACGCTGATTTCTTGGCTTTGGTTCAACCCGTCGCCCCTCGGCATTCTGCCACGTCCTAGTAGAAGGCATGCATGGTCTAGGCGTTGTTTTCTCCTCGTCAGATGAAGTGGGACTTTCTCTCGCCGTTTTGAACGATTCAGTACGCGAATCTACCGTTGCTTTGGAAGGTAGACGGTCAGATAGATTAGGACGGAATGCCTTAGGCCGACGCCCAACTTGGGGAGGTGTCACATCAGGTGTAGGTGGGCTCCTCTGGAGAGTAGGTGTGCCTGGAATGGGCGTCACAGAGCCCACTGCAACCTGATTTGGCGCCGGGTTCTCGGCAGGAGGGGGGGTTGAAATCAGGGTTGGCTGGCTACCTGACGAGGTTCTCGAATGGGCAGGCGGCGTAGGCGGCAGATTTGGACCGATACCTCGAGGATCGAAATAATCTTGGGTGGCCCTCGGCGAACCAGACTCCCTGAGGTTTAAAGCTGCTGCAGAACAATTCGAGTGGTCACGAGAAGTGGATGGGCTTCCACTCGCAACGAAGGGCCCCGATGTGTTGGCTCTGGGGCGGGGAAGCACCTTATGTTTCTTGAATGACCGTTGGCTCGGCCGGGGAAGAGGTTGATGCTCATACGGAAGGTCAAAGTAGAGAGACGTGGTTGTCGCAGGTCGTGCAACGGTCTCAGAAGCTGCCAACATCTCTCGGATGCGTACCGTCTTCCCACATATAATAGATATACAGACTAGTTTGAGTCACGGGAGTCCATACTCGGGGTTAAGAATAATCGTCTTAGGGTTCCGGCGTAAAGCACTTCGAGGCCAGATGATAAGAGTGAGAAAAAGCTTTTGCCTTGGCTGGCCCCCCTGGCGCGGACCTGTGCTACTCGGCGAAATGCAAAATAACTAAACGGTATAATCAAAAGTAGGCCAAAGGTGAGAGAGGTAGGCGGCAGCGGACCGGGGAGCGGGCCGGGGCAGATCCTAAGCTGACAGGAGGACCACGTCGTTGGTGGACGAGCTGCTCAGAAACACGCAACACATGGCGCAAAGCGCATTGTCTTGGTTAATGCTGTATATTGACAGGACTTTTCGTCGGGCGTCGGGCACGTTGAGGGTGTACGGCAGTGCAGGGTTGTTCGGATAATACGATTATGATGTCGTCGAGTCGTCGAGTCGTCGTGATAAGCTGATCTGTCGCAAAACGAGGAGGCTAGCAAGACAAAGCGTTTAGAGACAGCGATATAGGAACAGTCCGATCTTGGCCTAGGTAGCTAAAGGGAGCGAGGTGAAGCGTGCCCGAGAAGGATAAAAAAAAAATAAGATGTGGCAGAGATAGTGTAGTCGAGATGGCGGAATTGTGGCTTCTTCTTGCAGGCAGGACTCGGTATCAGCTTCGACGAGGATGGATATGGATATACATAGGCAGAACATGGTAGGTAGGTGGAAGGAGGCAGGTGAGTGGGCGAGAGAGGGCTGGGGAGGTCGACCTGGGCCGGTGGGGCCTTCCAAGTCTGTGTGCAGTCTTTGTCAAGTCCGGCCAAGTCTCACGAGGTACCCAAGTCGCTGTAGGAGGGTGGGCTCCAGGTGGGTTCCAGGGGGGCTACCTACCCAAGTTGGCAGTGGGCTGGCAGGCTAGCGCCCATTCTGTAGCTTCTGTAGTGGGCTAGGTGCGTCAAGTACCTCCCGAGCCCTCTCTACTTAAGGTACTCTCGCTACTGTGCCTACCGGTACCTCTATACGCCTGCTCGCTAGGCCAGGGCTGGGGTGACTTTGGTGGAGCGCAGGATGGCGAGGAATGGAGCAAGACAACGTCACAGCCAGAAATGATGATGGCTGCTTTGGCGCTATCAAAACTACTAGGTATGTACCTACCAGGTTGTTAATGGCATCCTTTTTGGGACGAGACGTGCATGTGGTTAGGTAGCATCGTGGGCATCGTAGTCTACCTACATTAGATAAGTACTCTTTTTTCAAGCACTTGTACACCACGTGTAGATGCCCTCTGCTGAGTATGTAGGTCTCTACTAGGTACCATGTTGTACTCGCAGGTACTTCTCATCATCACGCACTGCACTTACTCACCAACCACAGCGAACATGCATCTCCTTCATCGGCTCAATGGATTTTCTCGGCATGCACCTAACTAATGATATATCTACGTTTTATTGATTAACTATCATTATTATTATTTATTATATTTCTTGTTCTTCTTTGGCGTTTACCCTCGAGCCCGAACAATGGCTTGTTGTCTGAATCGATCATCGGTCTCGAGCTTCTTTTTGTGCTGCGAGTTTTCAGGATGGCCGGTCAAGCAACCTCACTCTGGCAACAGTCACCACCTTCCTCCCAACACTCTCTCCAGTTCATCCATCAGCTAGAGACATGTCGGTCTTGCTTGATTCCTCAATCAGTGACTGTGCGGAGGGTCAGGCTTGTTGCAGCAATGTGAATCGGGATTTGCTCGGTTCTTCAGCAGAGGGACACACAACGGTACACGGCAGACACGGACATTCCAGTCTGCATCCGCAAAAGAGGCCGAGAAACTACCAAGCCGGAACCGCACCACATTGTATCGCTGAAAGAGGATTTACTGAGGAGGAGTAGTGTGTGTAGACGCGTCAAGTCGTGCTGCCGGAGGACCGCTGCAACCAATCCATCCATCGCAGTCAGCAGGACAAATCAGCGCCTCCAACTGCACAAGGCTTGAGGTTCATTCCACCTCTGGCCCCCCCTAGTTGCTCGACGTGCAGCACGATCCCGGCGAATCAGAGCGGGCAATCCCCAACACCATCTGCAACATGGGACTGGGTGGTGTCGTGCTAGGTCCTGTTTTTCTGTCCTATATCCCGTCCCGTTCTGTCGTGAGCATGAGCTCCATGTACCGTTCTCGATGCAGCAGCATGCCTGGGTACTGTATGCGCACTACGTACAATATCTCCATTTACTCCATGTGCTCGAACCGCTGCCCTTCGGCATCCGGCTCTTCAAAAGAGGCGGGTGCGCAAACAGGGTATCCCCAGTTTGGCCTGTTGCATCTCCCTCGATTGACACAAACTCGAGGACCTGGGGTCTTCCTGGCGATTTGTTTCAAAGGCGCTACCCAAACGAGACTCGCCTCCCAAAAGCCGGGAACCCACCGGTGAAACAGTGAGACCGGGTCAGACTAAGACAGGCAGACATGTGAACTATCCAGGTGGCCGAAGGCAGCCTGTTTATTTTGATTAACGATACTCTGCCCTCATACGTACGCCCACCGTAGAAATGGTCTGGCTGCAAGTCGTCCAATTGAAATTGGATGGTCATGGCCAGATTCTCTTCAGCGAATCAACCCCACTACTCCACTCCTCGACCAATACGGTACTGTATCTCCAACTCGTCACTCGCCCTGCCCACTGCTGTTCAGGTAGAGTATGTCTTCACAATGGTCTTATATCGAACATTCAAGGCACACGCTACTCGAGCTCCTCTTGAGCATCTGCAATACCTAGCAAACGACGTCGACTACCCGATCTAGTTATGTTGAGTCTTCTTCTTAGGTCAATTACCACAACCAATACTCAGCTTGCTTTGTTGTTACCCAATTATGCACATTCCCTGCTTGTACGCCCGTTACCGTCGCCTGATTTTTGCCCATATCCTGACGCCGGGTTCCGTTGTTGAAATGGTACACAACAGATCTGTAACAGCCATCCTAGAATCCATGTGCCATTCCTCCTGCTTTACGCAGCCATGATCCTCCGATCTGTAACAGATGCAAACCTAGTAATCACATGAGTATGCCCCCTTTTTTTCTCCCCTACAGCAACTCAAGTGGATGTGGTGAAATAGCAATGTACAAGGTAAGTTTGGGGACTATTGGTCCTTGTCTCCATGCATGAGCACGATTATCTGCTTGGTATATCTACTACGTATAGTTGGTTCATGCCATTTACCAATTAAACCACGTAATTGCACCCAATCGGCGCTTTTCATCGAGGATTTTCAGTTACCCCAACATTGTAGGAATAAGCATAGTCGAAAGCTTTATCTCGAGCCCCGCAGCAGGTTGATTTACGATGTCATCATTCGTGCCTTGATAACTGTTTATCAACACATAGTGGACTTGAGATGCAGGCGTAATCATGCCTTGACTAACATGTCTGACTATTCGTCGATGATAATGCCGGAGGCGTGAACGATAGGCAGTCGTTGCCCGCAGGCCTTACGTGCAATTGGCGTCTCGACAGCTCACTAGTCAAGTGGTAAAGTGAGCAGATCTAGGTGAGCCAAGCGTGAGACAGCTGTATATAGTTCGAATGAAAGCTGGCGTTGCATATAAAGTCGACAGTGTAGTATGGTGTTTCTTGCTTCCTAACAATTGCACCTTTCAATACAAGATATAAATTACATTTGACGCGGCGTGTAAATGAAAATGTGGACAATATTGGTCGCGTTCGGGTATGTGGCCAGCGTAACTGGCCATGATCTCGGAGGTGATCAAACTCCACTGTCGGGACCTCATGGATCCCTATGGTATAATAACCTTCCAGGAGACGGTGGGAAACAGGCAGATTCCGTGTTCAGCGGAATATCTACCTTTGGACGTCTTCCCTTCTTTCCGTGCCTAAGCTCGAATGATGTATCATACGACCTTGCGTTTATCGGTTCGTCAACTCCAATTCCAGATGTATCTTACATCAGCATCTACTGACTTATCGATTCAGGCGCCCCTTTCGATACGGGAACATCGTATCGTCCCGGCGCTCGCTTTGGGCCTTCGGGAATCCGGCAAGGGTCTCGACGGCTGAATCTTTAGTGAGTGAATACTGCTTTTTCACCAGCTTAGCTCCTACGTCCCTCAGAATCTAACGTAACCTCAGCGGTGGATATAATGTACCTCTGAAGACGAATCCTTTCGACTCATGGGCGACCGTCTTAGACTGCGGAGACATACCTGTGACCTCGTGAGATTTCCGATATATGTATATATATATGTTAAAGATCTCAAGCCAATTGACCGTCATCTCGTTACCAGGTACGACAATACGTGGGCTTTGAAGCAGATCGAGGAAGGGCACTTCAGCATCCTATCGCGGGCTCCCAAGACGGACGCAAAGAAACCAGGTCCCGCGAAGAAAGGCAAGACGCTCCCGAGGGTCATCACGCTAGGGGGAGACCATACAATCACCCTGCCGTTACTTAGATCGATCAACCGCGCATATGGCCCTGTGTCCGTTATCCATTTCGACAGCCATCTCGACACCTGTAAGTCGTGCCCCCATCACCCCCTCCCCAGCCCGCAGAATATTGAAAGAAATCCACCAGGGCGACCCAAGGTCTTCGGCGGCTCGCCGTCGGAAGTAGCAAGCATCAACCACGGGACCTACTTCTACCACGCGGCGCAGGAGGGCCTGCTCGCCAACGACACCAACATCCACGCCGGCATCCGCACGACGCTGAGCGGGCCCAGCGACTACGAGAACGACGGGTACTGCGGCTTCGAGATCGTCGAGGCGCGCGAGATCGACACCATCGGCGCCCGGGGCATCATCGAGAGGATCGTCGAGCGCGTCGGCACCGAGAACCCCGTTTACCTGTCCTTGGACATCGACACCTTGGACCCGGCCTTTGCCCCGGCCACCGGGACGCCGGAGACGGGCGGGTGGAGCACGCGAGAGCTGAGGACTATTCTCAGGGGTCTCGAGGATCTCAACATTATCGCGGCGGATGTTGTCGAGGTTGCTGTAAGTCTGTGGTTGTGCAGTCCCTTCTTCCCCTATGTTGATAGCTTACTTGTTATTGACCTGTTACTGACGTGTCAGCCTGCTTACGACACTAATGCTGAGCATACTACGATGGCGGCCGCCGATGCACTCTACGAAATTATGAGCATCATGTTGAAGAAGGGTCCGCTAAGTAAGATGATTGCGGACGGGGGTAGTGATAATGAGCTCTGAACTTTATGTGTCTGCGGCATACATTGGGACATGCCAATCAGCACGAAGATCCCAGCATGAATTTTGATACGATGATATGTGGCGTTTTCCTAGATCTGGATGTTTATAAGGCTGTCGGTGTAGGTTGATGATCATCGCTCTTGTCCATTATCCTGATATAAGTGTGTGTAGCATTTACTGAACGACGTGTTTTGTATCGTCTTCTCCTTTCCTCAGCTCTGGTTGTTAGTCATTACATACTTGAAACTTGAATTGATTTTGTTTTGATATGACTATCTAGTCTGTGTAGAACATGTCGACCATAGTATATGTATAGAACGATAATGTATTCTCATAGTGTTGTCTAACTGGGATAAATTTGATAGAATTCAACGCGCTTCCATAATCGATAGCTGGAGCGAGTGAGTGTTTACAGGAGGTCTCGGAGCACCATTCTTAAAAAAAATTGGAAAGACTCGATGCGTCCTGTAGTAGCGTTGATAGAGTTGGAATAGAGTTGTCTGCAGGAGTGAATACGGGATGCGGGCACCATCTGTATGTATGCAACCTATGTCTGGGTGGCAATAAATGCGATCACTATCTTTTGATTTGCTCTCTGACTAAAACCTGTTCACGAGGCCCCTTTTAAGTTAACCGTCAAATATCCCTAGCAGGTCCCTAGCATATCACACAATTGCACATGCTGCCTGCGCTTCAAGAAGCTGTCAAGTTAGACCCACGTGGCGGTACATAGAGTTAATTGATGTCGCCTTTCCTCGTCCAGAGCAGTCGAAATTCGACTCAGTAGTAACGATCATCCTCGTACATCAACTGTTGTGCCCCTAACCTCGTCCTTTGCATATAGAGTCACCTTAGCTCAAACCTAAGATAAATTAATACTCCCTAGTCACACGTTAAAAAGATAGTGAGTTAGAACTGCAACTCTGAAGTCTTCTGAAGTTCGAAACACATACAGCTGGGATGATCGATGGTCGGTCATGTCCTGTTGTAAGGCGGCCGATGCCAGGGCCAATTACCACACCACCTAAGGAAGCCGACTGTTCATTGCTCACGAGCTTCACTTGACGTGGCGTGGGTGCATGTTACGCAATTCTGATATATTGCACATTCCTGATATTGCTTCCCTCTTTCGTTTCGTGCGCTATCAGCCTAGAGGTGCTGACGCGTGCTTTTAAACCCGGTAGTAGGTGCGCCTGCAGGTGTCGTCGGCAATCATACCGACAGGATCGTACAGTAGTACTGTGCTTTGACTATGATTGAAACTCTGGCTGCTGGGTAGGGTAGATATCTAGAGGTGTCACGGCTTATGGTTGTATCACACGGGGACCGCCAGAGCCAAGATTTGGAGGCTGAGATTCACCGAAGCTGACGACATATCTATTAAACGAGGACATATTTTTATATTGTCGGCCACACTAATTGATAACGTGACACTCTATGTAGATATCATGCCTACTATACTGAAGAACTTGAAAGTGCTAGTCTCGCCGTCGGCTCTAACGCACTGCTTGACGAGACCCTAGCCTAGCCATCATCAAAGGCCCATCCTTGAACATCTGTCTGCGTCTCTACGCGTCGCTCGGGGATATCAAGGACCGAGGGGCTGAACGCCAGATTAGTCACGAGCATATTAGACTGATCGAGGCATCTACATCCTAGGAGGGATACGTATCCTCCTTCGAATTCGCCGCCTTTTTTATATAGCGTGGCATTGCTTCACCTCAAAGTATAAGTTGCTAGACCCTCCTATTTCTCTGTGTTGAATCTATCAACCCTTTCATTCGTTTTCCTAAAAAGTGCCTGGTACTATCACCGTACAAATAGCCCGAATCTTCAAACATCTAAACCTACGAACACAGGATTTTTATACAACAACCAGCATGATGAAGGGCCCTTCCACTCTTCTCCTCCTGGCGGCCATTCGTGCCTTGGCCCAGAACTTCAACAGCGGCTCATTTACAGGGACCGCGACGTTGACGATCTCCGGGAGCACTGTGACGGTTGGCGGTACGAATGCTGCCACTTTCGTCGTCGGGTCGAGCACCATCACAGTCGGTGGTGCCACCTCCAGCAGCTCGTCGGATGATGCCAGTGCTACCGCCTCTAGCGACGACGATAGCGGGGATGACAGCAGCGACGACGGGGGCGATGACACTTCGTCAGATTCTTCGGATGGGGGATCCGACGGAGACGACGACAGCAGCAATGACGATGCTGGTACGGCTAGTTCTGCCGCCAATAGTTTTATAGCCAGTATGCATACCCGAATCTCTCGTTTGCCTGTTTGGCGAAGCCTGTGCTTGGACGCTTTTATCACCCTTTGGAACAAATAATTATCAACATGGGGATATCACTAAACATTTTATGACTCACAGACTACACCTCGGCCTATACAGGCTCGCCGGTCACTATCCAATACGGCTCGTCTACAGTCACCCTGGGCTCTTCTTCCTCTGCTGCCTCAGCCGGCTTCAGCTACTCTGGCAACGGTACCAGCAGCACAGCGGGCGGAAACAATGGCGACGACAACGGCGGAAAGACCAGCGGTAGTGCTACTGCGACGCCAATTGGTCCGACGGCGCCTCTGGCCACCGCATCAGATTCGGCGAACAAGTCTGCGGCCAGCGCCGTTCAGGCTGTGACCGGCTTGTTGGCGCTCGTAGGCCTCGCTCTTGCTTTTGTCTTCTAGGGGCTCTGAACACCTCTTAAGTGGACCGACGCAACCTCTCACATGAATAGTTATTCCATTCATACAAAGGGGGTCGGAGTAACCTCCCACAACCTCCATTCCATATGCTCAGCCTTAGAGCAGGCAGAGAGCTGCTGATATACCTCCCATTCCACACTGGACATTGCGATGAGAACCAACTCTACATAGGCATATGGCGGGTACAACAGGCAAGGATAGGCAGGCGTTTCAGGCGTTTGGAGACGCACATAGAGAGGAGTGAAGTTCTGTATATTTTTCTCCTTTTCTTTCTTTCTTTGGTTGTTTCTGGCGGGTATCTTTATTGCCTCGCTCTCTCACTCTCATGTTCTTGTTGGCCCTTAGACTCGTTTGATCATAGGGAAGAGGACGAATGAAGCTTGGGTAATAACTACATCACATGTCTCAACGACTCGTACGACATAGCATTTCCGATAATCAAATACCTAGTGTTAATGACAAGGCATACCTACGATGATGTTAATGAGCTGGGGCAGAAATTGTCACGTGAGGTGTTTTCAACTCTATCAAATTTGTCCCGTGCCTTGCAGGTCTGTCAGCTACTTTGTCGGTGACTCGGCGTTCCGATGGCGGACTTCCGACTTTCTGGCGTCATGATGTGCTCACATCTGTATATAAATTATACTTCCGTACGGCTTGTGACTGCTGCGCTGTACTACAAGTATGTAGTAGGTTGACTCTTGCTTACTCGTAATCAGAAGAAATTGCAAGGATGCATACGCAAGCCGCAACCCACTGAGATCGGAGTGGAAGCGCGCTTCGGCCCGTAGATGGGCGTCACTGATCTGAGACAACCCCCACGGCGAAACATGGCGGCGCTAGAGAGGTGTGGCGTAACTGAATCATCATATACAGTATGACTGTGAGGCTACCTATCTAGTTCTTTCAATCGATCGACAATATAAGGAAATCTTGAGTCCCGAGATAACTAGGTCTGCGCCTACCTCACACATGTCCATAGGTATCGTGTGTATATGCGTCCATCTATCTGAATCAATCAAGTCGTAAGCTCATTCGTGCTCATATGAATAAGGTAGAATTCTATCCGCTTATGCGATGGGGGTATGTCGAGTTCTAAATTGTAATGAAACCAGCGCCGGAAGATGCAAGCAAGGTGGCCAAGTGATAAAACGCAAATCCAAAAACTATCTCATCATCTGTGAGTTCAAGGGAGAACGAGCCAACCTATAGCCACGATAGCAAGAGACATGACCCCCTCTCCCCTCATCACCCTCCATCCGCCAGCCGCATTTCCAGGCATTTCCTTCTGCACCGTCGCGGTGGCGGTTGCGGCAGAGAGTGTGCAGCTGGCTGTCCCACACATGTATCCGCTTGGACAGCATCCGGACACGGGACCCGCGTTGGCACCGCAGAGAAACCACCCGCTGGCACATGTCGCGGTCGTCGTAGGCGCTACTTGCGCATCTGTCAAAGGCACTACGACTGTAGCGCCATTGGTCTCAATAGTAGTGCTCGCCACGGGTGGGCAGGACGTGGTGCTACAGTCTCGTCCTGTACGGCAGCATCCTGATCCTGCCGATGCCACACAGGCGTAGAACCCAGTTGGGCAGTAATCACTATTCCCCGTTGTAGTTGGAGTTGAGCTCGTGGGTCGCACAGGTGGGAGCCCCGTGCCGCTGGCGGAGGTGGATTCCTCTTCTGATGTCGTTGTTGTCATTGTCGGTGTTGATGTCGTGGATTGCGACGAGGTTGTTGGCGTGCTCGCACTCGTCGGGGTGGTCGTTGTCGTTATCGCTGTACTTCTTGAGGTTGTCGAAGTTGTTGACGAAACCGTTTGCACGCCTATTATAACACATAAGAGCACGAATTAGTTGAATGTAAGGCTTGAATAAAAGAGTAAGGAGATAGGGTGAAATGGAAACTCACAGCCGATGTCAGCACATACAAAGCCCGGAATACAACAACCGCCGCCTTCGTCGGCAGGACAAGCCGTGTTCCCGTCCGCGCATTGGGCGACACTACCGCCGCAATTCTGACCGTCCGGGCAACACCCTACATTTCCTGCATCTGGCGCGTTCTCGACTACGAAGCATGTTGTCCCGTCGGTACAGCAGTAGTTCGGCTCGTTGATGTTTGAGCAGACGTGTGTGCCGCTAGGACAATTGAAATCTCGACCCTGAAGGCGAGCCAATACATCTATTGCCCGGCGGTAGAGAGACCATGAGCCTAGGCTTGATTGCCTCCGCTGATCTTCAGCATGCCGTCTGTTCTTTCCACTACTTCTTATGCTACTACTTGCTTCGTTGTTCTCGTAGTAATAGTGTCGGGGGAACGGGGGCCTGAACACGAGCGTAGCTGAGCTGTTTCCCATAAGGAGCGCCTCTTCCTCGGGCGTCAGCACCAGAGTGTCTTCCCCCCGGGCTTCGAGTCTCATTGGTGCTTGGGCCCCTTCTACATAGAAATCGGCAGGTGCGAAGGCGTAGTACTCGGGCATAAACTTCTCGCCTTCATCCAGCGACATCTTGCGCACGGCGGTAGGAAGCGTCTGGAGTTCATCTTTGTTGTTGATCTTGGAATCGGCGTGTGCATGGAGCTGGGCGGCGAGCAGGAGGAGAAGCGAAGGTGGTAAAGAGAGGAATGCGCGAGGCACGCGCATTGTATCGAGCTAGGTATTAACTGTTGGTTTCAAACTTGTCCGAGCGCAAAGGTCTTGGTTTCGAGGGGTTGAGCCCAAGATTATTGGACGTCTTTAATAGGTAGGTATGTAACTGGTAAAATGCAGCCTTTGCGATGGCTGGTGATCGGCGTACCTGGATCCTCCCGGACCGCTGTGCCGGGTCTTGGCAGAACCCAAACATTGCCCAACTTGTAGTGGGTGACTCCACGTGGGACGGAATGAACCGTCATTATTCAGGCACACCGAGATGCAAATAAAATAACCATACTATTATAAAGAGAACCTGGAACCTATCTAGATTAGTCTAAAACCAATAAAGTAGGACGGCAAACTCTTTGAATGGCGCTGGACCGGCTATCTACTAGGTGATACCGTATTGCGGTTGGGTCACAGCATACGACGACCATTTCTAGCCAACCAGCCACTTACATGAGAATGATGTGATTGGGTTAATGATAGGATCTCTCTTAACGTTCCTTCAGTTTATTACCGAGTTCTGTCATGTTGGTCGACTAATCCAATTGGCTGGGACAGGAGCCTTAACTCTCCGTTAATCATCACGAGGCAGAAAAGTGTGCTTGAATATCAGAAGCCCTCTAGGCCACATTTACGCAGTCTCTTACCCCACAAGAGGCAGGAAGCCCAACAGTCCGGAACCGAAAGAACTTCCGACATGCCTATATCCTCTTTCCGACCCCATAACACTGAATGTGTCAAGTAGAGTCGCTGTCGGGTGAAACGTGGTACACGAGGTACCCATACGGAAGGCAGACCTCTCCAACCTACAATATCAATACTACTGCTACTACTACTGCTGCTTTTGGCCCGCTGTCTTTATCCAACGACGGCGTCGCCTTGGCCCAGAACGGGTAACTCAGCTAAGAGCCTAGGTAGTATCATCATGGTTAACTTGCGATGCATAAATTCGTAGCTACCTAATCCAAAGAGTCATAAACGAGATCCCCAAGGCATAGTTCCCGATCTATTGAAAAGCGCACATACAGAATCAATGACAAAGTCTCAAGATGCTGTAAGAGTGTCTCGTTCCGTCGTTACTCATGTACATGTACAGTCGTCAGATATCTCTCGCCCCTTTTTTTTCCGTCTATAATATGCCCTCGTATCTCTTTTTTCTTTTCACCGATAGGATGCTATGGTGTAATTAGTATTCAGAAATGACCACCTGTGGTTTCGGAAGATAGATGCAAGCTAACATCATTGCCCATGCAAGTACATGATGATAACTGCTATGATGCAGTCATGCTCGGGAACTTGTGAGATGCCATTACATCAGATAGGCGCTATGTAGCCCCGAAATGCTGAGCGCATGAACATCTGGCTCATGTCCAAAATTTTGTATGTGTATATGTATATGTGTGTTAGTTTAGCTGAGGATGGAATGTCGCTTCAGCTTTATGAGGTGAACATTCGTAAAGTACGCTTGCGAATAATAGAAGGAGCATGGGATACGCGAGGCACCTGCTCGATGACCACGTACGATTCCTCCGCTCATCTCCTAAAGGGCGACCTTCAGAGACTGCGATATAGCGCCTATCGGTGCTTTATATCTCTGGTTTGCTGCTTGTATTATTGCCGCAGTACCCGCTACGCTTAACGCGTGACGCGCGGAGTTTGGGTGTACGCAATTCCCTCGCTCGCATTCTGATCGTCACTATCATCGAATGCCTCCAGTGACGCGTATGGGTTGCTCGTGGGAAGAATGGAAGTATGACCAACTGGGGAGCTTCTTCTCATGCCATATGGCACATAGCGTGATCCCAGAGGTGAGTGTCCTGCTGATGCACCGTGTGTGCTTTCAGTTCGAATGATCGCTGCCGCGTTACTGCGGGCTGGAGGGGCAATAGGGCCGAAGGGTGACCCGTACGAGATTGGACGAGGCGATAGGTTACGATCGGGTGTATTCTCAGCTGCGTACAAGGAACGAAGTGTCAGTCAGCATCTTACTTCGCTTGAGATTGAGTAGCTCCTCTACGAGAAGAATATGTAGAAACGTACCTATAGCAATTCTCATCGGGCCACTTATTCCTTTGGATGTCGCTTGCCCCATGGAAGAGGCAGGCCCTAGAGCAGGGGAATCACTACCATACTCACCACTATGTCGCCACGCAAACTGTCGACCTGCATCAGATGTCAAGCCACCGTAGCTAGCACTCCCACCTCCAGCGATGGAACGGCTAGAATGGCCGATGTATCGTTCGTTGCTTGTCCTCAACTCGTTACTCTGGCCGCCGTTCTTGGGGGCCTCTAGTAGTGGCGCATCACGCTGTCTGGATAGATCTGCCTGGTGTTTCTTCCACCATTGCGGATATCCATGGAAGAGTCCAAGTTGATGTTGCGTAAGCTTGTCTGATGGCATTTCATGTTTGTACTTACAGCCCTGCTGGGTGAAAGCACAAACCCCTTCATGTACCCATTTGTCGCAGTAGATTTTGGGTCGTCGGTGGCCGAGAGCCGCAATGTTGGAAGAGCTAGGGCTGAGGGGATTGGTCGTTAAAGGCGTTGTGGCAACGATGTTATCAATTCGTGACTGAAGAAAAGCAATGTTAGCCATTCTGAGCTTCTCGGGTAGTAACTGAGTGACATTTCTCCCCACAGAAGTCAACAAATATTGTCAAGGTTCATGGTGTTCTAGCTGCAACTTCTTCTTATTCCAAACTTGGAATACGAGGTCTTGAGCAGGAGGGGAGACAATATAAAATCCTATATGAATTCCACTATAGGTAGGTCTTCCAGAGCTGCTATGTAATGCTTAAGCAACCATGTAGCTTACCTGGATTGTGTCCGCTGGGGAGGTAGGTATCGTGGGGGGGCTCTATTGAGGCGATTCTTAGTAGGTAGAAATGAAAGGGGGGGGAAGGGCTATAAACTATACAATTTGAACGGAATGATGAAGGGAATAGGTAAACTAGATGTAAAGGGAAGAGAAGAGAAAGAAGGGGGGAGATGAATAGAATAGTAGCTACGTACTCGCACCGCAACAGGCTCAGTGTTACTTGACTGCCCATTTGGAGGCAAACCGCGTGGTTGAGGAACAACCAACATGCCAGCATAACCCTGCTGTATAGCAGGAATGTTTTGTAGAGGAGGGAGCATGTCAGCGGGAATAAGGCGAGTATACTGGCCGTTGCCACGATCATAGCAATACGCAAAGCTGCTGTCAAGGTGAGTGTCGAAATTCGAGCCGAGACTTGGATATGAGGTAGCACTGGCAGTAGCGTGTGGGAGGCGATGATACTGATCTCTTCGAGTGTTTGGGAATGGTGTTATGAACATGGGCGGATGCTGCAACGGGGTTGAGGGACCAGCAGTGTCGAAGGGGCTGTAGATGGTTCGAGGCCGGAGCTCAATGGTATCTTCTGATGTCGGAGATCTCCAGTTGGCTGAGGTAATGCTGCGGCGGTGACTAGGCTGGATAATTTGAAGCTGAGGCGATGCTAGTTGCTGCTGCTGATGTTGTTGTTGCCGGGAGGGCTGATAGTGAGTACCAGTCCCTCGTTCGTTCACGAGCTTATTGCGGCGGTCGTTGGCGAATTGGAAAGAATTCTTATCCATGTTAATGGGTTGGTCAAGAAGTGTGTTAGATGTGTACTCTATATGGGCCGTCGCAATACTTAGGATGGAAGGCGAAGAATAGTCAAAGGAGGCATTAGTGGACGCACGATCTGGAGAGGTGTTTCGTGTGGAGGTATAGGATGGCCCAGGAGAGTAAGACAATTCAGAGGAAGAATCAAAAGAAGTGGCGGCTTGTAAAGGAATGTCCATGTTGAAAAGGTAGGTCAGTGTACGCAAGTCTGTCTCTAAGACGTATGACGGTAAGGCACTGTTTCCCACACCCCTTTCTTTCGCCAATCAATTAATTCCAATAATAAAAGTAGTGAATACGACAAACGGATGGATGATGGGGTGTAAGCCTAGGATATAAAGCACTTAGGCTTGGACTATTAACAGAGGTAGAATTGTTAGTTATACGATTTGATTAGGTCGAATAGACGAGATGAAGGGACATATGAGCACACTAATATAGACATACAAGCCCAGGAGCGGATGAGGGAGGTCGATAAATGTATTCAATCAACGTACTATTAGTTAGTCAGGCACCCGTGTCCAAATCAAGGCAAGTAAGACAAGCAATCACAACCGTTTGTAGACCATCCTTAAATAAGGTTAAATGCAGTAGAACGGTTACCTGCAGTTTTTCTGTCTTGTGTTTCGCACGTGACAAACAGTCCATCTAGAAACTACTATAGCATACAACCACGAAGCACCTCATAGGAATTAATAGATTGGTTCATTTTTTTTTTTTAATTTTTTTTTCAAATTTGTCTAAATGTACGATGGCGTTGTCATTGTTCGGCTTATCCCTCCTTTGTTTCTTCATGTGTAAGATCAGATTCATATGTTTAGGTAGCCTAACGTACAATCCGTTTCGCGTGTTTCCCTCTGATACTAACACCACTCATCAATGCCTAAATTGTCGACCATTTGCTAGAATTTGGAGCCTTTGGAAAAGATAGGCACGAGCACCCTGTATATATGGAGTGTCTATAGCTGCCCTGAGTCTATCAAGTGCTAGCCGTACAGACAGCTCTGAATTAAGATCGATACAGGTCTGGCCTGTAGCATGTCGGCGGTAACAGAGAATACAAGGGTCTCGGCCGCCGTTAGAAAGCTGAATCGTAATTGGATGAAAAGTCATGGCTCCATAGCCGTTAGGTAAAATAGTGGCAGGGTTAGCAGTATGAGAAGCTATAGTTAGCATATAGGGTTGGTGGTAGTGGGGATTGCTGTTTACACTGTGTTGGGGCTGCCTGTTATGAGCTGTTTGAGGTTGAGTTGCTTGCAATGGATTAGATGGAGGGAGCTTTGGGTTCGGCGCAGTTGGTTGATTGCTTTGGCGTAGTGCATTAGATGTTTTAGGATTGTTGGGAGGAGGTGGCTGCGGAAATAGTGCCTGGGGTTGGCTTCCTTAACGGAGTGTTAACTATGGTTCTTTTGGAGGGTTCTTCTTGGTCTTGTTCATTGGGCTTTTACCTTTGGGTATCTTGCCTTTCCCTGTAGATGACGCCTCAGTTATCGCTTCGTAGTCATCACTATCATCCTCTATTCCATTTTGGTCGATATATAGTTCATCATCGATATCCATTTCTGAATCGTCGCTCCCTGCTCGTTGTTTCTGATCCAACATTAACAAGACTTCTTCGTCACCTTCTAAGTTACCTACGTGGTTTGTTTTGTAGTCGACTGTTGCTCCCCGCCGTCGGGCGCCACGGCCGTAAACTTGCTGCTTCGCTGCGAGTTCGCGCTGGTGTTCAGCCTCGCGTTCTTTCAATATACTTTCCCAAATGCTCGTATTTTCTATAGGCGCTTCGTCTTGGATTGCGTTGTCATTGCTCTCCAATTTGCCCTTATCGTTGGCCCAGATGCGGGCAAATGAGAATTGGGTACCCGCGGAATCATCGTCCCCGGTATTGGTGTTTTCGATCTGAGTTCGATCAAGTAGTTTGTCGACGGATGCATCGTCGTAAGTGATCTTGTCTTTAGATTCATCGCTAAAGAGAGCAGCGGCCCCATGTTTAAGAATCGATTCCAGGTCTTCAGCTTCCTCTTTAGTATCCATGCTTTCGATGAGTGCATGATCAAGAGCCATCTTCTTTCGACCCATTTGCATAATTTTTTCCTCGACCGTATTCTTCGTCATAAGCTGAAAGCATAACACTTTACGTTTTTGGCCGATACGGTGCGCACGGGAAAGGGCTTGTATATCCTGATGGGGGTTGAAGTCAGGATCATAAATGATTACCGTATCTGCTGTAGCCAGGTTGATGCCAACGCCTCCAGCGCGGGTAGAGAGAAGCATAGCAAATAATGGGGAATTAGGAGCATTATATGCATCGATCCGTTTCTGCTTTTCTAATGCTGATAGACTGCCATCAATGCGAGCATGTGGCATATTTAAACCAGTTAAAAAATCCTCCAGGATTGTAAGAGAATGGAGGTATTGACTGAATATTAATACACGGTGACCTCGTTCCTTCAACTTTGGAAGCATAATGTCGAAAAGTAAGAGTTTCGGTGATGCTTCAACGAGGTTTCTGTGCATTTGTCCTATATCAACCGTCTTGTCTTCAATTTCACCATTGAAACAGAACGGATGACATAAACATTGCCGTAGATCAGAGAGAATATTGTTCATAGATTTTCGTTCTCCGGCTTTGACCCTTGACCTGGAGATGATTGCCTTGATGAGCTCGGGATTTCGTGCCATAATGGACTTTGACAATTTTTCTTGCAGGAGTGTCATAGTGACTGGCACAATAATCTGCGCCATAGGCGGGAGGAACTTGAGAACTTGTGCCTTGGTCCGCCGTAGAAAATAAGGGCGAATAAGATCATGTAATTCCGGCAGGTTATCTTTAGTCAATTCGGCATATTTTGCATCCAACTCTTCAGCATTCCTTTCGGCATCAATAAATTGTAAGAGGTTAAATAGCTCACGTTTGTTGTTTTGAAGGGGTGTGCCTAATTGTTGAGTAAGCTAACTATAAGGAGGAATAAAGAAATATTTCATACCTGTAAGGAGAATTCTACAGGGAATCTTCATTCCTTGAAGCGATTTATAAAGCATCGTCTCTTCGTTTTTCAATCGTTGTCCTTCGTCGACTATTAAACCAACCCACTTAACGCCGTAGAAAACACTGTTCAAATTGGCGGCGGCCTCATATGACATGATGACAACATGGGCTTTCATTCCACCTTTGGGGCCGTCCGGGTAAAGTTCATGCCTATAGGCTAGATCCTGCGCCACCCTACCACCATGGTATGTTACGACTCTTAAGTCAGGTGCCCATTGTTTAAGTTCTCGCCGCCAGTTTGGGCAAGTAGCATTGGGCACTACGACCAAGAACGGCCAACAACCTGGCTGGGAGTGTGTGAGAGCGGAGATGAATGTAACAATCTGTACTGTTTTCCCGAGTCCCATTTCATCGGCAAGGATTACGTTCTGCCTTTGGTGGAAATTGTATAGAAGAAAGTTGACTCCTTCGATTTGATATTCCATGAGCTTTCCTTTTTTGAGTTGAGGGGGCTGGGCCTTCAGCTCACACTCTTCGCCAAAGTTGAGAGATCTGTAAAACAGAATACGCTCACGCATCTTATGGTCAGAAACTGCAATGAAGTATTTGCCATTGAGGTATTCGTCGTAGGCCATTAGAAAAGCTTCCCACGGTGCGCCAGAATCTCGGGGTGGTGGTTCGTCCCAAATAACCTCTTTATAACTAAGACCTTGAAATTTGACGAAGACCGAGGTAATGTCTTCAATTCGTTTAAGGTCTTCGGCTTTGCTCGAGGTTCTAGCCGGAGTACGGTACTTTACGTTCAAAAGAACGTCTGCTAATAGCCACTCTTCTTCTATAGCAGACGATATATCCATCTTAGGAAAGGTCGAAGAATCTCGTTTATGGAATGCTTGCCGCATAATACCAGGAGCTATACCAAAGACCCAAGCGCCCGGCATCCATGTATCATGAAAGTGTGAGCGTCCTTGCCATTTGATGAGATACTCAATGGAGTCTTCGGTAAAGTCTAAGTTCGTTTGCCCTCGATGATAGGGGTTGAGTGGCCGCCAAGCAACCAAGGCATGTACTTTGAATTTATTATCGATGCAATCCTTGCAGCTCCAACCAGCTAAGGAGTATTCCTCAAGCCGGTTATCTTTGATATCTTCATTGTCTACTATTTCCGTAGTGAGAGCGGGAAGATGGCTAAAATGGTAGCCGCGTTTGCAATTTGTACATCGGAAGAGAACGTTGTTGGCATTGTTGATCAAGGTCGGGTCTACCTTAGTGATCGGGTCGTCCCCTCCGTTATCTATGCGTGCCTTTTCTTCTTGCTTGGGTGTCTTTTTGGCAGAGAATTCAACACAAGAAGGCCCAGATATGTTGCAGACCTGACATAGTGTATGGTCTGGCGCCCGTTTATCTTTCTTCTGGTAGGCTTGGATGCAGAATTTACATTGTAAAACAAAATCTTCGTAGCCGATTTTGGTAACCCTGTGCTCTCTAACTGCCCTTGGACCAATACACCCTCTGTGATAAGAGAAAGAGCAGCCTTGGCAGTGTATAAGAGGATTCTTAGTCCCTCCAGATTCAGCAAGGCAGGATTCGCATATTTGCGAATGTGCATTTTGGAACTGAGAATCCGAATCCGGGCTAAGCTGTTGGAAAATTTCCTTGATGGCTGCGTACTTGGGTGCGTTAGTCTGTTTTTCGTCCATAACATCGTCGTCATCCATCGTCGGGTCCTTCATGCTTGCCCGGTTCATATTAGGCCTAGCTGATCTGCGCGCTGGCTCATAACCAATCGAGGAATCACTGCCTTCCCGGTAACTGCGTTTGGTACTAGTAGTTCTTGTAGGAGGTTTGGCCCTAAGTTTTTTCACCCTTGAACTTCTTTTGGGGGGTGCAACATCAGAGCGAACGAGATCGAAATAGTCATCATCGCCTTGATGCGCATAGTCTTGGGCTAATTCATCCTCGGAATCACTTATAGCGTTGCGGGTTGGGCGCTTTAGGCGTAATGAAATAACCGAGCCACGACTTCTTAACGTTGGCCGACTTGTCCTAGTTTCCGATTCGCCATCCTCTAAGTCGGTGATCTCGGAGTTCCAGTCGTTTAACTCAGAAATAGGACCAACTGATCTCTGACGAGATGCTTGACGTAAGCTAATCCGGGAGGGGGATTTGCGCCGTTTAGGCTGGGAAGCGTAATCTGAATCAGAGTCCTCATACTCGTCCCCCGAGTGAGCCCGCTTGCTTAGGGGGATACGATGATAGGAGTCCGGGTCACGAGGGGGCATAAGGACCACCTCGATAGCACGTAGTGACTGCGGTAGAGCGGGAATCATCGCGTCCTCCTCCTCCTGGTAGTCCGCCATGGTCGATATTATTTCCGTTCGCAGTCAAGCTGGCGCATCGCAGACTGCTGGGATGAAGAAACGCGCATCGGACTTTGGCTTCACGCGTCGAGTGTTAAAGTGGTTTTTTCTAGCATGTACTGTTAAAGCTTGCTGGCATTAGTCCCTTTGCGGTACTTACGATGAATAATTAGTAGTTTCCAAAGTAACACTGGACTTGGGTGGGTACCTGTCAGGGTATTGTAGATACCTAGTAGGCACTACCTAATGGACTGGATTAGATTGACTACATAGGTACCTACTTAGTAGGTATGTAGAAGGGAGAGTCCTCGGCAGGAGGTACCGTCTACAACACAGGTAGTAAATACCTAGGTAGGTAAGTATGTGGGGTGGCTCGGGTGGCTACTGCCTCACAGCACCCATCACGGTTACCTACTTACATCTTATGTGGTTATATATATACTGAAGGAGACTAGTTCAATACTGAGTGGTCTGATTGACTAGGATGGATAAGGAAGGATGAGGTTACAGTAGATACCTTTTTTCTTATCTTATCCACCTATCAGCCCTCTTTTTCCACCTTTAGGTAATCGACAGGGAAAATTTCCTTATCGCGATGCAACTTTCTAACGATACCTAGCTACCCTCTTCCTACGGCTCTCTGCATTAACGATTTAATGTATAACATTGTCGCCGAGAATGCAATGAGACTTCCGAATTCTTCGTGTTTACTTTGTAGACATCTTATATTCTTTAGACCTCTACAACTAAGGAGAGTTCCCGTCATTGCCTCCCAACCCGCATCGTCGCTTTCTGCTATTCACCATGGCCTTCGACAATCTCAGAAATCCAGGCCACAAGGCTTTAATCAATCGTCTTCAAATACCCTAAGGCCCGATCGCTCCTTACAAAACTCGGACCGAAGACGTGGTTCAGATCGCCCGCCGCCGCCGCCGTTCAAGATCAGGAAAGGAAAGAAAGACATTACCTACAGAGGCCCTGAGCCACAGTCTAGGCGCTCACGCTTCAATGACCCCACGAAGAGCTTCGGCAAACGAAGTTTGGTGTATCAGATGAGACATGGGCATCTAAAGCACAAGGTGGCCGAATTGGAAGGCCGCGCATCCGGAAATGAAAGATCCTCCTCATCCTTCAAATCATCACGGGCGCCTTCCGATCGCATGACCTCAGAAGACTTCATGGAACATTTCGTGTCAAGCACAGGCCGACAGCCGGATTTGGCTAAACATGGAAGAGGCGGACGCGCCCCTCCAGCACGCGCTCCACAGCCTATAGAACGACCCGCATACACGAAGATCACGCGAGACACAAGGGACATTGACCGTGAGCGCCTAAAGCGCACTAATACAGCAGCTTCAAGCACCCAGCGGGGAAGGTTTACCGGCGCAACTTCATTTGGGGATCGTCCTGAGCCGTTTTCAAATAGGACCGAACGTCCGAATGCGATTCGGAACGAAGATGATCGAGATGCTCAAGGGGAGCAGCATGTGAGTCGGAAAACAGACGATGGACCTATTCGGATTCACCATACTACTGCCGCCTCACAATTTCTGTACGGGCGCTCGGTGGTGGAGGCGGCGTTGAAAGATTCGCGAAGGCAGCTGTACAGGCTGTACATTTACAACGGCGATGATAGACAGAATACCTCTCAAGATGACGTGCTTGCGAAACTAGCACGACAGAAAGGAATTGATGTCACGAAAGTGCCAAACAGTGGCTTGCGCATGATGGACAAGATGAGTGCTGGTAGACCACACAATGGATGCATTCTTGAGGCGTCACCATTGCCCCAGTTACCACTTAAAGCACTAGGACCATTATCTGAGGATCCCCAAAAACCTGGATTCTACGTTACAGTGGCTCATCAATTGAGTGAAGATGCGAAGATCAATGGGACATCTGATTTTGTCACCTATCATTTACCTAAAGAACGAAAGCCGTTCGTCCTCTTGCTAGATGGTATTCTCGACCCAGCGAATCTAGGAGCTATCATTCGAACCGCAGCATTTCTAGGTGTCAACGGAATCGCCATTACAAAGGGTAGCTCAGCCACGCTTACAGCTGTAGCAGTCAAGGCATCAGCGGGTGCATCTGAAACTATGACATTATTCTCCATCAGTTCAACAATGGATTTCCTTACGCGTTCAAAGGAGAACGGGTGGTTGGTATACGCAGCTGTTCCAGCGATGAAACGGTCGAGAAGAAATACGCACTTAACGGTGGACCGCGTTGAGACTTATGACCCTTTGTCGACGCAACCAACGGTATTGGTCATTGGCAGCGAAGGAGAAGGACTCAAAAGACAAGTCCGACGAGAGGCGGATCATGAAGTATCTATTCCCAGCGCACTAGGAGGAGTATCCGCTGTTGTCGACAGTCTCAACGTAAGCGTAGCCACTGGCATCCTGTGCTCTGCTTTCCTCAAGAAACAGTCATCGGGTATGATTGAAATCGAGGATCCATCGGAGTCCTCGGTCGAGAACAACTTAGAACTTTGGTAAATAGTTACAGATGTACGAATAGTGTAATAACCTTATGCAATATTTTTTTACGATACTAAGTATGTACGCTGTGTAAGAATACGATGCGCCACTCTCGAGAGGCTAAAACCACCATATGTTCATAAGCTACCTATAGTATGAATTCATTTAGAGAATGATCCCAGTCTAGGAAGCTTGAGTGGCGGTTTAAAGCTTGGTAGGTGTCCAAGCGTACTATATATCTTAGTGTCTACCACGTCAAGAGCCAGAGATAAAAGAACATACATGCAGCCCTTTCAGAGTTCAAGTATTAAGATCCGGGTTCGAAGTACATAATCAACTATATCGTAATTGACTAGAAACTCGGAGTTTGGAGTTCAGGTCATAAACTGGACAACACCTAACACCTGGCTACCATATAGTGTAGTAGGCATGATAGCCCAACCTCAAAAACTCCAATGCGTAAAAGTCATTCGAATCTAAAGCAGCGTACCATCTTACCTTGAAAAGCAGACTATTTAATCCTCTCATATAGGCTTCACTAGCCCCTTAAGCGATTTCGGATAATACATGCCCGTAACCCCTTGGGTATATAAATGACCGTATCCTTGCATACAATAAGTTCCATCCTCTTTACATTTCATTTACTCGGCGCTTAATAAACCCGAGGTTAAGAGGAGGAGGGATGAGTGTAAAGTACTCCCTCATTTTCTCATCATATGCCAAGTAATTCTCGGCAGGGGTCGAGCGGATATCGAAATCAGCAACGATTCGGGCAACTACTAAGCGGATATTCAGCAATGCAAGGGATCGACCAACACAGCCGTAGTTGCCTGTTGAGAACGGCGCATAGCCAGATGAGTCTCTAATTAACTCGGGCTGCGAATACCATCTCTCCGGGATGAAATCATTCGGAGAGACGTAACTTTCAGAGCCTAAGGGGTAATAGTAAGCTATCGTGAGCTCAGAACGGAAAGGGGCTATTGACGATATACCTCGACTGATGACGAATTGAGGACAGAACACCGTGGTGTTCCCAGGGATGAATGTACCATCGATGTCTAGACCCTCTGGCGGAGTGAGTCGTGGAAGAATGGTTGGGACGGGCGGGAAAAGTCGCAACGCTTCGTTTATAACGCCATTCAGGTGCTTCAAGTTTGATAGTTCGATGAAATTGTAGTCACCTAACTCATTCCGGTGTAATGGGTCTAGCTCAGAGCGCAAGAGGCCAATGTGATGGGGATACTGCGCTAAATATCGGAAAATCGTAGCTAAGGTCGTGGATGAAGTATCGCTACCCTCAAATTAGTAGATGCTCCTTTTCAAATTATGGACCTGGACCAACTTACCTTCCGGCAACAATGATAAGTTGTGTGTCGCCTTCAAGTAGACCGCGATCGAACCCTTTTGGATCGTTGCCATTAAATGGCTGCAGCAAACTGCTCAAGATGTCCTTCTTGTCCCCTTCACCTTTCCTCTTCAGCTCATGTTAGCACGAGCTTGAAACTCCAAGTTCTGCCATTCACATACCTGAATGCGATTGTCAAGCTGCGCGATGCAGTATTCTAGAAAAGACCACCAGCTACTCGCCGCACCAGGAATGCCAATCATGATACGGAAAAACCACATGGGGAGTTTGGAGCCAAGTGCGGCTGATCCCGCCGTGAGAAGCTTGATAGTCTCGTGCTCTACACTGGTCTCCAGCATATCGAAAGAGCGTCCGAAGGCTAGCTCGCCCATCACGTCGAAGCTGTAGTTGGCGAACCATCTCGTCATATCGAGTGACTGACCAGCTGACTCTTCAAGCACTTTAATTAAGCGCGCGCGATATTGAATCATACGCTCTTCGTAGTCCCTAAGATGTCTATCCCCAAACGCTGTGCTCCAAACACGACGCCACCGACTATGCAGTGCGTCGTTACGGGTGCTCTGTAGCGATACCCCTATGGCGATTCGAATCAGTTATTACGATTTTAGATGTGCGTCTTTAGCAAGTTTCGATAGAGTAGACCATAGTATTCTTATCTACCCGAGATCTTTATTCTTTGGTGATATAATAGGAGGTGAAATGGTAAGACTTACTGGGATATGTTAGGTCGTACCAATCTGCCTTCCGGCATTTCGTGCCCTGGCCATAGATGATCTGAACAGCCTTAGGATGGACGATAGACAGATCGTTCGAGCCGACCCGCAAGAAGTTCCCGTGTTTATTGTGCAGAGCCGCGAGCTGCCGGAATGCATCTTGTCGTCTCAGGTATGTTGCAAACCAGGCGCTGGAAATCTTGCAACCGACGGGGCCCGGGAACCTTCTCAAAGGATGGAAGGCGAGGCGGTAGATGACGAGACTAGAATATAGACCACCAAAATAGCATATAGCTATAGCGATCGATCGATCGGTAGCGGCGCGAAGAGATAGTTCGTATAAATGTGAAAGGACCGCGGTCGATATAGCGAATGCCGACAGGGCAGTCAAGATATACCGGGTGCCATATAAATGGTGCTCCCCGACCCTGAAGAATGCGAGATGAGATATTACACCAGCTGCTAAGGCAGCAATGAGTATGATCGAATCCATGTTGAGTTCCAAAGCAGAAGTAGCGGAAGTTGCAGGAGAGATCCAATGTCCGAGCAAGAGGTAGGCAGTCGATATGTATATACTGAACACCACCCTCCCTCGGTATTAACCAAAGAATCCGTGGTCAGCAGACCGCCCTCCATGATGAGACGGTTGGCGACGATATGCAAGCCACTGACTTAGGCTCCTAAGACAACAGTCTTTGTGAAGCCGAGCTTTGCATCTCCCGCTCGAAGCGAGCCGAACTAGCCAGATCCGGAACACTCTGGTTGTACCAAAGCTTTTTGTTTTTCGGGGCATCAGCGCCAATCGCACAAGCGCCTCTCGATATCAACTACGCTGGACTCGAGATGTGATAGGGAGGAGGGAGAATACTCGAGCACAAAGTACGCCGTGGCGACAATCTGTCTAGGTCAATATGTCAGATCACATTCACGTAGGCCAAGTTTCTCTCCAATGGTGAATGCTACGTTACTCCATACAAGCCGCCTACGTAGGAAGCTTTTCAATCGGACGATCGATTAAGAGTTGTGCTTGTGAGTGGTGAGGCCTTGGACGCATCCTGTTATGTAGGACTTAATTTAATGATCACAGCGGATGCACGTTGGCGGCATCTCGCATCTATACTTAAACTGTTACCTTGCCTTTAAAAATAATTTTCACGTGGTAGGGTGAACCATTCGCGGTAGCATAAGAGACCTCGATATCATGAATATATATGGATATGCCGTGCACTGTATATTAGTACGTTATGACTGCTCGAGTGGAGGTGAATTGATAAATGACGGCTTCCTCCGATGTCGCCTGGCGGAGAGCCACACTCCGAACTGGTAGCCATCAGACAGATGTTCCAAATCGGTATACTCATACGCTAAAATCGTGACGATATAGGTCTACAAAGGGTTAAGCATTGTCAACATCACGAGGTGATGGCTATAGCGGTATTACTCGAAAACCATTTTCCACACGCCGCCAAGCCAGGTCTTAGGTAAGGGAGAACTGGCAGAAGAAATAGGCATTGTCAGCCTACGATAATAGTTCCACATTCACGCCTCACCCGGTGAGACCTAGCCATTCATAGTAGACTTGGAAAAAAAGAGGGTGTGCAGGCCCTAGCAATTCCAATGTCTCATTCCGCCGTAAGCTCACTATTGGAGAACTCCACGCGCTGTTAGTTCCGAAGACTTAGATGTTAGATACAAGGCCACGTTCAGCTAGCCGAGAGCTCATACTACGCAATAGCCTTACATATATTGTGTATTACATCCTAACCGCATGGGCAGTCCTAGAACACGGTGAGAGTTGATCAGGGGACTACGTACGGTATCACAATTTCGTTGGTAGAGGACAACACCAAGATTCTCTACGCCTCATTGGGCGAAGTTGTTCTAATACGGCCGGTACTAAGATTGCAGAGAGAAATCAACAATGCTTATACCAAGCTCCCTTAAAATTAGTCCTATTCGGTATACCAAATAGATAGGAAGATACACGTTTTCCGTTTCAATTTAGGCCATGTATCTCATGAGCACTCATCTATCAAAAGAAGGCAGCGATTTATAATAGGAGAACGATCAACAACTTATCCGGCCTAGAGTACGTCAGGCTTTTCTTCAACAAAACATCAAAGTAGGTGCATATCAGACTTTGTCACACATGTCTCACTATTTACCAGCAAGAAACTGGGCTCTCCACTATTGATCAGGCGAATCAGGACGAGTGCAACAAGAGATATAGTAAGCTTGATTCCACTACTCTTATATCGGTGCAGTTGTCGGGATCGACAAGCCGAGCTAACCATGGCCGTTTATGCTACGCCATTATATGGTAATGTGTTCGTGTTTCTGTAAGGTTGTTCTGCTTCTCTTTTCGTCTTTTACATAATAAAAACCAGGGTTAATGAACCTCTCCACATTGTTCCTACGTGACACTGATCTTCCTAAAACTGCTATTAGTCATTTAGAAAGGCGTTAAAGGCGAAATAGAAGAAATAATATAAAACCAAGTTACAACTGAATATCTAAATAGGCAGTGTGAGATATGTGTTATATAACGTTCAATACACATGTACTTCTACACTTGTAAAACAGAGGTGTAAACTTTTAACAAGACGGATGATTTGATTTGCTCACAAGTAGTAGGGATCAAGTTAGGGCCGAATGAATTAGTACTTATTCAAAGGGAGCTTTTCGAATTAATATGTCTCAACTTTTTAGAAAGTCGTTAACCATGTGCATAGACGCAAGGGCTATTGGGCTGGGCTATCCCTAAATACACATGACGTGTCTCCTTCGCTACATACATATTCTGCTGTTTGTGAGCTTTATATGCGCGATAATCTCATTCCTTGGCATGTTTGCTCATGTATACCCAAATAAATATAACCGTAGCATTGCGCGAAGCCCGCCATTTCCCTGTTTATAAATTGACATACCGCCTGTAGCTTCCTACTTCCTCGGGCTTTCTTCCGCACCATCCTGCTTTACCGCTCGACATTCAGTACCCGAAAATACTACTTTACATGTAGTAATTCCGGGATAGCAGGAATTCTTTGAGTCAGCTTTATCCTCATTACTCTATAACCCATCCTGCTGCATGTGGTTGGGTTATCAGTTCCCATACCAGACAACCTCCGAACGAATTTCCGAAAATCACTTTATATCTTTTCAAGAATTCAGCCTGTCATGTGCTACAAGGTGACCACCCAGTATGTGTGCCCACAGTGCACGAAGACTGTAGACAGGATCACAGAGTTCAATCAATGCATACATGCCAAGACATGTGGCTGTATTAAAGGAGAATGCCCGACTAAGTTGGGAGTTGTTTGGACACAAGGCATCGCTCGAAAATTTTGTAGCAGCTGTCTTTCGTGGAAACGGTGGCGCACGGGACATTGAAAGGTAGTTAAGGGCAATGTCTGGTAGGTGATGCAGAATCCTATTTATGCGGAGGTCTCTAATTTATTTCTTTTAACTAGTTTCAGCTATCCTAGACTAATATGAGTAAGAGGTGGAAAAATAGAAGCACGTGGATAGACATAGGGCAGGGCAAAACCTGATAACTACTACTTACTCATTGGAGTATTTAGTAATGATTATAGCACATGCCTCTCTTCTACCAGCAATTATAGCTTTTACATACGTAACCCGTCCTTAGGCTATTAATACATTGTAGTTCAGCGCGACCGGAACGATCCAAAAAAGAGAACTGTGTATGTCTGAACAGCTATAATATATATATGTGTACATAGACTGTACATTAATATACGGATAATATCGTTGCACCTTCTTAATTAATGTTACATGCAGAGATTCGATAAGTAGGTACTTAAATATCTTGCCTACCTCCATGTACTTATGGGAAGTAATGATCATATGTAAGCCTGGTCGAAAGTTCTGGATACCTCTTATACCTCCCCTTCCGTTGCCATTTGGGATGGTCAAGATCATTATGCAACTATGCCTTCCGTTTACACAAAGGAGGACCATTGCAGGCTGTTCATGACCTTCCAAGATATGCAGGCAATATTGGGCAATATTGGAAAGTGAGGTTATACAGACTTCGCTTCTTGAAACAGACCCTAGAGACCCAGGCGGTCTGAGCTGACAGATCATTTGTATATAGAGTCATCTTAAGCCACCAACAGCCGAGAAGGAGTTGGTTGGTCAAGGACTCATGCAGCCCTAGTTGTTCATTATAATCTGAACTGCTCAAGTTCCAAACCCAGTGCTCTGCTCTTGTTATAGCCGGGGTCAATATTCTTAAACTGCTGTGATGGAAACTGATACCAATTAATTTGGAACCTTCGGGCACCGGTACTATTGGCAATGCTATCCGTCAACAATTGATTGAAGCCGGGTTTAAGGGGACTGTGCTTGCGCGGAGAGAATCAACCCATTGCTTTTCCCCCTCTGTCAAAACCGTCACAGTCAACTACGAGTCAATGGGCTCTCTTGCCAACGCTTTACGTAGCCATGATGTAGTTAATGATTTCAACCGTAGCACTAGAGGCAGCGAGAGCCAGTGTCAAACGATTCCTACCATCCGAGCTCGGCTCTAACACACTTCATTGTAAGGCTCGATACGTGCCTTTTTATTAAAACAAAGTCAAAGTCCATGAAACTATAACAAGGGCAGATAACTGGGCTTAGAATTAAGGATTCTAATTACAATAATCAACTAGGGCTGCATTAATCCTTGACTAACCAACTCCTTCTCGGCTGTTGGTGGCTTGAGATGACTCTATATACAAATGATCTGTCAGCTCAGACCGCCTGGGTCTCTAGGGTCTGTTTCAAGAAGCGAAGTCTGTATAACCTCACTTTCCAATATTGCCTGCATGTCTTGGAAGGTCATGAACAGCCTGCAATGGTCCTTCGTACGGCCGAAGTGCAAGGCGAACTGCATTCTTCAACCGGTACAGAGGTTACACGTGTAACAGAAACATAGTAGGAGAAATCGCGGGCCAGTGGAATGACTTATACGCTAGTCATGAATAGACCGCATTACGCCCATAGCCGTAGACGAACTGTATATTCAGCTGTAGGTGCATGTGACATGCAGGTTAGCTAGCTGTGTGAAGATAACATGACAATATTTACATAATGTTACAAGCCGTTAAATAGCTTATATGCCCCACCACATGTTACGGACTGTTTCCATCTTGAATTCTTCTGGTCGTGGTCGATCAAGAAACTTGTCAAGCGTGCTTTGCCATTCTTCCCTCGTCACATTGCCAAACCAAGCCGCCGTGTATTCCCAATAATGCGGATACCATCCGGAAAACTCCCAATCGATAATGCTAGCCACCTTACCATTACGAACGATAATATTGAACGGATTTAGATCGCCATGAGTGAATACTGGCGCGGGCCAAGGTCCATCTTGTAATCTCATCATTTCCAAGAGGTCATCCCACTCCTGATCCCTTTCCCGGTCCTTGAGATCCTCGGGCTTTAAGTCTCGTCTAAGCCAGAAGTGGAACTCCTGAATTGTCTTGAATGGACCAAAGCGTGGAGTTCCACGAGATATGCGAGAGTCATACAATGACCCTCCAACGCAGCTTTCTACACCGGTGCCGGGAGGAGGCGTCAGGGAGCGCAATTCCTGAATCATGGCTTTTAATTGTGCGAAGACGTCTTCAAGCGATTCCTTTGACATAGATTTCCAAGCTTGGGGTAGCTCGTCGCCTTGGATCCTCTCCATCACGATATACGCTCTTTTCTTATGTAAAAAGGAACAATACACCTTGGGGACAGGAATGGTGGTGTTTTTAGCTAGATATTTCATTGTCGCACCTTCCGTTAGGTGAATTCGACGCCCTGTTTTAACAATTTTGTGTTTCGAGATGGGGACGCAAAGGCCATCTTCTGTGTAAAATCTAGCTGTTGTGTGCAATGCTAGTCGTGTTAGAAATCGGCGGAAGAAAGTATTGTTAATAGCAAGATGTTCACTCCCGTCATGCTGGCCCTCTATGTCATATTTAGGCGGAACATAGGGGGATGTCATCTCGTGCAGGACATCGAGTAAGGCACTAGCGTGTTGGAATAGGAGAGTGGCTAGCGCGCGGGATGCCGTCAAAGAATGTGAGCGATCAATTATAGTAAGTGTCCTATGGAAAGACGAGCAATCCCCCCAACGATACGAGCCGGTTATTAGTCGAGAAGTAGAGGCACAACGAAACCATTTACATCGGTAAGAGAGTGTTCATATATATGCGACAGAAGTAAAAGAAGGCAATAGGGAATACTATGTACGTTCAGAGTTGGCTGGCTGGCTAAATGTCGCAACTGGCCAACATGAATTCAAGGGGTTAGCGTTGTTAGCTCGGTAATTTCAGTGGTTACCGTTCTGAGCTAGCCTATTCTTCGATGGAAGTTGGCGAACAGATGCCAACACTGTCAGCCAGCGGCATGGCTATGCATGTGAAGGTTGACCACATTGGAATGAATTGCATGTGCTACAGACAGAATCTTGTCAGGAGTGAAGCTTTTGCTGGAGATTGTAAACTGAATGCTGAATGCTGTTTTGTGTAATCGACTGTACTTACTAAAGATAGGCACCTGCTACCAGTACCTGTGTGTATTATATAATATTCTGTGTTAAAACCTGTATTGAAACGGACTGTAGGCATATCTGTAGGGTTTCTTCACTCCAAATAAACCTGGCACTTGGTTTGAACGCATAAATTGAGAGGTGTCGCGGCTGGAGTGTCACGTACAGGACAAGGCTCATCATCTATATATGTTGCGGTATTCTCAGGCATAGCCGATATCGACCCATAGCCACATCTACCTAGATAGCCAAAGATATCCATCCCTCAGTCTCTTTCGTACTTAGTTTTTAGCCGTAGCGCCTTTATATTCCTGCGCTCTGCTTTATACCTAATTGTGCAATGCTTACCATCGGACTCTTGTGTCGTTCTTCCCTAAAATGGCCGTTCGTAAAGGAAAGAGCTTACAATAAAGGAAGGTCATTACGTCAATAACCTTTAAACAAGATAGGAGCTACCGTTCATACTTCCCATACAGAAACATAATCCCCCCGGGCGAAATATCTCAACATATTTTCTTCTCCTTCTACTTCATCCTTCATTACTATTACTATTCAGCATCTAGCCACCGTGAACCGTTGAGCTTCATTTTCTATTATATTCTACCCGTTTGCAGGTCAACGATGATGATAATCGTAGCTCCAGGCCTTTTCCATTCTGTCTCGGAATCATCCCGCCACGACGATTTTGCCAGAACCCCCACTGGCCTTAATAGCTTGGAGCAGATTGATATCATCACAGCAATGACTGAAAAGGTGGGATCCACTTTGTCCGAATGCCCCCAATGATGAAAACATACAGCAACCTATTGAGCACTTACCTGTATCGTGGTACTTGCGAAGATGAAGAAGTCATCCTACTGAGGAGGTGGACATAGGATCGGGTACTTTTTTTCCCTTCGGGGTCCTTGGCACCGCACCCACTCAGCATTAGCTGACAAAAGGACTTTGGCAATTTAGGTTTACAAGACGGACGAATCGACCTTTGACATCGTTGCAAGCCTCCCTCGTCGCCGCCGCCTGTTACACATGGATACCTCTACGCCATATATGCGTGTATACAAAGCACGGCGTAAGGTGTATTGGGGTTATGGGATTAGCCTTAAGCAGTGACATGGCAAGGGGCTTGATCAATAAACTTCTGTGTAAAGAGGATACTGGAGTTTAGGGAACTGGTGGGAGAGGAGAGGTGGACTAGGGAACGGAGACCTTTGAGACAATATATCATTAGCTTTGAAATTGACCCATTAAGCCCAACTGGTGCATTTTTCACAGTTGTCCTGATTCATTAACGTAGACAACGCGGCATAAGTACTTGTAATACGGTATCACATAGCGTACGACGGATTGGGACTGCACCTGGAACCCTTTGAATCAGGAACTGATCGAATGGGATAGGCTATACTTGAGTTCTATAACAAGGGCAGATGACTGGGCTTAGAACTTGATGATCGACTGGGATTGCAAAAGTCCTTGGCCAACCAATTCCTTCTGGGCCTTGGTAGCTTGACTTGACTCGATATACAATTGGCCTGCTAGCCCTGACCGCCTAGGTCTTATTGGCCTATTTCATGAAGCGAAGTCTGTATAGCCTCATTTCCAATATTGCCTGCATGTCTCTCGAAGATTATGAACAGCTTGCAACAGCCTACATTACGCCCGTAGCAAAAGACGAACTGCATGTTCAGGTTGTACGCATGTAACAGTTTCTCGAGTTTAAACCAACACGGGCTTAGATTAATACGACATATGCCTCAAACAAGTGAAAGAACGTACTAATCTGATATTCAGGCCTAAAGCATAGTATATACTAAAAATTAGTCGTGTAATTGTTAAGGATCCATGTGGTCGAGGGGTAAGGATGCATGCTGTGTGCCCCGTTTGGAGACTTCATGTTCGATTCCAGATACGATACAACTTTTTTTATTTTTCTTTCTTTCCTTCTTTCTTTCCCTTTCAGACTCGCTTAAAAATTTTCATAATTTTCTTCTATTACTAGGCGAGGGAGTAAATGTAGTGTAACATTATATAAGCGACCGGTCCGGATAGCGCCCCAGCTATAAATCTAGCGGCATTTGGTTTAGCTATAGGGGAGCGGACGGGACCCCGCGTTTTCCAGATCCTACGGTCGTATGTGCTGAACTACTAGTAATCCCATTGTCTTGATTATATATCCAAGTGCAGGAGGACGCTGTATGACAATGGAGAGAATGTATCGAAGTGGATGCAAGTAAAAGATAACTTAGGGCACTCACATTTGATGAGGTAGACATGGTCTACACTTAAATAGGTGGGGATTTGGGGATAGTTTCATTCCCTAAGGAATTTATTGATCAGAAAGAACAGAACGCGATTTATTACTAGAATGCTATGTTGAGGTATGTCTGGTTGTGCTAAAAATGAAGCCCCCCTTTTTATAGTACAGACCGATCCCAGAACTCCGAAACTCCTTCGCCTCCCTCTGCTAACTAACCTGCCACTCCACACGACTTTACATGAAAACCTCGTAGGTTAGGAGTACAGATATTCAGTCTCCTTCAGACTATGCTCCCAGTTCCGATACCTAACAGCGGCGTCCAAAGTAGTTCCGAAGATGATGTTCTCCAACACGAATGCCATAATCCAGAATGAGGCCTCAAACCAAAACTAGACTCCATGTACATGGTTACTGTAATTCTCATAAGTAATTACGGCCCGCATTTCATACTGAGGTTTGGAGTAGGCACATCGTAGCCTTATCCAGTTACGCCAGCGTGCCAATTCTGCACTCCATCAGAACAAACACCTCAACAGTTCCCTCAAGGAGAGATCTGAGACACCCTCCCGTGCCCCTCTCAATCGCATTGTGCGTGCCTCGTGTCTTTCCCGCTGGGATGGTCGGGGGTAGCTTGGGTTGGGAAACATTCCCCAAAGGTGGTTCTGTGGCGTCCTTTGCCTGTGCGAACTCTCTCCATGAGAACGCTCTCTATGCGAAGGATCTCTGTGAGAATGCTCTCCGTGCGAATGCTCTCTATGCGAATGATCTCTGTGAGAATGATCTCTGTGAGAATGATCTCTGTGAGAATGATCTCTGTGAGAATGATCTCTGTGAGAATGATCTCTGTGAGAATGATCTCTGTGTGAGCTCCTCTCCTGCCTGTGTCTGCTCCGCCTCTGCGTGCCCTGTCCATTTAGAAGCGCACGGATTTTGGTGATATGTTTGCGTTGTTCCGCAGGGTCCTTGTGTCTATTGTAAAAAGTTGGGAGAGTAACGTTTAAATCGATGGGCGTGCGGCATGATGGACATTGAGCATTGTAAGGTAGTCGAATTTTGATCCACTGATTATATAAATGTTAGCTTCTGTTTCGTTCATTGGTGTAGGTGAGATGACGGTCACCTACCTCCCACAAACAATGACTCCCAAACCCGTGGCCACAGCCTGGCAGAACGGTGTATTTTTCGCCCAGGGTATCAGCCTGGTCATTTTCACCACTCAGGATTGCCAAATCATTGCACTGGCATATCTGGCACTCAATCTTCATGCGTGTTCCCCGATTTTTGAGTTTACCAGAATCGTCAAAATGTCGAATGATCTCATGAAAGTTGTTTGTTTCGACATAACTCGCGGGTGTGCCATTGTTGGCGTGCGAGCTAGATGAAGGCATTTTGACCTATGATGAGAGAGAACTAAAGACGTTCGGCATGAGTGACAGTTCGTGTGTTAGATATTGTTATCGGAAATTGTTGGCTTACTACTTATTGTTCTCTGCGAGCGTTGGTGCAAGTGGTGGCGGAGTGTAATCGAGGAGATAGTAGAGTAGAGGTTAGGAGTAGACTTTGGTCGATGAAGACTGATGATAAGTGTTGACATTTGCAGTCAGAGACTTATAAGACGTATGTGAAAACAAGGTACTCAGAAAGAGGTTTACCGAGACCGCTGCGGATGAGAGAGAGGAGTGTGTGTGCACTTGATTGAAAGCTGGGTGGGAAGACCTCTTTATATATATACACATAATATTGAGGTTACTGTGCGACCGATAGTATATCCTACTACTCTATTCTATATTTCATCAGCAATAGAACTAGTCAAGATCCCATTGATAGAGAGATTTGTGTGAATGAGAGACCTGAATGGGAAATCTGAATGGAAGATATGCATGGGGCATGTGAATGGGGGAACCAGTTGCTACGGTAATCGTTGCGGGGGAGAGTTATTGCTCCTACGATAGGAATACATGATTCATTGAGTACATAGCCGGCCACGTCAAAACCACTACAGAAGAGTCGGTGAGTGGGTGCTTGGGGAACACCGACACATTGACCCTTCCGAGAGAATGAAGGTAAAAACGAAAGGAGGAAGCTAACTTCAGAAGATTTGGTTTTTGACATTCTTATCATGTATTTGGTCCCATCAAATGATTCGATTGCTCCAATGTTCATGGTTGAAGTGGGAAGGGTTCCTACGCTGCCAGTACCCATATCGTGACATATCTCATTATTAATGACAAAAAAGAAGAGAGATATATTGAAGTATTTCTATCAGCATAACAGTGTAAAAGCCAGGCTTAATCACTATATTCAAAAACACAACCAGGCTGCAACTAGCAGATCTCCATAGTTAGTAGAGAATAAGGGGTATATTAAGCTAATGTTGAGACCCCAAGATGATATAGTCACTCCTCTATCGCTACTTGACGTTTGGATATTATCTCTGTACTTAGCAGTTGAATGTAGACATTAAATATTCCCAAGTCCCCTATGTGATCTTATAATTAATAAAAGTGACTGCTGAAGCCATGTTAAACGTTGTTAATTTTATTATCATATATGAGTATGCCACCCTTTTCATTCATTTCGCCTAAAGTCTGGAACGTACGGCTTCGATCTACAGTAGGCTGCCTAACCCTAACCCTTATTATGGCCACTTTGTTCTGTTCAGAGGTGTAGCATGCTTGACGTATCCTATCCTATTATCAAGTGTGGTGTTGCGACCGTCAGGTACCACAGGGCCGTACTTGGGATGAACTAGTAGCCCTGGCTCGAAAGGGTCAACCTTGACCTCTTCCATTCCTTCGATCAGTGTATCCCAGTTCTTGCATTCATGGGCAATGGTTCTATTGCCGCCAGGTAAGATACTCTCATCAAACCAGATCATGGTGAGTGGTGTCTCGTCGGCCTTGCACATAACGACTTCCACGAGCATTTGCAGGCAATGTACTACACGCTGTTAGCAGATGCGAAAAGGAACAGTGTAGAATGTAGACTCACAGCTGTGCTCAAGCTGCAGCTCTTTTTCCTCTTCAGTCATATCTGGCCAGTAATGCTCCGGAAAGTAGGATTGATGTAGACGTTTCTGTGAACCCAATTAGAGACAAGGGTATTTGACCATAGTTATGATACTTACCAGACAGTGTAGCTGGTGGATAAAAGCATAATTGGCCAAATAATTACCATTAGGCAACCGAATGCTATCTCTTTCTCGACCAAGGGATTGGATGTACTCCTTTGGCACTTCAGCATAGAAATACTGCATAAGAGAGCTCCAGTTTTTGTCCAGCTCATCGCTTGGCTGTCCGACAAGATTATAGTCTTTTGAGGTTTCCGTATGACCAAAATATGTAGGTTCATACTTGATATGTTTCCTTATAGGGGCTAGAAGGGAATCAGCAATCCTTGTACACTTGGATATGGGACATAGGGTTCTCCTTACTATCGATGACATTGGCGCCATGAATCCTCTCTTTCTTGAACCACATGTAAGGGATCGTAACAAGAGCTATTGAGTACACCACGAAAACCACGACACCGCCTAATATTACCCATCGTGACCAGCGTGACTTTTTCCCATGCTGTGCCTTGAAACCTTCATATAAGAGGTCATCCGACTCAGTCGCAGACTGATCGTCAGGAATGGGCGAATATGCCGGTTTTAACTCCTTTTGAAGAACACCCATTGTGTCACTCAAAAATCTACCATAGTGAAATGACTAGGCGACTGATGGTGGGAAGAAGTGAATGAGGACCTTCACTTGGGCCTCAGTGCGTAATAAAGGGGGCCTGGTTTAGCTGAGTACCACAGGCGGGGTTGAGTAAATCAGACTGAGATAAGACGAGTCATAGCGTACATCGAATAACGTCTGATTTCAGGATAGAGAAGGTGATCGAGCATTTGTAAGGATAAGCTTCAAGTCTTATATCAGCGCTAAAAGCTCACCTTCCTAAAGCAACACGGATTCACATACTTTGTTCCACAGATAGGATTTACGCCTACTGCGAGAACGCGGGGAAATGTTAATCTATCGACCCATAGACGGACGGATTTCGCCATCAGGACGTGGAAATAGACCGCCTCTAAACTTGTTACAAAGAGCTCGCCTCGTCCCGACCATGCTTCGCGTTTCCGAAGGCGGGGGTAAAAGAAGTTCATGCTTAAAGGAGGTTGATATCGCAATCAAGCCTTTTTGCTTACCTCCTCACTCTCACTCCCCAACTTCTACTACCAAATTGTTGCTATACCCACAACTCGACCAACTCGACCAATTCCTAACATGCAGCTCAAGCATTTAGCTATCGTTGCGCCATTGGCAGCGGCTTTTGTTTCTGCCCTCCCAGTTGGCGATCAGAGTAAGTTGTAGTCTCCTAGCTTCCCACGTCTGGAACTTCTATGCTAAGTCTGATTCTAGAGCGCTCTGATCTACAGAAAGACAATGACGACATCTGGCTGTGGAAAAAAGGACAGCTAGAAAAAGACAATGATGATATCTGGCTATGGAAGAAGGCTGACATCCAAAAGAGGGTCGACCTCGAGAAGGACAACGATGACATTTGGCTCTGGAAGAAGTCCGATCTCCAAAAGGATAATGACGATGTCTGGCTATGGAAGAAGGCTGAACACGAGAAAGACAATGATGAGATTTGGTTGTGGAAGAAGGGCAAGCTAGAGCTTGAGAAAGACAACGACGATGTTTGGCTCTGGAAGAAATCCGACCTTGAGAAGAAGGGAGAGCTCCAGAAGGATAACGATGATATCTGGCTCTGGAAGAAGGACCGCGTAGAAGATCAAGTCCAGAAGAGGGGCAACCTCCAGAAGGACAACGACGATATCTGGTTGTGGTAGATCGCATGATACTCTATATGTTGAGCAGTCAGTCACCAAAGATTGACCTACCTATTGAAGCTAGTCAACGCAAGTAGCCCATCATCACAAATTATGTAAACGGTTACAAACACTAGTATAGCACCCTAATGTGCTCCACATTCAACTTACTCTAGATGAGCGAGTGAGGTCCATCAGTTGGCCGAAAGCCCCCTCAACTTTGTGCACTTAATAATCCCAGCGTGTTTCCTAAGCACCTAAGTGGATATACTCCTAGGATTAGTACAGTAGGTGTCATAGCAGCACCAGTGGGTTGGGTCAGTATCAAGCCAGGCGAGGCGGTGAAAGAAAAAAGTGAGGGACTCTGCACTGAGCACAAAGGTGTTGAGTCTCTCACTTTTTTCTTTCACCGCCTCGCCAGGGTTATGTCTTGCTCATGAATACGTTAAGGCATTCATCGGAGTGTTTGCATTGGGAATAGATGCTGAATCAAAGTTCAAGAAAGCTGTATCGGTCTATCCTTTCAGATTAGAAACCAAAGATCCGGTCAGCTTACCTACATAGGTATGTATAGAGATACCGGTACTGGAATATATAGGCTTGGCTGTGCATACCGTTTAACGATACGGCGTACATGCATGGGTGGCGCACTAAACGCACCCAAGTAGCCGGCTGCCTCCGAAGCTAGGATTTGGGAGCGTGAACTTCGGTGGCGCGGTTAGGCCGACTCTAGACGAGCTCCGACTTGATCGGTATTGCCATCTAGAGGCATTAAAGACTCACGAGATGCACCATGTTACCAGGCTTGCATTAATCAGCTGCGAAATCACATGTTGACGAATATCTGCATAGGGAAGCCTACGCAGTATGTTGATATTCTAATTGAGCATAGGCCTACAGAGTAGATTTCATCACTGGCCCGGTTCACAATCCAAAAGTCTTCAAATCATAACCGCTCCCTATCTCTAGCGCTGCACGATAGCTGAGTCTTGCCTTGATTTTTTCATGCCACGCATGAAGCTTGGGGAATTTGCTGGCATCGAAATACCCTCTCTGCGAAGTTATATCCATGCCCCAGCTGATATCGAAGTCAGCTAATCCAAGCTTGCTGCCAGAGAAGAACGGCTTATCCTGACTGAGCGCGTCCTCAAGGAACTCGAAGATTGGCGTCAGTCCACGCTTGAAAATAGATGTAATCGGGGAAACCATCAAGTTAACAAGCGACGAAAGTCCAACCGGCAATGCGCTGATAGGGCTCTCGATGATGACCAGATGGTTAATGCTAGTAGCTAATGTCATGACCGCGAAGCCCTGGAAGAAGAGATCGCGATTCTTGTCCTCCTTGGCGGGGTCCCAGAGACCTTGGCCGTATTCGTCACTCAGGAAACGAAGAATCAATTGGCCTTCGGTGAGCACGCCCGGAAACACTTGAACCGTTGGGACGGGTTCATCCGTTGTCGATTCTAGTGTAAGGATTGGCGATTTGCCGAGAGGAAACACGCGCTTGAGCTCCGATGGCGCCTGTCCCGTTTGACGCTCGTAGCATACGAGCTTATACTCTATGTTACGTGCCTGCTTTAGCTCTTCCAGAGCCCAAAGGCATCGATGGGAGGTTGAATGGTTCAAATGATGTAGCGTTGGGATAAGCGTCTGAGGCATCTTGTGCAGATATGCGGCTGAGCTGCGAGGTTCAATTGTCATGATATCAGGGAGAAGATGCAGTTGATGCTGACATCCCATACTCCGTAGAGATTCATCCCCTGACAAGGGCTCTTGTAGAGGGCACCAAGATTCTAACTGTTGGCTGCGGGTGGCCTGCGAGGGTCTTGGCAGACTAGGCAGTCTTGGCCGTATGACAATATACTTACTTACCTCCTTAGGTAGCTGACCTTGGGATCTTTGTGCAACAACAGTCAGGTCATGCATACGTTGCTGGTGGGCAACCTGAGACCAGACTCTAAAGGTAGTTAGTTACCTGGGCATTAAAGATGAAGAACCGATTATCAGGGAGTATCAGGGCAACAACGGCCCTATAATATATTGCACATGTTCAACATGAAATGCACAATAGATGAGATCTTTGACCGCGTTGGCTATCTTTCTGATCTTTCAAGCATGCATCGGCTATCAAACCACCTCAGCCAGCTTCGAAACCAAGTTGCTGCGTATCTCAATCAAGGTCATCGTCAATCGCCTTTGGAATCACAGTCATACGATAGTGGCCTGTTAAACCTATTTTGAACGTACAGCTCTCTAGCTCTTCAACATTGCATTATGACTCTCGGTTATTATCTTCACTATTAAAAATTACAGCGCTGAGTATATGTACATTATCGCGTCTTGCCTCTTCATCACCATAGAAGCAAGGCTATACAGAGAGTCCCGCTAAGGACCCAGGCTGCATCAGTCACTCTTCTATTCCCAGCATTTGGCGGCGGCGAGTTTGTCTCCACAGCTTGGCCAGTTGGCGAAGGGGTTGTCTGTGCAGACCCAGTCTCGCTAGGCGTACTCGTCGCAGAGCTTGCGTCACTCGTGGTCGCACTGACAGAACTGACAGACGTCCTCTTATCCCAGCCCAGCAGCGTGTAACACGGTCCGAATCCAACCACAAAATCCAGGGCACCTATCGCCCATTCGTCGTCATCCTGAACCGCCCCAGAGCAGTCGCCTTCAAGGAGCGACCTCGCCTCAGCCAATCCGTGCTCGTCTAACCAGATGCCGGCCGCCGAGATGTAACTGGACAGCGAGGAGGTCGCCGATGGTGTTGCCGACGGAATCTGAGTGGAGATGACGAAGTTGCAGAGAGATGTTTTATCGATATGGTCTCCACCCCCTGTCGCCGTCACAAAGTCGCTAGAAATATATTCATCGATCGCGTTGTTGTCACACGGCTAAGACTTCAGAACCGAAGATAACCGATACTACCCCTAGAGAAAAGTGAGGCCATAAGCGATTGGATAAGGATAATTTGTTAGTTGTAAGAAGACCAACAGTTAAGGCATGAATGCCTAACAGATAGAAGGGAGTCACAGATTGTATGAGGCCTGAATGAGCATAAATAGCTAAGGAATCTCCTACTCCAGGATAGGAGGGAGAGAGAGAGATTAAGGCCCTAGAGACCCCTAGTAGATTATTAATAAATATGACTAAGTTCCAAGCCCTCTATAAGAGCCCTTGTCACAGATAATCTACTATCCCCTTTTAGGATACTCCGATATAGCCCAAGCTTCCGCATGATGGATAAGCTTTGGTAAAATCCCCCCCCCCCATACATACAATGCTATTTCAAGCCCAAGTCCCTATGAATATAGGATTACTCTGGTAAAATACTTCCCCTACCTCTACTAGATAAGAGGTATCTTAGAAAAGTCTACACCTTATGTCCAACAATTTAAATATTATATGCTATAATCCTAATACTTCTATTTAAAGAATAAGAAGTAGCTAATAACTTTATTAACCTAAAGCTTTAAACTTCTTTAAAATTATAAATGTACCCTAACTATAAGACTCTAACTTTAATTCCTATTATCTTAATAAGGATAGCTTAAACTTTAACTCCCTAAAATTTCCCTTATTATACGAAAATTATCTTAAAGATAAATAATAGTTAAATTATCTACCTTTACTACTTTATTGGACCTAAAAGTTCGAAATTAAGGATATCCTACCCCTTAATAACTTATAAGTTAAATTAAAACATATAAAAGTATTAAATAAATATTCCGCTAATTTTAATTAAAGTTTAACCTTTACCTTTAAATAAGCTATATCCCTTTTATTACTATTTATTATATTTAAACCTATTTATTTTAATTAAGTTATATTTCTTTTTTTTAAAGAATTACCTTTTTTAAAAAACCTATTTAAATTTATTAATTAATTAGCTTTATAATAAAATCCTTTTATTATAGCCCTTAAATTAATATTTAAAGCTATAAAACTTACCCTTTATAACCTAACTATTTATAAAAATATTAAGGATATAAAAATAAAATATATAAATATAATAATCCAAAACCCTTTATAATAAGTTATAAATATTTATAATTATATAAGTAAAACTTTTTAAATAGCTTAATTTTTATAAAAATATAAGTAAAAAATACTTTTTAAATAAAAAAAAGCATTTTAAAATATATATATTACTATTTATAATATATATAATACTTTAATTAATTTATATAAAATAAATATATAAGTAACCTAAAAATAAATAAAACATTTTTAATAAAAAATTATATAAGGAAGTATTACCTTTTTTTAAAATATATAGGGAACTATTATATATATTATATAAAATGCTTAATTTTAAGCTAATGCTATTAATTAATTTAAAAAAGTAATAGATTACTATTATTAAACCTTCCAAACTTTTTAAAATAAGCTTATTAAATAAAAAGCTAATTATTAAAAAACCTAAGGAATTATAAATAATTAAGCTATTATAATTAAGGGATAAATTAATTAACTTATAAACCGCTTTATTATAAACTTTAATTAAATTAATAAGTTATAAGTTTATATTTAAATAATAATTTAAAAGATTTAAAAATAATTAAATAAATAAATTATATCTAATGTAAATTAGATTATTAATAAGTTAAAAAAGCGTAGCATTATAACCAGCTTTATTAACTATTTTATTATAAAGTATTTGTTATTAAAAGCTATTTTATAATAATAAATTAATAATAAAATATTATAGGTAATAAGGGCCCAATTAATTACCTGGGCCTCTTGAGCTTAATATATAGCAATAAGAATTTTTCCGGGAATTCTTACCGGAGTTGCCCTGCTGCCCGGAGGTAACCTAGGAGGAAACCCTAATAGCTTTAACGATAATGACGACCCCTTCGAGGGATAACCCCCCTGTAGTCCGCTTAAAGGACTACCTTAAAGGCTATCTTAAAATCCTAATAGAGGACCTAAAGGAGATTTAAATAACAATAATCCTTTTAGCCCTTTTATTAATAAATTAATATATACCTTTTTAGCTATATTTAAAAGTATTAATCCTATAACTATAATATTTAATCCTATTTAACTTAATAAACCTTATACCTATAATAAAAAGGATACTTTTAAGTTCTTTTTATAATAAGTTAAAGTTAAGGATTATATATTTATATATATAAAAAGTTTTTCCTTTAATAAATACTATATTAATTAAATTAACTCCTTTATAATAGATAAAGCTTTATAATAATATTAATTTTGCTAAAAGTAAATCTATTATATTAATATTATTAATATTTGGGTAATTTATTAAATAGCTTTAAAAACTTAATTTAAAGATCTTTTAATAACGTATTAAAATATTAATACTTTTATAAAGGTAAAATATTTTAATAATATTATTTAATTCTTTATTAAGATCTTTAATTGGAATAATTTAATAAAGTAGTTTAGCCTAACATTTTAGACCTTTATTATTAAACGCCTATTATTTAAACTTATAAAGATAATTTATTATAGTTAAAGCTATATTTTTAAAAATAATAATAAGTTTTTTAATATAATTTAAAAAGCTAGCATTATTTATAAAAATATATTAGTATACTTTAAGCTATTTTTAAAAGGTATGCCTAATTTAATAAAGGAGTAATTAAAATTAAACTATTAAAACTAAAGTAAAAAGAATTACTTTAGCTTAAGTTAAAATTAATCCTTAAAAAAGGATAAAGAAAGGAAAGCTATTAATAAAAAGCTAAATAAATCTAAAATTAACCTAAAGGATAATTACTAGCCTAGCATTATAGCTGCTTTAAAGGGAATTAATTAAATTATTATTAATAAATAAAAATAAAATAGGGTTAATTATTAACAATATAATAGGAATAACTATTATACTTTTACTTATTATATTAAAAAGGATATTAATAGGAAGGAATTTCCCTTAGCCTTTAAGAAAACCTTTTTTATTAAAAGGAAGCTTAATAAAGGAATTAAATTACCTTTTATAGTAAAAAGAGCTAAGATTAATGCTATTATTATAAATATAGCTAATTTTATATAATATATAAAGTTAGAAGAATTAGATTTGGATTTTTAGTCGGGCCCTATAAAGTACCGTATAGGAATTTAAGCCTTTGGAAAGGTAACTTTTTCTACATTAATATAACCAAACAAATAAAAGATAAACTTTTTAAATTAACTTAAAAGAAGGCTAGTTTAAAGCTTAAAATGGATTATAAGCCTATTATCCTTATAACCCTATTATATAATAAATAAAAATACTTAATTAAGGTACTTTTAAATATAAGTAATATTATTCTTATAATATCCTTTTTAAAGGTTAAATAATAAAAGTTACTTTTTATTAAAAAAATATATTTTAAACTTATATTAACCTTTAATATAATATATATATAAAAAGTAAGATAGTATTATATAAAATAAATTATTTTTTAATATTAAGAAGATTACTTTATAAGGCTTAGCTTCGAATTAAGTACCTTTAATAAGGATTGTAATATTATTTTACTTTAATAATGGATAGAAGAATATTAACCTACCTATTTTTTCAAAGATATAGGAAAAATTATATTTATATTTAAATATTGCTATAAAAATTATATTAATTAAACTATCCTTAACTTAGGGATTATTAAAGTTATAATAATTATATTTTAAGTAGCTGCTAAGGTAACAATAGAACAAGTTCTTAAAGAATTTAGGGAATTTCTTTTAATTATGATTAAAGCGGTAGTATAACGGTTATTTAATTATTAACCTTAGGATTATGTGATTGACTTTATAGATAGGAAGACTTCCTTTTAAGAACCCCTTTATATTATAAATAATTATAAATTAAATATATTTAAACTATAGTTAGATAAAATACTTAAAATTAATTATATTTATAAATTTATTATATTATACAAGGTACCCTTTATATTCGTAGAAAAAAAAGACCTAAATAATTTATTATACCCTATTATAGATTATTAAGGTTTTAATACTATTATAATACTGGTAAGGTATTTTATTCCCCTTATTGTAGAATTCTAGGCTAGATTTCGAAAGGTTAAATGGTTTATTAAAATTAACCTAAAATCCGGATT